GTGGATATCCGTCAGCTCTTCGACAGCGACCCTCGACCAACTTTTGTTGTTGACTGCGACTCGCCTTCGTCCGCCATCTACCATGTCAATATCGCCTTGCTTGCTATCCCACACATCGCCCTCTCGCTAGCTTCCCACAACGCACTAAGAGACTGGTGGGATCCTGTGAGCCTCAGCTCCGCTCGCCACCAAAATGAATTTCGCCATGGTAGGTACCGGTGGGCCAAGTTCGTCGTCGGCAGTCGCTGGCTCGTCGTTACCATTGTTCAGCAGTCACCTCCTTCGTTCGAGCAACCAAGCTGCTCTCCAGAGCCCGCAAGGCTATCTCGCATCGCCTCCCCTCTCTGGACATCTCAGCCAGACACCATCTTCACTGTCAAAATCCAGTCGCCCGAGTTACGCCAGCACATTGAACGCATCCGCAAAGTTGACTGGTCAAAAACATCTCTGGGCCCTATAAGCAACTGGTCATATGAACTCAACTTACTGGTGACGACTTTGATGCTGGAAACCCGCCCAACTGCTGTCTTCCTCGGACCTGAACGGACCATCTTATACAACCTTGCCTATGGCGCCATCAGTGGGTCGAGACACCCTGCCATACTGGGCCAGAGTATCCTAGATGCATGGTGTGTTGGACACCACGACCTGGGATCAAGCTTTTCTGACGAACCAACAGGCCTGAGCTTGCAGATCCCATCTCGACAACCATGGACCGCTCAGAGCAAACACGCTTTGCCGATGTTCCGGAAGAGGAATTTCACTTCATGGTAGAAAGAAATGGTTTTGTTGAAGAGGTCTTCTTCATGTGGAGCCTTGTACCTCTTGTCGGCGTTGGCAACCTTACCGGCATGTATTCCATCGTGACAGAGGTCACAAAACAGAGGTAACCACCTCGTATTCTTCGCCAAGAAAAAACAACCATCATTAATCATACCGATTCAGGCTGCTCGAGCGTCGTGTCAATGCTTTGTTAAGGGTGGGCCAGTTAGCCAGCAAAGCAAGAACAACCAAAGAGTTTTGGGCTCAGGTAGGCCAAGCTATTCAGCCATCTGAGTATGACTTTCCGACCGCCATTTTGTACTCAAATTCTGAGTTGAATGAGGTACCAGACGCTGCAGGCGTCAAGACTGGACTACCACGTAGATGCACTCTGCAATGGACCATCGGATATAAATCCGACCACTCTGACATACCTCAGCACCTGGACCTAGACCAGGATACTGGCCTGGCTCGCGCTTTTTCTGCCAGCATAAGAGACGGACCTGAAGTACTTTATGAAGAACAGGATGGTATATTACCAACGTCATTGTACACAGATCTTGAAAAGCGCGGTTTTGGAGACCCACTGAAAGTCTTCCTTGTTCTTCCAATACGGACTTACGACAACAATGTTGTAGCGTTCCTTCTTATTGGGCTTAATACTCGTCGGCCATATGACGACGAGTACAAGGATTGGATCAATGTCTTTTCCAACCTGTTGGGAGCTTCTGCTGCACTGGTGGCACTTCACGAAGAGGAGGTACGAAGACGCAAATTGCAAGAGGAACAAGCCGCCCGAGATCGCGAAGCCCTTAATGCTGAAGTTGCAACTCTTGCACAAGAAGCCAGTAGTGCTGTGGAAAAACTTCGCAACTTCCATGAGATTGCCGACCAACTCGGACTTGGGTACTTTGAGATTGGTGTTGATGGGATGCTGGTACATGCTAATGTAAGGGTCCGAATTGCAGCCCGTCAACATCGGCTGATGCGACAACAGGAAACATACTTTGTTCAAACTGGGCACCAGAGAGAGTTTGCCAATTGCCCACCTTTTGCGTTCAAGCAATGCATTCATGAAGATGATGTAGCCACCATTGAGGAGCAATGGGAGACTCTGATAGCGGGAGAGCCAGCTACGTTCGAGGTTCGTTGGAAGAGACACTTGAATCAAGAAAAAAGAGGCAAGAAGGCCAGTGACGACTATCTTTGGACGCTCTCGGCTTGTGTGCCTATCAAAGACGCAGATGGGCTCGTTACAGGCGTTTTTGGCTGCAACACCGACATTTCTGCTCAGAAAGAGGCGACCGAAGCTGCGATCATGCGCTCAGAGGCAGAGCGGCGCTTAGCCAGTTTCACTGAGCTGGCACCAGTTGGTCTATATCACCTGAACCAGGATCTGTCAATGAGGTACTGCAACGACCATTGGTTCCGTATCACCGGTCACGACAAAGTCCCCATGGATCAAGTAGATTGGCGAAATATCGTCGATGAAGACCGGATAGAGGCTTGCTATCGCGACGTAGACATGACCAGACATAAGGAAGGGTCACATACATTTTCAACCCATCTTAAGAAACAATGGACGGGACCAGATGGAGTCGCGACATCAACCTGGATCCTGGTAACAGCCACTGCGTATGCAGATGGCACCATCATGGGGACAATGACGGACATTTCGCAGCTGAAGTGGGCCGAGTCGATTCAAAAGACTAGAGTTGAAGAAGCGCTTGAGTCGAAGAGGCAGCAAGAAAACTTCATTGATATGACCAGTCATGAGGTAAGTAAATCTCACAGGCTTTGTATGTATCAAAAAAACTGACTATTAGTGACCCAGATGCGCAATCCATTGAGCGCAATGGTGCAATGTGCCGACTCTATCATGGGCTCACTGGATGAGATGAAAGCTCTCGTGCAAGGTGAAACCCTCGCTGCACAGCCCGACCAACGAGCACAGCTAGAAGACCTCATTGATGGCAGTCTCGACGCTATCGACACGATACAGGCATGCGCCACACATCAAAAGCGGATCGTCGACGACATCCTTACTCTCTCAAAGCTCGACTCAAAGCTTCTGGTCATCAGTCCCCTGGTGTTGCAGCCCGTGACACTTCTGCAAGACACATACAAAATGTTCAAGGACGAAGCCAACAAAGTCGGCGTCAACCTCGAAGTGCGGTGTGACCCTTCGGTTGAAGAAATGGAGATTGACTGGGCCGTCTTGGATCCGAGCCGCGTTCTTCAGATTCTCATCAATCTACTGAGCAACGCAATCAAATTTACAAAGGATCAAGAGATACGCAAGGTCGAAGTCATTATGGGTGCTTCCCGAGAGGCAGAAAAGATGCCAGAGATTGAGTATGTGCCACAAGAAGCCTTACGAAAGGATTTCCTTGCTCAAACCGAAGGGGATCATACCGGCGAAGTGTTCTACCTCAACTTCACAGTCAGGGACAGTGGATGTGGGCTGTCGCCTGAGCACAAGGCCAAACTCTTTCTTCGATTTTCGCAAGCCACACCAAAGACACACGTCCAGGTACTACTCTGTCACATGTCCTTTGCCGTTTGTATCAGTACACTAACAACCACTCTAGTATGGCGGGACAGGCCTTGGTCTCTTCATATCCCGGGAACTCACCGAGCTGCAAGGTGGCAGCATCGGTGTGGCTTCTGACCAGAATATTGGATCTACATTTTCCTTTTATATCAAATCACGGCGTGCAACACCACCTCAAGACAAACGCACGGCCGTAGACGTAAACCCTGCTCTTAACGGCGAGTCATGTACGGACACCAACGCCGACATTATTGGAGACATGAATGGCAACCATAAGGCTGTAGTAGTGGATGCTCTCTCGTTGCCAGAAGTCGGGGAAGTCATGGAGGTCGAGAAACAGCATTACAGCATCCTCGTTGTCGAGGACAATCTGATTAACCAGCGGGTTCTGTCCGCTCAACTAAAGAAACTAGGCCACACGGTGCACGTTGCAAACCACGGCGTCGAGGCCTTGTCCCATTTATCACAAACGCCATTTTCAGCCACGCCTACTGCTTCACCCTCGGTCCCTCTCAGCGTGGTGCTCATGGACATTGAGATGCCCGTCATGGACGGACTGACGTGTACGCGGAAGATCCGAGAGATGGAGGCACAAGGCGAGTTGAGTGGACATGTACCGATTATTGCAGTTAGCGCCAATGCGAGACGAGAACAGGTGGAATTGGCCAAGAGCGCGGGCGTAGATGGCGCAATATGCAAGCCTTTCCGGGTTCCCGAGTTAATAGGCTTGATTGAAGGGCTGGGCATTAAGTAAGAGTGGCTGATGCTCAAGGGCAGAGCAAAGGATGCGACGTGGTAGGCTAGGCGCAGGCGCAGGCAGCATGGACACTGTCGTAGTTCCTGGGCTAGACAATGAATGTAGTCGAGATTCAAAGAAACGTCCGGGCCCCCGCGTCTTGAGACGCGTCCGAGCACGCGTCGTCTGGTCAACTGCAGGTCGTGGGTAATGGGTAGTGACGCCATGGAAACCTTCAACAGATCTCGAGGGTGTGTGCACAATCCAGGGGCGACACTCGCTCGTCTGAAGGGGGGAGGCTCGAAATGGATCAAAGACAAAGCAGAGGTGTGAGCCAGCCACTTAACGCGTCGAGCAACGCGTCGTCCCTAGCGATACGTCGCCCGAGTGTCATGGTCAGCCATTGTCAGATGCGCATCAGCGAAAAATCTTATCTGATCCGAGGCCGGCACGAGCAAAAGACCATTGTGCAGCCAGTGCGGACTAGCAGACGGCCTAATTGTGGTTTCAAATGCATTTCCAAGACTGATATCAGCCGCCAGGCCCCAGAGCCTAGCTGCTCACGGAAACGGCCCTTGCATGTTGTGGTGGGGACAGGTCGAATCGTAGCGCGTTGCGACGCGTCTGCGTTTTGGCACAGGCTGTGGCTGGGTACGCAGCTGAGCGACCATTTTGCAATTCCAGTACGTCTGGGGAGGAAAAACCATGGGCAATATGGGTGTCCTTGGATTGCATGCAGGCACAATGTTGCGCATGCCCACTTCGTTCCTCTACCTTTGCGGTGCAAGGGCTGGGAAAAGCATCGTGGTGGGTGTTGCGAACGCATGAGCTCATAGCGCACTTTTCGCGTCGAGGGGGCACTAGCGGCCGCAAGCGCGATCGCCCTGTCACGTGCTCGCGAGTGAACGCGGATTTATAGAGTGAGCGCGTCTCTTCTCTGTCCCTCTCGACACTACAACGCACCACCACTTCTTACAAGCATATCCACTTGTCTTGTCTCCTCTCCGCTTGTGTCCTTCTACACTCGGCCCAGCGCATTATTATCACTTTTTCTTCTTCGCCTCACACACAATGTCTGCTCTTCAGTCTACACCTTCCAAGCAGGTACGTCACGGTACATGCGGGACATGTACTTCCACGCGACGCGTCCATACTAACGCGTCATACAGGTGGCATCTGCAATTGACTCTCTCAAGATGACCAACTCACCAGCAAAGACACTCGACTTCTCAGACTCGGACAAAGAAAACGTTTTCAAGCCCATTGTCGGCATTCCAGATGACTTCGACGCCAATGTCGAGGACGTCAAGCCTACAGTCGCGTCTACCATTAAGCCTGAGGAGGCACACGAACCCCTCCTTCAAGAGAACCCGGGACGCTTTGTCCTCTTCCCCATCAAGTACCACGATGTAAGTTTTTCCACTTTACGCGTCTGGTGGCGCGTCAGTCAAGTCTCTACCATGACTCATGCTAATTGGTTTTTTTTCACAGGTCTGGCAAATGTACAAGAAGGCCGAGGCTTCTTTCTGGACCGCCGAAGAGATTGATCTCTCCAAGGATCTCCACGACTGGAACAAGCGTCTCAATGACGACGAGCGCTTCTTCATCTCCCATGTCCTCGCCTTCTTCGCCGCCTCCGATGGCATCGTCAATGAGAACCTAGTCGAGCGTTTCTCGAGCGAAGTACAAATCCCCGAGGCACGATGCTTCTACGGCTTCCAGATCATGATGGAGAATGTCCACTCTGAGACGTACTCTCTGCTCATCGACACATACATTAGCGAGCCAAGGCAGCGCCAATACCTTTTCAACGCCATTGACAACAGTAAGTTGCGCCCCACAACGCGCTTCAATTACGCGTCTAACGTGTCATAGTCCCCTGCATCCGCAAGAAGGCCGACTGGGCTCTGCGATGGATCTCTGACAAGAACTCCACCTTTGCGAACCGTCTTGTCGCATTCGCTGCCGTCGAGGGTATCTTCTTCAGTGGGTCGTTCGCATCCATCTTCTGGCTCAAGAAGCGTGGTCTGATGCCTGGTCTTACCTTCTCCAACGAGCTCATCTCTCGTGACGAGGGCATGCACACCGACTTCGCCTGCCTGCTCTTCTCTCTTCTCAACACCCGCCCTAGCAAGGAGTCTGTCCAGGCCATCATCACCGAGGCTGTTGCCATCGAACAAGAGTTCCTCAGCGACGCTCTGCCATGCGCTCTGCTTGGCATGAACGCTAAGCTCATGTGCCAGTACATTGAGTTCGTTGCTGACCGTCTGCTGCTCGCTCTGGGCAACACCAAGGTCTACCACGCCACGAACCCCTTTGACTTCATGGAGAACATCTCGCTTGCTGGCAAGACCAACTTCTTCGAGAAGCGTGTCGGTGACTACCAGAAGGCTGGTGTCATGGCAAGCACAAAGAAGCACGAGCAGAAGGAGGGCTCGTCGTCGCCCGCACCTGAGCCCCAAGGCCAGTCTGGTGACTTCTGCTTCGACGAGGACTTTTAGACGCCTCACTTTGTTTCCTTGTCATGTTTCTACCATCTAATTCCTGTATACCACTACCCTGGACGCTGGTGCCGGACATCATCTGTCTGCATCTTCTGGTCTTTGCATTGTTGGAGTCTCCGGTACTCCTTGAACATTGGCGTCATGGCGTAGTTGATTTTTTTTTTGAGCAAGACTCTGGATGAGCGACGCGGCTGGGTAATGGACTTTGCACGCGATGGATCAACGACCTATATCCCCCACTGAATAATTATGAATACAATATCTCATCAACCAATGAAATCTTGAGCCAATCGTGATGACTGCTTGCTTGTTTTTTTTGTGTGACTACTATTCCTGGCAGCCGGCGTGGCTTTGGTCCCACGAGGCCGGACAGCCTTGGCGTGCTTGATCTCACGCAAGCGTCGGGTGAACCACGCCCATCGGGCCTTCCGATCTCCGCGGTGCATATCGTCTCAATATGGCAGATCAGCCATCCTTCCAGCACATCCTGTTGCTCGTCCCTTGGTTCTCCATGCAACCGAATCCAAGGTATAATTCACATGACGTCACTCGTCCATGTGGCGTTATCGTGCCGAGGCTATCGTGATCCTAATGGGTACAAGCGAATTGCCAGCCTGCAGGCGGTTTTGCGGTGTGCCTAGCCTATCATTCGAGGTTCACATAAGGACCCATTCGCCTCGGACGAAATCTCCAGACATGCCCATTTCCAGCCGCGCGGCACGATTGCAGAGGGCCGGATATGATATGCATGACAGCAGCCGCAACTAGGTTGTAAACATCCGCGACCCTCCGCAAAGACGACCCTGACAAAGTCCGGGCCTTACGCCTCTGGAATCTTCGCTTACTGTTCCTGCGCATCCAGCGCATTGCCCGAGTACAGCTCACCTGTGTTCCTTAGGCCAACACATACCTTGTGTGTTGGATGTGCTTTGCAACCTACTATATCAAAGCCCGCGTAGATTCATGTTGCACTGTCACATGTACCCATGGCTGATGCAATACCCAAGATCATCACCACGCCTGCCGGTCGAAGCGCCGCTCTCCGGCGGCAGGAAACCGCATCCTCGACCACGATTGACGGTAAATCTTTACACCTCGCTATTCGAGGAGTCGAATCACTAACACTGAAGTCCCACATAGCGCCGTTGTCCAACAAGAAACTTGTCGCAAAGCTGAGAAGCCCTACAGCATCACCGGCGCAGCAACATGGCGATGCGCAACAAAATGGAGGAAGCTTGGGAGGTGCAGTAGGATTGTCGGAAACGCCTTTGGACCCGCTCTCGCAAGTATGTCTCTGGGGGTTGCCTTTGCGCCGACACGGAATGCTACTAATGCAGTCATGTTTAGCAAATCTTCAATAGAACAAATACGTCACCTGCGGTTCAGAAGCTTCGGTCGCAGAACTCAGAGCCCGTCGCAAGTCAATTACCGAGAGAATCGAATGATATTGGCATGGATAAGGTTAGTGGTGAGACAGCTCGCGGTGCTGGGGGGAACAAGGCCGACAAGAAGTAAGTGCTTGCGAGTACGAAGTAAGGTGACCGACAAACTCAGCTGACAACTTTTCTAGAAGGGTGTCGTTTCTAAGTCGTTTCATGGGCAGCACTAAGAAGAAGAACAGTCCGGACGGCACAAGCGACAACGGCTCCGAACCAGACGACCCACGTCACGAGGGTATGAATGCCCAGCTCTATGTCAACAACCTCAGTTTCAGTCCAAAAACCCCGCATCCCCCGGCATACATCAAAGTGAGGGCAAGATTCAAGAAGGAGAAGGAGTTTGATCGTGTCTTTCTCGCGCAAGAGTTGCGATGTGGGTCAGGAAGGAAAAGTCCGCCGGCTGCCGGATCCAATCCAGCGCCGCAATCTGGGTCCGCAGCTACACACAATCCTATCTGGGCCGTTGAATTCAGCAAGGATGGAAGATATCTTGCTGTGGGTGGACAGGATCGGGTGATTAGGGTATGGGCCGTGATAGACAGTCCAGAACGACGCCGAGCGCACGAAAACACTGAAAGAGATCGACATGCGCATCATGAGGAGGCCAAGCACCTCAGTGCGCCAGTATTTGAGCAGAAGCCAATTCGTGAATACCAAGGACACACGTCGACTATCTTGGATTTGAGCTGGAGTAAGGTATGTTGTGGGATGATGAACTATCAAAACGGCGTTACTAACGAGCAAAAGAACAATTTCCTCTTATCTTCATCAATGGACAAGACCGTACGCTTGTGGCACATAAGCCGCGACGACAACTTGTGCACGTTCAAACATTCCGACTTTGTGCCTTCGATACAGTTTCATCCGACCGATGACCGGTTTTTCCTCGCTGGATCTTTGGACGCGAAACTACGGCTTTGGAGTATTCCGGATAAGAGCGTTGCGTATTTGACTACAGCCCCAGACATGATCACATCAGTCGCTTTCACACCCGACGGAAAGACGTGTATGGCGGGTACGCTTGGTGGACTTTGCCTGTTCTACGATACCGAGGGCCTAAAGTGGCAGGCACAGCTCCATGTCAAATCAACCAGAGGTCAGAATGCAAAAGGCAGTAAAATCACCGGGATTCAGGCAACCTATTGGCCACCGGGTAGCGAAGATGGGGAAATCAAACTTCTGGTGTCGAGCAATGACTCAAGACTGCGGATATACAATATGAAGGATAAGACGCTGGAGATGAAGTTCCGCGGTCACCAAAACATGTGCAGCCAAATCCGAGCAACTTTCGCTGATGGCACCGGACATATTGTGTGCGGAAGTGAGGACCGTAAAACGTACATTTGGTCGACATCCGCGCTCGAAGGCGGCGAGAAGAGGGACCAGCGGCCAGTGGAAATGTTCGAAGCTCACAATTCAATTACTACTTGCGCCATCATTGCGCCCATGCAGACAAGACGGCTTCTGAGCGCATCAGAAGACCCAATCTTCGACCTCTGTAATCCACCACCGGTTACCTTGGTTTCAAAAGCGGAGTCTGTAGTATCATCGAGAGTGCCTACTGAGACAGGGTCAGCACATCTGACACCTGCACCTACAGACACGCAGTTGAAGAAGACGGCGGGAAGTCCAGCATATATTGCACGCTCTGCACATCAGGGAGGCAACATTATTGTCACAGCAGATTACACTGGTGCTCTCAAAGTGTTCCGACAGGACTGCGCGTTCCAGAAGCGCATACGACAGAGTGAGCAGTGGGACACTACTCTAATGAAACGAGCATTCGTCATCGGCCGACCAAGCAGCATAATCTCACGTACCAGCCGGTCTCGACGAGACAGCGTATCTACACAGCCACCCAACGATCGCATCATGACTTGGCGACAAGACATAACCCACGGCAGCATTGACTCCGGCACCTCGCTCTCCATCCGCAGCGCCTCACCCCGCAAATCCCTTGCAGCCCTAAACCTCAACGCCTCGCCCTCGTCCCGCCCCCACTCCCCCGTCCCCCGCCCCACAAAAACAAACGACACCCACGACCTACGCCCAACAGACACCCCCGGCACCTCGTCCTCGCGCGATCCCAGCACGCCCCCCATCTACAGCACCACCCACTCGTCGAACTCCTCCTTGCACATTAAAAAACACCCCGAAAGACCCGACCTCGACGACCCCGATTCTCGCCCTCCTTCTCCTCCCCATGCTGCCCCCCGCAGCACCACCACCACCACCACCACCACCAATCAAGACATCACAAACCCCCTCCTCCAACCCTCCGATCCCATTTCCAACCCTCTATCCTTACGCAACGGCCAAAGCTGGCTCTTTTGGACGAGTAATGCTAAGAAACCAATGGGTGCGCCTGCGAATTCCCGCCCGGATTTATTAGCCAGGACGAGTTCGACGAGCCTGATTATTGACGGATGAGAGTGAGGAGGGGAGGGGGTCTGTTTGAGGAGGTGGCTTGTGTAGATATGCGTGGGTGTTTTAGGGTCTTTTTTTTCTCTATATATTCTATTCTATTTCATCTTTTCCGTTGGGTTCTGCGTACAAGGTGGTTTTGGCGGGTAGGCCGAATCGCATATACATGTGGGGGTGAGTGGATTCAAATCCTTTTTTCGTTTGGTTGATTGGTTTCGACTTTTGTGCTTGTATGGTATTCATTTGTTTTCAATGTCCCTTTTTTCTCTTCCTATACATGTTGAGTTTGGGTCTATTGTTATTCAAGTAACAAAACAGATGTTTAGAACAGGATTTTTTTTTTAAAAAAAAAACTTATTTTCCTATTTACTGGATTTCGTTATCAGGTGAGGTGAGTACATATCCTGTCTAGCGAAGAAAAAAAAATCTGCAGCCCACGCGCATGATAGCAACGTTATACAGCTTTCTTCGATTCGGACTTGCAAAAATAGAGTATCCCATAACCGACACTGGGCAAAAAAGATGACCTAACCAGGGGTCGAACCTGGAATCTCTTGATGTCGAATGAATCGTAGTCAAGCGCCTTGCCATTGGNGCGCCGCGCCAGCAAAACAACCCGGCTACTTACCGCATCATCTGCACACGCGCGAAACAAAGCATCGAACCTTTTTGCCAACTTTGCCCCCCCCCACCCAAAAAAAAATCAAAAAGAAAGGAGCTTGGAAGGGGAGCTTGAAGAGATGGAAGCAGACGCGGATGGCATGGCGGAGAAAGTGCAATCGCTGAGTGACTTGGAGCTTGCGGTGCTGATATGTCTTGTTGCGGAGCAGCATTGCGTTATTGAGTGTGAGGTGGAGAGGTTGCGGGGGGTGCAGGTGGAGCTTGAGCTTGTGAGTTTTTTTTTTCCCTTGGTCTTTTTCTTTTATGAATCTGAGGGGGGGTGGAAGACAAGGAAGGAAGGAAGATGGATGGATGGGTGAGAAGGAAGGCGGAGGGGGTGGTGGTGAGTGTTTGAAGCTGACAGAAGAAAACAAAGGTAGCAGCAAAGGTGTTTGGACTTGCGTGTGCGGTGCTGGAATGTGAGGAGGGTATGTCGCTGGATGAGTTTGGGAGGGGGATTTTAGTGGATGGGGAAGAGGGAGGGGAGGAGGGTGGACGGATTGCGAATGTGGTTGTTGCGAGGGAGTTGAATCGGGCGAGTGAGCAGGTGCAGGTTCAGGCCTTGGAGGTGAGGTGAGTTCTGTGGGTGGGGGAATGGGACTTTTTGCTAATCGTCATGGGGTAGCTTATACGGGGAAAACGCAATTTCACCAGGACGGCAATCCATGCGGCACCGAAGCCGTTTTTGTTTATTGCGTTGAATGCGGCGGATAGTCCGAGGTTGACTATGCATTTGGTGGGTTGTGGCTTGAAGTCTTTTTTTTTAGAGAGAGAGAGGTTTGACTGACGTGGTTGCAGAATGACCAATTTTTCATTTCGCATAGACACCAAGTCGAAGATGGACTGCCGAATCTTGAGGAGTTGCAAGAGAGGGAACGCGGTTTTGATGATGGTGCTTCGATGTCTTCGGTGGTGCGTACGGTTCCGTTTATGGCAATGAAACATAAACCGCAGAGTGCATTGTTCACATCAGAAGTAAGTGTCTTGGATCGAGTACCTAACAATAACTAACAATTTCAGGATCTCGCCAATCTAGCAAAGCTTACGGCAGGAGTGAAGATGAGCTCAGAAGTGCGGGCATATCTATACAACATTGTTGTCTTTATGAGGCTACATCGTGCAGTTGCAGGAGGAGTGTCAGCGCTAGCTACAAGACACTTTAGCATGTTGGCGCAGTAAGTTGAGTGGTGCTTGAGACGAATGAAGCTGATTGTGATAGTACACTTGCCCCACTCCATGGCTTAGACTACATGTCGCCGTCCATGGTTGCACTGGCCGCTCGCAAGATATACCCACATCGCATCGTCATCACTGCACCAGAGGACGAACGCAGTATGCAATGGGGCAGCTCGGTGGAAGCGGTCAAAGCAGTGCTGGAAGGTGTCACGCCCGAGGATGTGATTGAGGAAGTGCTCGAGTCGGTTGAGGCACCGCTGTAGCAGTGGCACTAGGCAAGAGCTGAGTAAGAATGTGTGTTGCTCATCTCATCGGGGCGTGGTGGGTGTGATTGGCAGCCGGTGGGGTCGCAGGGCCTGCCCCTCGCAAAGTGGGACCGTGGCGGCGCGTTGATTCATGCAGCCGCCTCGACGTCAATTACGCACAGGGTACCAGCGAACAGACTACAAAACGTCGGCGGTACCTCGCAATCGTGCGACTGTTCTGCTGCCCTTTTGCGCGCTTCCACAATGGCAACAACCTACTTCGACCAGCTGAGTCCGAGCGTCCAGGGCGCAATCGAGGTACCTGACGCCCACCAGACGTCATAGCCATGCGCTGATACTAACTTCCTTATTGAGAGCGAGCTTGGGGACCAAGATTCCAAGAGCATTGCCAGCGTGAATAGCCATGATGATGCCTTGGAGGTGCGCATTGAGTTGTTTCCTGCTCTTCTTCTTTCACTCTCGCTTATAAACACCGGCAGGTGGTTTTCGAAGGCGGATACAACAGCCACCGCCGCAAGGCCTCACTCGCACCCCACCCTTCGGGCAAAATGACGTCGCGTCCGGATAACGAACGCCGCACCACCGCGTGCATTGTTCATTCGCTTCTCGAGAAGCATGAGGGTCTCCCTGTTAAGGACCATTCGCAGTCGTATGAAGGCCTAGCCCAGGAGCGGCGTGTCGACAAGGATGCGCACAAGGAGCGCACCCACGAGCGGGAGCACTCGCGGCTGTTGACCAAGAAGGAGCTGTCGGACATGGCTTTTGGCATCCGTGAACTCTCCAAGAAGCTATCTCAGATCCGCCTGAAGCTGCACGTCAAGAACATCTTCATACTCGGCAAAGCCCACGACGAGGGTCTGATCAAGCATTCGCGTGAGGTTACTGAATGGTTGCTGACCAAGGACTCGGCATACACAGTGTATGTTTCGAATTTGTGATGCAATGGGCAGCACTGACAGGAGACAGCTATGTTGAACAAACATTGAAAGATAATCACATCTTCAATGCCCAAGAACTTCTCGACAAGGACGGGTTCAAGGGGCGTCTCAAGTTTTGGACAAATGAAATGTGTGCGCAGAGGCCACAGACCTTTGACATCGTCTTGGCAGTATGATAGCGACATTGATCTGAACCGTACAGGACTAACAGTTCCACAGCTTGGTGGTGATGGTACAGTATTGTACGCATCATGGCTCTTCCAGCGTATCGTCCCTCCGACCATCGCCTTTTCACTTGGATCTCTTGGCTTCCTTACAAAGTTCGATTTCGAACTATATCCACAATCGCTTTCCCGAGCCTTTGCAGACGGTATAACAGTTAGCCTACGTCTCCGATTTGAAGCTACAATTATGCGGTCTCAAGCGCGCGATCCCAAGGGACGCGATTTGGTCGAGGAGCTCATTGGAGAAGAGTCTGAAGACCATCACACGCATTACTCGGATGGAACTCACAACATTTTGAATGAAGTGGTTGTTGATCGAGGGCCGAACCCAACCATGTCGTCGATTGAGTTGTTTGGCGACGATGAGCACTTTACTACAGTCCAGGCCGACGGGATCTGTGTATCCACTCCGACGGGATCTACTGCATACAACCTTGCAGCCGGCGGCTCTCTCTGCCACCCAGACAACCCGGTAGTTCTCGTGACTGCCATATGTGCGCATACGTTATCGTTCCGGCCAATCATCCTACCCGATACCATTGTACTACGATGTGGTGTACCCTACGATGCAAGGACAAGTTCCTGGGCCAGTTTTGATGGAAGGGAAAGAGTCGAACTGAAGCCGGGCGATTACGTAACCATTAGTGCCAGTCGTTTCCCGTTCCCGAGTGTGCTGCCGTTGGATAAGAGGCGGACGGACTGGATCGATAGTATATCGAGAACTCTAAACTGGAACAGCAGGGAGAAGCAGAAGGCATTTAAGGAGTGGAGCTCATAGAAATAGATGCTGTTAAGAAGGATGAGAACTAGTCATGTCCAGCAAACTAAAAAGAAAAAAGGGATTGTCCGATGAGGGTATTTGGCATTATTTGTAGAGTTTACTAGTGTATGAGGTCCATGCAAAATCTTCAACAAGTGACTCTTGACATCATGCTCGTCTCTAGTCTATCCCGCCCCCCTTCCTTATTGTCCTTTTCGCAATAGTCGAGAACAAGTGTTTTATGCAGTGGTTTATTCGACATGCTGAAGACAAGAGAGGTTAAATCATGAATTTGAGAGAGTCTTTGAAATATAACTCATGTAAAATTAAATTTAGATAGTATCTCAGCGAACATGGCACACGTGCTAGCTTTCTAAACAAACAAGGGCCCATAGCCCGTTCCCTCACCCCTCTCCACATCCGCCTCCATGGGCCTCTCAAACTCGACTCGATTCTGCGCCTCGCCCTTGCTAACCGGCAACGGCATCTCCCTCCACAACGCCTGTATCCTTGTCGCACTGTCGAGAAACCTATGCTGCAAGCCCTCGTAATCCTTTACGGTAAGCTGTCCGTCTCGCTTTTGAAAGACGCCATTGACCATGACGTGTTTGATATCGCCGACATTGGCATGCAGCATGATTGCAGCAATGGGATCGGACCAGCCGAGGAGGCTGGGGGCGCGGCCGTTCCAGACGAGCAGGTCTGCTTTGGCATGTGGGGCCAAGACACCAATGTCTGGGCGGCGGAGGGCGAGGCCGCCGTTGCGAGTTGCGAGGAGGAAGGCCTGGTTGACGGACATTGGGTTGCGGGCGGGGAGGTGGCGGCGGTCTACGATTTCGGTGAAGAGGGTTTTGCGGGCGGTTTGGAGCCAGAGGCGGGCTTGGGTGAGGATGTCGGAGGAGAAGGTGAAGTGGGTGTCTATGCCGAGGGAGGCTTGGTCCATGATGAGGTGGCTGTTTGGGTGGAGGTGGCCGTAGTGCATTTCGGATTCCGGGGTCGTGGAGATGAAGTGGTTGTGTTGGCGGAGGAGCTGGGCGTCCGTGGGGGTGTGGTAGCTGGCGTGGGCGAAGATGATGGGGATGGAGGTGTTGAGGAAGTTGAAGGGTTGGAGGACGGAGGGGAAGTTGGGGGCGCCGTAGACGCCGCCATTGGCGTGCGTGGTTAGTACGGATACGTTGTGTTCGCTGATGCTTGGGTCAGTACTTGTTGTAAATTTCATGCTGGAATTCACTTACATTGCTAGATCCAGGATAGATTGCGTTTCGCTCTTGTTGTCGCTGCTGAAGTTGTCGTACGAGATTCCCAAGTTGGTAGGTGAGCCTTGGAAGCGTTCATCCCTGGCTAATTCTTGGAAAAGCTTTGTTTGTCCTTGGATTGTAAAGTTTGGATAGTTTTCAAAGTAGTATGCGAACTCAGCTCGGACACCGCTTTCAAACGTGGCATTCAGTGCTGCCATGGCATGTTCTGCTGACCATGTGCAGTGCGGATAGTCGACAATAGTCGTGACGCCTCCGTTCAGAGCTTCATACAATCCGACCAGCTGACCAATGTATACATCGTCGGGCGTGAATGTTGTAGCAGCAGGCGAGTCGGTGCCATAGCGTTGGAAGTAAGTCATGAGAGTGGTATTGGAGCCTAGGGTCTTGAAAGCCGTCTGCCAGCTGTGGCGATGGGTGTCGACAAAGCCTGTTGATATGATGTCGTTGGTGGCATTAACGACTTCCAAATCGGAGGGTAGGGTGCCATTGTATGATGCTGAAAAGACAGCGGAGATGGTGTCGTTTTCTACAAGGACAGAACCGTTACGGATGACATCGAGGTAATTGGCAGATGTATCCCAAGTGATTACCGTTCCGCCCTGAAAAAGTGTGGCAGCACTGCTGAGGGTAGCATGTGTTAGGGCATTAAGAAGCCCAAGCCGGGACACAGCGTAGCCAGACAGCATTTTGAAGGATCTCAATTGCAACTTGATGTGTCGAATTCAACTGAACTTCGCATCTTATACTGCATCGTATTCTCCTCATGAGACGCATAACATCATATCACGTCTGCCGATCTGCGAAAACAAGAGTGCTGGGATAGCTGCATGTACATGGCCGATGACGTGAAGCCAAGATGAGTTTGACAAAGAGATTTGTGTACGGTCCCTCTTTTCACAAACTCTTGGACCAGCAGAAAACGTTTGCAGAAAATTCCAGTGGAGCCCGGAAAACACAAAAGATGGCAGTGGAGAGGAGAAGACTTGGCAGGCGATGACGCACAGGCCAAGGTGGTGGAGGAGTTGGTGTGGTCCCAACTAGGCAGCAGGTCACGTGAGCGGCGCACGGATCCCTTCCCCCTGGGTATAAATAGAGGGCGTCGGACCGTGTTTATTCCTCATACTTACCTTCTTGCGATGGCCCAGCTCAAGCTTTGGGTCCATCTGATAGTCTCGTCTGCATTGCACAGCGCGGTATGGGACTGTCACGAGCTTCCTTCGGGAATCTCGGCGGGGCAATTTTTGCTGGTCGGCTTTTGAGCTTTTCATTGATGCCATCGCTTTGGCGGTGCTTTGAGGAAGGGCACTGCGAGAACCGATTCGACACACCAGAGGCACGCATGTCCAAGGCCCGTATACGCGTCGATAACTTTCATCGCTTGTACTCGATAGCGCCAATTGGACGCGCCAAGTGAGACCAATGTACCCGATACGACGCGTCAGGATGGCGGCGGTACTGTCGACCTTCACGCAAACCACCAACCACTCCAAGGACCGTCCCGACTGGATAACGACAGAACATCCGGCGACGTATTTTCCTTTTTGCTTCTTCGCCAATCAGACCCAACTCCATAGCTACAATAACAGACGGTGAGAAGAGGTGCAAAAATCCAAAGACAACGTTCATCGACTTGTCTTGAGATTGCAGAAAAACTATAGTGAAGAGACGTGGCCATGTCCAACCGTTTGCTGTATCTACGCGTCGATATGAGTAAAGTTGTGTTTGAAAGCCTCCGCGGACCCCCAGTACATCAATTACGTCACTAACATCTGCGTCAGCACTCCCAGCACGATAGATACATCTAACATCACAATTACAGTGACAGGTGCATGTACCATGACAATCAACCACTCAACCAAACAACACAATTGCATCGTCATCGAGCTCCAACGGAATCAGAATTTGAAAGAGAACCGACCGCTCGTGATGAACAAGACCTACAGCTTATGTGAAGCAGTGTTTCGATATGGCGATTGGATTTGATGTTATTTCTACGCAATCTCCGAATCTTGTTACAAGTACTCGTTCACTGCACCTACTTCGGTCCCATGGAGGTTGTAAGAATCCGAGCGGGAGTAGTGAACACCGTCGTGGGGGCTCTCGGGACCGACATGTGGCAAACCACCGGCCATATGCAGTCTTCCGGTCGTAAACATCTGCACCAGTCCTCTCCAACCTCAGCATCGCTGTCTTGGGCCCAAAATTACGTGTTGGCGTTCCTCAGGCCAGCACGTCATATCCGCCATCAGATTCGCGTAGCTCTAGCTCGAGTCCGCGGAATCCCGTACAACGTCTCTAGTGAATGACTACATTTCGTCACAATTAATGCTAAACTGGAGATAAGCGAGACAGCTATGCACCGCATTCTCCCATCGGGGTAGGGCTGCCAATCATCACTCGCATTCAGCACTATTGTTGCTGCCTGGATGTACTCTACTAGCGATCGAAACGAGTGTGATTTGAAAGCATCTTCATGATGCGTTGAGCTCCAGTTGTAGGCAAGATGGCGCACAAGCAGCCGCTCACAGAAACGTCATCCAGCCATCTATACGTACATAAATCTTCATCTTAAAGATTTCCTTGAGACCATTCACCACCATAAATACTCATTCAAAATGCTCTTCACTCCCCAAATCCGCACCATCTCACGACCTTTGATCCGACAGATACCCGTCTTCAAACAAACTTCCATCAGAATGTCTTCTACCAACGAGCACGGCCAGGGCGCTTCCCATGCCACTGGACAAAGCGCTGTCCCCGGCAAGGTCCAAGAAGCTGCTCCCAAGGGCCTTGAGGAGTCACTCCCCGAGAGCGTAAGTTTTTGACATTTGCGTAATTGTTGACTTGGGGCTCTGCTAACATGGTCATCCTAGGTCCACCCCACTGGCAGCAACCCAAACAGCCAGTCCACAAGCAAGACCCACGCCCTCAACGACGGCGAAGACTCCATCGTCCCCAAAAAGGTTCAGGAAATCGTTCCCGAGTCCGTCGAGAAGGGTAAGCATCCAAGATGACGTTGAAATGAAAAACCGCTAACTTTGACAAAAGCCCTCCCCAACTCCATCCACAACACTGGCAACAAGTAAATCCTTAATACCTACAGAACGCGTTAATGCGATGAGATTATGATACCACCACATGTCATATGTATATAGCCTGAATGAACAAAGAATACTGCATAAGATAAGTCGCACTGGTGTTAACCATGGATAATGTGCAACCTTGATTTGCGCAAGCAAATGACATGTAGATTCTGAAAGAATTCTTTGGGGAGACTTGGTTCCATTTCTCCCATGTACAAGTGATTTATAAGTATTTACAAGTAGGAAGAACTTTTTGACATCTGAACCCTACCTTCATACAAATTTTTCTTCTTACAACCCACTGTACTTGCAAACGCTAAGATATGAGCACGACTCATTGGGTGATTGTCCTACGCAGCAGTACACAGCACCGTTGTTACAATGACAAGTGCCCACAGGACATGTGATTGTGGTAGGACAAGAGGTTTGACGCGATTCTAACAAGGCTCGGGCTTCGAGGCCTGTGAGGTGGCTGGCAGGCTGTGGTATGGCGGAGGCGATGGTGGCCATGAGGAGAGAGAGGATAAGGGACTTCATTATGAAAGATTGGCGTTGGCTGATCTTTAGGGGATTTTTCTTTTCTTTTCTTTTCTTTCTTTCTTTCGATACAGAGATATTTGAAGGATGCGTGCTTAGAGTGATTGGGAGTGCTGTAGAAGTATTGTGTGTTGGAGATGAAATTGAGAAATTTATACCTATGAGCCTTGTACCTCTCTGAATATCTGCGCGATAGATAACTTGTCGAAAATTTGTTTCACAGCTAGAACATGAAATGATTCGACCAATTATGAATTTGCTCATCGGTCAAACGACTGGCTGCGGTCATGTATGTAAACCTACTCGGCAGACGCTACCTACGTTAAAATGGGCAGATTGTGTAGCATAGTTTATTGGTAGAAACTTTGAGTTGAATAGACCATCCTCATTGATTGGGCTGTACCATTTGAACGTTGTACGTGTGGGCTGACTTTACCGGAAAGAATACGGAAGGCATGGCACCGCAAAAGTTTATACAGTGAGAGAACGCGGATGAGGTGAGACGATGGAAACACTAGTGGTAGAGGGTAGGCTTACCTGCAGTAGGGTTGTCAAGCCGGGTAGGTTCCGCATCACAACCCTTGAGTACTCCACGTCACAGATTCAAGGCCGAAAAGAGAGCCGTATAAGCATAAGTTGAATTTAACTACTAGGCAAGAGAGATTTTGGTATTGATAGGTCGTGGCTATCAGTACGACGGAATACCCGGATTAAAACAGCCCCATGTTGAAATACATCTACCATTTGCGAGGAGCCGCATTCACCACGAACTACGTAGTTGGAAGCAAGTATTTCATCCATAACAGTCATAGAGTTTTACGTATGGATTGATATGTGTTAAGAGTCATTAAATCATTCTATAACAGTTGTATACAGTTACATCTGATTCACACTGCGCTGTTTTGGCGGGAGTAGTTTGTCTCCGTGTACTTTGTCGGACTAGGAGCATGGGCGTACCTGACGCTAGCGCAGAGCCGCGGCCAAGGTGACGTTTGTTGCCCCGCCACCCCTCCACATCTTCAACTATTTTTCTAACCGCCATCACCATCCCCACGTCGCGACACCCGTGACACGACTCATACCGAGATAACCCAAAATGGCGTCTGCTACTGCTGCTGATATCCAGGGACCCTCTCACCCAAATCCAGAAGGGCTCAACACATCCGCAAGCACCCAATTCCCTCCCATTAACATCGGCACACGCAACTCCGTTCTTGCCCAAATCCAGGCGCGTGCGGTTGAAAGAAGTCTAAAGGAAGCGAATCCTCAGAGGACCTACAATGTATGCCCTGTAGTGGTTCAAGGCGACAGGGACAAAACCACGCCTTTGCAACAGTTGAGCCAAGGTGAAAATGCAAAGAGTTTGTGGACCGGAGAGTTGGAGAGCATGTTGGAGTCGGGCGATCTGGACATCATTGTGCACTGTCTAAAGGGTATATGGGCTCATATCTGGGATTAATCTAGACCTGAGCTGACGAGACCGAAATAGACATGCCTACTCAGCTACCGGAACACCTCGAACTCGGCGCTATTCTCGAACGCGAAGATCCCCGCGATGCTCTAATTATCTCTCCCCGTCTACCCAAAGAAACCACGCTGGCCACACTGCCTCAAGGTGCCACCATTGGAACGTCGTCTGTACGCCGAGCTGCGACACTACGAATGCTATACCCACACCTGAAGTTTGCCGATTTGAGAGGAAACGTTGGTACGAGGCTAGGTAAGCTCGACGCCGAAGATTCGCCGTACTCGGCTATCATCTTAGCTGCTGCTGGTTTAAAACGCATGGGTCTTGATAACCGCATCACGCAATACCTGAGTGGCAGCAATGGGGGTATGCTGCATGCTGTTGGCCAGGGCGCTTTGGCCATTGAAATCAGAAAAAATGACAAGGTCATGAAGGAGCTTTTGAGCACTATCCGATGCGAACGGACAACGAGAGCGTGTTCAGCTGAGCGGACACTATTGAGGACCCTAGAAGGAGGCTGCAGCGTACCTATTGGTGTTGAGACATCATGGAGAGGAGGGAAAGGCTTGGCCGTTGGTACACAGCCAGCAAAAGACTACGACAAGCATGGAAATGCCATGGAGGAGGAAGAACCAAATCTTGACGATCAAGAGCTTGTGTTGAAGGCTTTGGTGGTCAGCGTCGACGGCAAAGAATCCGTCAGATACGAGGCTGCCCGAAAAGTTCGCAATGCGGAAGAGGCGGAAGAAATGGGAAGGGAAGTTGCCAAAGCGCTGATCGAAAAGGGTGCGGATAAAATCTTGAAACAGATCAGTGTAGAGAAGCAATGGGCAGCCAAGAAGCAGCTTGAAGAGTTGAAGGCAAAGTCTGTCAGCTCTTAAACTGCGAATTGTTCAATGGAGAATTAAAAAGAACATTCACAGGATGTTGATAGCGCATACGACTAGTGAATGATGCTGGCTACAAAGTTCCCAAAAAATTCAATACTTGAATCTTATGTTGTCAACATACCATGATTGAATACTGAGAGACCTTATATAAAATTGGAGACCCCAATAGACTCAAAATATAGAAAGTAGACATTACACAGTGCTGCGAGTCCAACAACTTTCTAGTATCCGGCCTCAAATCTCAATCTCAGTACAAGAAACCATTGTCTCATCCAAACACACACACACGCACACAGATCTCAGTAGCTCACCTCCCCCCAGCAAACAAAAAGGTTCCAAAATGTGCGAACGACACTGGACCCAGTACCTCCACTGCAACCACGAACACCTCCCCATGAGACACACCTACCGCTGTCGCCGCGTCGACGCCGATGCACGGCCAGAGTCGTGTCCCGTGTTCAAGAAAGTACGAAGGAAGATCAAGTATCCAGACATGTGTGATGATTGTCGCGATGCCGGAGTCGAGGTGGATGAGGGGTACAAGGCTGGGAGGTATGGGTAGGCTATGGTAGAGGATGAAGGATGTGTTCAGGGCTTGTATGAGTAATTGAACTGAATATCTTTCCAGATTTTTATGACGTTCACTGAAGTATGTTTGTTTTGATATCGTCGAAAAGGGAGTGTATGGTGTGCCTAAGATAAAGATGTATCGCCTAAAAGCTATGCGTATAATCCCCTAACTGATAAATTATACGTCCATCACAGGCAAACCATCAAACACCCCTCCAAGATTATAGTTTTCGTGGCAGCTCATCCAAAAAACTCCTCACCAATCGTGATGTCCGTCTCGGTAGCGAACACCTTCGATATCTTCACTCCTAGCAAGAACTTTCCAGGTACGCCAGAATCAGAAACTGTCTCCGACGCCACAAACACCGAGTCTTCCAAAATCTTGTACTCCGACTCGCCCCCTTCAAATTCCGGGATAAGAACTGGAAATGACTGTTAGTACAAGCTTTGCTGGGGGTTTGGCGTCATCGTCAATTTTTACCTCTATATACAGTTCCGTATGGGACCTCGAGTCCCGTTGATGCGTTTCCGGAGATAACTGGCAACACGGCCTCATTGCCCAGTTGTACTCCACCCATTCTCATCTGAAAGGGTGCAGAGCCATCGCTTGGTGTAACTGTTCCGCGGAAATTTGGACGGCTGGTCCCGGCAGCCTCATTCGTGGTCGCGTAGTTGACCGCGGGCGTCACCGAAGCGGTGAATTGGAAGTCAAACTTTGAATGCCGAGTTAAGCCACGTTATGCTACATGTTTGATGCCTGAAGATGCATCAACCTCTTACCTCTGGCTCCGTGTACAGTGTTCCGCTTTCGAATTCGAACAAGTTTAGTGCGGCGCCGAAGGAATTGTGGCCTAGAGGTTTCTGTGCAATGGCAGGTCAGACTTTGTTTCTTTCAATTAGTTAGATTTGCTTACGACTGTATTGACGGTGGCCTTTTTCACAGAAATTGTCAGTTGGAAATTCTCAAGGGATGGTTTGTAGCCTTCTTACATTGAAGTAGAGCGCGGGTACTAGGTAAGTGAAGGGATGCATGGTTGATTGTAGAGCAGGCTGTACTGAGATAGCGGTGATTGTTGTGCAAGTTATAGCAGACGGTGCTCGTACTTATATACATCATGGTTACTATACGTCGGAGCTTCTCGATCTCCAAGCTGGTACTGCCACAGATTGCAATGCTGCTAAGGACGGCCACCCTGACAAGATGGTGACTTCATCATCTTAAACTTGCTTTAGGAATTTCTGCTTATCATTTCTGCATTAATGTGCAGGAACTCGAGAAAAAGAATGGAGAAGAAATTCTATTGCAGGCAGTCAAGCACTTAATGCTACATAATGATCATGTAAAGCATGCAAGGGGATCAATCCCAGCTTTTGCGAGCAGCATCCGATTTGCCAGATACAATTGATATACGAAAATAGATGCGACTCGGATACATCCAGTCCTGGCTCGTAGAGATCTTCGTTCGCTATACGGATCTCCTGACTATGCCTCAACCTTTTTAGTGTGGGCATATATAAGATTGCTTGTGCACAAAGCTAGCCGTTCATGATATATCCGGAGAGAAATCCCACCTCCTGAACCCACTCATCCATCTTCATCACTGTCAGTATCAGTACCATGATTGTTATTTTCTTCTTGACCGTACAATGCATGCATGAGAAGGATCTTCTAATGCATCAGTGACTGATGGGCGTCTTGCTGTATAATTTCATTTTTGGGTGACTCGAATTGCTGCAGTGACCATTACGTACCTTCCCGATGCAGGCCATACATATGCACCGCCAGCTCACTCACGAAGACTGAGAAAGATACGGTCACGATCTAGAAGGAGTATTATTGGTGGAAACGGTCACTGGATTTAAGCGCTAATAGCATAGCTTCCAGCAGATGCTGGCCATAGCGTGTCAATGTCATGGGTGAGTACGGTGAAATAGTGTGGCTAGGCTTGAGTAAGTGTGTATAGCCACGATTGTCCCAATGGCATCAGATCTTCGTCCTCAATTTCAATCCAAATAACCTGGCCCGATAATCTGGTATACTGTAGCATCCGGATCGACATACGCTAGCTTGTCAAACGTGGCGGGCACATCGGGCCGCGTCCTAACTTTCCGTGCAAGCCCCTCATACATGGGTTGCTTGCACTTGACCGATCACGGGACGTCCCGAATCCTTACCCATACTTTTTTCAAGCCATCCATCCATTTTCTTCTGTTAGTAGCGTGCTATGATGTGCTAATGCATACTTACTTTTTGCAAGATCCCACTGTAGATGACACTGACTAGTGATATCTTCTGCATAGCCGCAGTGATCGACGTACCATCGACCTAACCGTGGACACATGATCTTTTCCACGGCAGGAGACGGTTGAATACGTTTTTCCAATGAATGTGGATTATGAGGCATGGTCCGTGGCATATTATTTGTTTTTGTAGGCACCCTCGTGCTAAGATCAACCTCATCTGACCAACAGTCCTTGCACCGAAAAAAAACTGCACTTAGGCTACGAATTGTAACTGATCGGCCGTATATTATATTGAATAGAAAATACAGCACAATCTGCCGTGAACAGCCGGAGATGCATAGGGAATGCATCTTCCAGGCTATAACATGGACAGTTGCTGGGAAATGTCATTACCGTGATTTTACGAGCAAAGCACGGCACACTTAATGTGCAATGCATTGAGTTCAATCGAATTCTAGTGACCCCAGATTATAGCAATCATGGTAGCATTAATGATTTTAGTTTTGGTTGTGAGCCATATGATATAGACACGAGGTGTTTGGATTCACCTTGCGGTGGGATTGAAAGGTTGAACTGAGCTATCAAGTTTTTCAAAAGAATTCCATTTGCCTACGTATAAGTCCAAGACTGATATGTGCCAGTAGCAACTCTGGAAGTTCTACTGGGTTGGGCTTTTGCTGGCTTGAAGTCACGTTGTTGAGTCATACACATCCCTATGACAATTAATTGTTGCCAACAAAACGAAGTCAACATACTTACTCCCTTTTCCTCAACCTCAAGCTTTGCCTTGCAAGTCTAATTTGCTCCGGATCAATATCTGCATAGAGAAGAACATTTTCTTCACTCCCTAATTGAGCAATAATGCGGCCCCAAGGGTCGATGACAACGCTGTGACCATAGCTTGACCTTTTTTCGTTGTGTTGTCCAACTTGATCTGGGGCTATCACATATGCCTGACACTCGATTGCCCTTGCCTGGAGGAGTGGAATCCAGTGAATTTTGCCCGTGTCAGGTACAAATGCAGAAGGGTAGATGAGCACCTCAGCCCCCATGCTGACAAGCTTCTGTGCCAGTGAGGGAAAGCGCAAATCGAAACAAATCATTGCACCCGCTTGCCCTACTGGGGTCTCAAAGGGGGGGAGTATGGACTCGCCAGGCTCGCAGAAATTGCTTTCTTGTATCTTGGGGCCATCCAGAAGATTCATCTCGAGCATGTGCACTTTTTGGTAACGATGCAGAACTTCACCCGTGTCACTGATCCATATCAATGTATTTCTCACGCGTTTGCTCTTGATATCGGCGGAGGGCTCATGAATCCCCACTGCGATAGACAGCACGTATTCTTTCGCCTGTTCTTGTAACCCTTGGACAAATACTGACTGCTCTACAGATTGGCAGAGCTCCAAAGATCTTTTCGTGTTCGAGCATATATAATCGGACGCTTCGGGGAAGAATATAGCCTACACAGCGTAAGAGATTGTCTGACATAACCACTCTTGACGACATACTTGCGCACCCGCTTTCGAAGCTTGTCGGACCAGGTCTTTACTGATAGAGAGATTCTTTTCCATTGACTCGGCAGAGCGAATCTGCGCTACAGCCTGTATAAAGTGCAAAGTGTAAGATAAATTAAATGATCAATTGAGTACCTATCTAACTTACAATTTTGACCATATTGAATATGAGTTCTCGAGACTTTGGAAATCTGCAGTTAAAAGTTATGATTTAGCAACCGCTTTCGAGAATCCCTCATCGTGAAATGAAGTATCGTAATTGTAGGCAATGATGGAATTCAAGCGCGTCATGATAAGTTTGATTTGCTGACAGCTCTGTTGTGGCGTCTGAGTTAGCTCATAACCTCAAAACATTGTTCAGGCGAAGCTTGCATGGTGCATATTCATGACGTCTGATATTACAATAGCATGCAGGATGTATGTGAAGACTGGTGGCTACGATGATGCTGTAGTCAGAAATTTCATCCTCGCATGCCCTCCTGAAGTCGACTGTGACATAGGTGATGTCATCGACGTGGCATATCGCTGCCACAAAACTATGCATCGTTTTGTATGGCTAATCCTCGTGTAGACGTTGCCGCTTGGGACAACCCATACAAGTCAGTGTACCCTGGTGAGCGTCGGGTTCCAATGCAGCATCTGTCATATCGCCACCGATGGCGTTTTGTATGATTTAATCTTGGAGGTTTCTGCCTTATCATTCATTATCGGCAAGTAGCAGGATTTGATTGGCATGCATCCTGTCGAATATTTAGCTACATGTTCTAAGACCGTTGTAATTTTAGTTCATTTTCATATAGCAAAATAGCATTCATCATTCCAACCACCCTCATTGCATTCTTTCTGATTTCTCCACCTGATCAGTTCGCTAAATATCATTGTAGTCGAGTCAAAGCTGACAGCTAGCACTGAGAGCACTAGGCCGAGTACCGTAGACCACGTCTAACTACGATGCCGGTACTATGATCGGCCATACATTGCCGATGTTCACCGATCCATCGTGTGTGCTGTCAGCCTCAAAAGAAAGTATCGAATTCTATGTTCATGATCGGTGAGCACGACACGCTAGTGTAAAGGGTGTGACTTGGCAATGTTGCAAGACAAAACTTTCCTAATCAATAAAAAACATCGTGAAAGCGGAGAACCATGAATTCACTGACATATTATGCTAGCTCATGGGTCAAAAATATTGTATATATGCACAGCCATTGGAGGAAATATATGAAGAATAATAGCCAGTAAGGAATGTTACCAAAATCATATCACACACCTTGTTTTGGAAATGGAATGATGCGATCACTCCTCCTTATTCTTTTTTTAAACAAAAGTCTAAATTGCAGCCGATTCGATTGCATGAATCGATGCAGAGCGCTGCTTGCACACCAATAAATCAAACTCAGTGTGGCTCATCGTTACTCCATTCATTAGTCTACCAACGTGTCTAGATCTCATGCATAGTTGAGTGAACCCTGACAATACCCTTCCACCAATCTTTGTACTGCTCCAACAGCTTAGTATTCTCGTGGTGCTCTGGCGATTCCCTCCACTCCAAGTGAGCCTGCATGGAGGGCCACCCCACAAGCGCAAACCACACTAAACATTCATCCTCAGTACCAGGCGCCACAGCCATTTGGCGCGTCCACCCTCCACTCGCTGCTTTAAACTGATCGCCGCGTAGGCTCATAATGTTATCGACCTTTTTGTTAAAATTGCTCACCCAGCCATCAGCATGCGGGAAATTCTTGTCAAAGTAAATAGTTTCGACCATTGTGTTGCCAGCGATCTCCGGATCAAGTGGCTTTGTCGGGAGAGGCGGCAGGAAGTCGACATGGTAAACGTGCACAGACTGGATGCTATTGAGATTCTTGAGCTTCTCCATTATCGAGTCACTGTATACATGTGAGTGAAGTGCAGGTACTACCGATCTAAGGGATGACGTACCGGTCCCCTGTTTTGGACTCTGAGTTCCAGTTCAAAAACACCCGCAACGTCGTTTTGTCTTCGTCCTCAATGCCCCAGAAGCCACGGGTAAACTCGGCTGCGGCTCTAAAGTCGTGTAGAATAGCTTTGAATTCTCCGGCGTCCTCGAAGAAGGGACTGGCCGTGTCCATTGCAGACTTGAGTTTAATAACGATGATTTGGGAAGTCATGGGAGCACCTTGCTAAGCAAAGACCGATGATTTTTGAGATGTGAAGTTGGGATTCAAGTGGTGAAAGTGTGAAGTTTCGTTGAATGTTGCTGGCTTTCTGGAGTGATTTCTATCGTTTAAAAATGAAGCTTCGTGAGCTCTCTTTGCTACATCACGAAACAATGAATGTGAGAATACATCATGGGGCGTCAGGTATGTGGTGAGAGCGACTGTGAAGTTACGTCAAAGGAGGCACTCACTGATGCACTATTACATAGTGTTTGTCGCCTTCGACAAACACCGACGTATGTGCACCTCCGTCGCTATCTGTACTTTGTATGTTGAAATAATGCAGGATTTCAACGTCAAGAGCATCTAATCGTCGGCATCGGATCATTCGAGATCTACCAACTGATGCTGACGTGTACCCTGACCATTTGACGAAAATCCAGAGCACCTGGCGTAAGATTCCGATCTCCGTTCGTTTTTTGGGTGCATTGAGCGATGCGTGTTCCGAGACCGTGGGGTCACATGGATTGCGATATAGCGTGCGATGATCTTCTGGACCAGCGGAGATAATCACACTACTACGAGCAGTGCACTAAGAGACATGATGTCGATGGTGCAGCTACAACCCTGCCTTTGGGTCTGATCTACAGAACAAAGGCCTGTAAAGGTTATCTGCCACCGAGAATAAAGAAGCATTTGGTCTTCACACGCTGTTCCATCATGTTTCTTTCACACCATCACGATAACCTACAGATATCGATGATGGTCCGGCATAGCTATCAGAATCTTGCCAGCAAACGAGATTGTCGTGTCTTCTACGTGGTCGGAGGAAAAGAAAGAGAGACAAATAGCTAAATCTATAAACTCCCCCAGTTAACTACTCCCAGAATCTTGAGAACAGCTCACACCTCCAACCAAAACCTTGAAGCCTGACCAGACCTCGCAGCAATGGCTGCCCTCATCCAATTCAACGCCATCCACGCAAAAACAAAAGAACAACTCCGAACTCTCAACCTCACCTCCACCCCTCCCCCCATCCAACCCCACCTAAGCCCCTACGAACCCCCCTTCGAACGCGACCCAAAAGCCTTCCCACAAGACGAAGAATCCCACGACCCCGACGACGACAACAACACCCCCCCTTACACCTCCCTCCCGGGCATCTCCCTCCAAGCCACCAACTCAGGGTCACACTTCTACCTCGTAACCTGGGACTCGGCCTCGGACCCGACCAACCCACGCAACTGGTCGCTTTCCAAACGCCTAAAAGTCCTCTTTCTGCTAGACCTCGTCGCTGCCGTCGTAACAACCGCAAGCTCCATCGAAGCCCCTGTTGCTCCACAGAGCGCTGCCTTCTTCCACGCTTCAGAATCCGTACATGCGTTTTGCAGCACAGGGATTTATCTCATGGGGTTCGGCCTGGGCTCGCTGGTTGCAGCACCGGCGTCTGAGATCTTGGGGCGCTACCAGGTGTATCTGTACTCGCTGGTGACGTGCGAGTGCTGGCTCATCGGTGCAGCGCTCGCGCCGAATTTAGCCTCGTTGGCGATATTCCGATTCTTGGCTGGCTGTTTTGCGTCTGCACCGATGACAGTGGCGGGGGGTAGTATGAGCGATCTGTGGTCGGCGCGGGAGATGACGTGGACGTTTCCTGTGTTTGGGGTTGTGGGTTTTGGCGGGCCCGTACTGGGGCCTGTGATTGCGAGTTATATTGGGGAGAGCAAAGTGGTGAGTTGGCGGTGGGCGGAGTGGATAATTGTGGTTTTGACGGGGGTTTGTATACTAGTTGTTGCGGTGGCGATGGAGGAGACGTATCCGCCGCAGCTGCTGAAGTTGAAGGCGAAGCAGTTGAGGAAGTTTACAGGTGACAGAAGGTTTAAGACGGCGGAGGAGGATGAGGATGAGGGGCTGGGGAGTAAGCTCAAGAAGAACTTTACTCGGCCGTTTCGTCTGGCGCTTGAACCGATTGTGGTTTTGCTAACGTTCTACAATACGCTCGTGTATGTGGTATTGTTCACGTTCCTCGTGGGTTACCCATACACATTCCAAAAGACGTATGGAATGAGCCAGGGACTCAAGAACTTATGCTTCCTTGGCCTGTTGGTTGGCATCCTGCTATCGGCAGCCCTCATTCCCTTTATTTGGACAAAAACAGAGCGGCTGTGCCGTGAGAAAGGAGATGATGGCTCGGGAAAATCGATTCCCCAGGAGTCGCGGCTGATGTTTGCAATGTTTGGGGCACCATTCATACCGATCGGGCTCTTCTGGATGGGCTGGACAAGCTATGTAAGGACAGAGACGCACATGCTTCTTAACCGGTTTATTGACGTAAAACAGGAAACTATACCAGTTTGGTCACCACTGGCTGCCTCGGTTGTCATTGGTTTCGGTACGGTATGCATATTCATGAGCACTTACCTGTATATCATCGACAGCTATCAGATGTATGCTGCATCTGCACTGAGTTTCCAAACTACTGTGCGCTATGTCATGGCCAGCGTCATGTAAGTTACAAGTTCTAGATGTTCTCTAGAGACTCTTTACGAGACTGATTGAAAATAGGACAATTGGCGGTACAACAATGTACAGGGACATTGGAACGCACTGGGCGCTGACCGTGCTTGGGTGTATTGCCATAGTTGTTACTCCTGTTCCATATGTCTTATACCGCTACGGCGTGATTATTCGCAGAAAGAGTAAATTTGCCGTTAGATAGTTGCGACACCAATATCAGTAAACAAAAAGTTCGTGCGACATGTTAGATTATATCGCTTGACTTTTTCTCTCTATTTGCTATATAGCGTAGTTATTAGAATAATTATTTTAACAAAGAATAGCAGGGTATACTCTAACCTACTAAAATTAGATATTGAAAAAATTAACTTTATAGTTAAAGTATAGTTATCTGTTTGCTATATAGCGTATCAGATCAATTATCTCAGANCTTGGATAGAAAGTAACAATAGGTTGACAATTCCTAATCTATATCGAATAGACTAACAAGTATCAATCTTGTGAAGTTGAGTAACTAGTAAGAAAGTACAATTTGAGTTGACCACAACGAGAGTAATAATGAAATCCATCCATCCTTATATCCTCGTTGCTTCCAGTCCTGCCATCAGAACATTGACCTGCCATCACTGATGATCTTGGCGGGATGTTTGGGATGGCATGCCATCCTAAGGCCCACTGCCATCCCATCCTTAGTGAGATGGCACATCACGTGACTCTAAGCCCCGCGATAGCCATTTCCTTCTGACGTGGACGTCCATAGGCTTCTTGCCGTCTCGTCTCCTGTCAAGGAGAGAATCCTTCGTGTTACTTGTAACATAGAGCTAGAATAGGCGCTTACGCGTAGTAATTAATTTAAATATCTATAGTTATAACTAGTTCTAATTAAACCTAAAATTTTGTTTTATAAAAATGTTTCTAAAAGGCTAGAGCTAAGTTAGATCATAAAATTTTCCTAGTTGACTTTCAACCATACATTCGCGACGTTGATGATTGCAAAGGCGTGGAAGCTGGGCTGAAGTAAAGTTTGAAGATCGCAATTACAGCAACAACACTAACATCCTAGATTGAATCACTCATGAGGACCGCTGAAAGAATGTGCAAGCAATCAGGAAAAGTACTTATGATGATGAAAATGTGCGTAGAAATGTTGTTGAATAATCTCAGAATACAACAGGTTATGTTACAACTAAAAATGACCGTGGGTATCGTAAAGAGAGCGAATGCGCTTGAAAAACGAACATAGAAAAGGTTCCTGGATGTCTCTGATAACAAAAAAAATAACTTATTGCTGTGGTTTGTACACCATGCCGCCACTTCTTGTATAAACATCAGTGCTTGCTGGTCCGGCCCACCGCCTACTCGCTTCTTCCCTAGCCTTTACTTCCCTCTCATTTTGTACAACAACGCAGCAGCAACAGCAACATCCTCTTAGTAAATCGCTGCCAAGACTACCCTTGATCTTGTATGCTCTTCGGATGCGAGTCCGCTGTAGCATAGGAAACAGCCACCATAAACCGCACGACAGACCCATGACGATGCAGTGTCCGTTAGTAGTGCTGTGACCCAACATGTCTGTCGGATCATTCTTTGCAGACTTTTGAGAGAGGCGATACGAAGTTCTTCCGTAAACGATGCAGGGGCAGAAAAGACCGGTAAAGCATGTCGCCGGTTCTGGCCTACATGCGCAAAGGCCGTTTGACCATTCGTGAGAGCTTTCAGATTCCATGTTTGGATGCGAAATCTGACCCGGTTGGTGTGCAGCAAAGTCCAGGCCGTTGGGGCCGTGGGCAGCATCCGGAGAGAAGACAGCATGCATATTGTTGGTTTGGCCTGTTACGAAGCCATGAGGCGAATATGGTTCGTGCGCATATGATGCTTGATTCGTAGGCGACGTAGCAGCTTGTCGTGGTTGCTCTTTGTGCATGGAGTTTGCTGAAATGGGGGTTATGGGTGCTTTTTGTGGTAGTGGTGATGTCTGATGGGTTCCTGATGGTGGGGTAGGTGGAATGGTAGGCATAGTGTGCACCCGGACGTTTGTGTTAATGGGCGATAGATTGCTCATTTGCCGTGCGTGTCTGCTCTGCTGTGTATTTGCCTGCGGGGCTTGATGGACAGGTTGCGGATGTGGTATTGGCGATACAGGAGAGTATTGTTGAGTTTGTGGATGTGAAGAATGCTGAGGCGAGACTGGCGACACAGGAGGCTGTACTTGCTGCACGTGAGAGGGCTGCATGTCAGCCGCACGAGATTGGGGCGGAACAACCGGAATTTGCGCATCGAGCATCGACTGAGGGCGCGGGTCGATTGGTGTGTACCCCACTGGTGACGTCGGAAGAGATATGGGCATAGAATGTGGCATTGGAGGGTCACTTGGAGAGGATGTGTACACGAATGCGCGCATCTCTGCCGGCGTCTGGGCGTAAGAGAAATGACGTGATGCATCTATGTCGACGCGTTGCTGTGGCTCTTGGTGGTGGTGGTGGTGGTGGTGGTGTTGTTGTTGTTGTTGCGGTAGTGGTTGCGGCTGATGATGCTGATGCTGATATTGCTGTTGCTGCTGTTGTGGTTGCTGATATTGCTGATACTGCTGTTGTGTTTGGTACTGCTGCGTCGCAAGCTGCTGAGGCTGGTGCTGTTGAGCTTGCTGCTGTTGCTCTTGATAGGGTGGGACCTCGTCGTCCAAGGGCTGCTGCCATGAGAAGCGGGTGTGCTGTCGTGAAGTCATCTGAGGCTGAGCTTCCTGACTTCGCCCGTAATTCCTGGGGTCCATGTTGTGCAGACAGGCTACAACGAGCGTCTTCTAAACCTGGTGGAGTGGAATGGTCGGCGAGCGGGTAACGAGTTATATCGATGGTGTACCCCAAGATGGCATTGATTTCAGGTGCAGTGAGTAGACGGGACTTATGGGATAGCTGGCTATAAACTCTTGAAGCGTGGGATGCGGAGCACGATGAAGCTGGGGGCAAGGAGGCCTGATATTGGGGCCAGAGGTCTGTACATCGAGTCCATAGCTGCACAAGTCCCAGCCCGAGCAAAAGGCCGCCCTGAAATGGAGCCGCTTCGCGCTCTGGTTGGCTCTTGGCCGTGCCTCATGTCGTAGGCGAGTGGCATTGCGAAAGCAGATTCGCAGAGCTCCCGCCGTAAGAAGGACCTCTTTTTAGACGTGCAGTTGAGGCGCAGGCGTGGCCAATTGGAGATGGAGTTGACGTGTGACAAGGTTGTGGAGCGAGATGGTCGGCGCTTGCGGGAGTCTCGGCTCCACAGCGCCCGGCCAATCAGCTGTTTGCGTCGTCCACTCGCGCCTTTGCGGACCGCTGTGGGGTGGCTCTGACCCAGGCACCTTGACGCAACTGGCGAGCAGTGTTGGCATCATCCCAGGCCAAACAAACTCACGCACAGCCTCAGTGGCGGCCATGAGCATATGTTTGAGTCAGTCTTGATCCTTTCAACACGGCTACTTGAGGCCTAGAACTGCCGCTCACAACGACCCGCTTCACCTGCCTACGTACACCTTCACTGCATGTCTGCACTGCCAACCAGTCATTTCGCGCAAAGATGCCGATCCAGCTTCCTCTTCACCTGCTCCTCGGCCGACGCATGTTTGGAAAGACAACAGTAAGTATCCATGTAATTGGTTGATTTGATAACACACATTATACAAGGGAGACGACGTGCATGGTCGCCTCGTAGCTTCTCAGGCAATCCAGATGGAGAGGATATGAACATGTATCATGCTTATGCGTCCTTATCGACCTTGGTCTTACCACGCTCCTCCTTGTTTTCCGCGCCAGGACGATCCGTCGAGACGGTTCCTTGCAGCTTAGCGGTTTCAGCAACGCCCTCACCCTTCTTGCTCTTCTCGGAGTGCTCGGAAATCGGCGAAGTGTGCTCAGTGTTGTCGTTGGACAAGCCTTTTTGCTTGCCAGACGTCTCGTTGGTGCTCTTGGTCTCCTCTTTACGAGGGTCGGCCTACACACGTTAGCATCGACAGTCGCTTTTCGGTCTTGGGTCTACCAACCTTGTCAGACTCATCGGGAGACTGCTTGTCCTTTTCCTCACTGTTCTCCTTGGTGGGCTTGGAAGGGTCCTTGTGCTCGCTCTTTGGCTTTTCCTCGGACTTTTCCTCGGATTCCTTCTTGGGCTCTTCCTTGGGCTCCTCCTCGGGCTTCTCGTCCGTCTTCTTTACGGTCGAATCGGTACCATGCTTGGGGGCATCTCCTTCGCCGTGGGGTTCACCGAGAGGGTGGTGTTCGGCACCGTGGTTTGTATCTTGGTTGAGGACAACGTAGAGACCGACACCAGTGCCGATGACAGCTGCGCCTATCCTTGAGGATTGTGTTAGCATGTGCTCGGCTAGGAAAGAAGTGCTCAAGAGGTATGTGCATGTCCTTGCCAAGAACTGTGCCGGCTCTTCGGACACACCAACAAAAAGAAACCCATCGCAGTTGAGCTTGCTCCATCGAGACTGTGTCCACAACTGATATACATTCGTCTGGATAACAAAATAAAGACATCTTCGACATACCATGGGACATCACTGCTCTTAGTTTCACCATGTGAGCCGTGGCCGCTGGCGTAGGTTCTGCGCTGCACAGCTCGTTGCCATGGCTGGAGCTCGGCGGCGCGGATATACCTGGTCGGGCGCGCAATTCGTGCGAAAGAGGAAGCGCGGGATGCGGAAGATCTTAAGAAGGACATGATGAAGCTTAGGCAGGCTAATTAAAGCTCGCGACGGGCAATTGATAGGAGAATCGTAGTTATGATGCGCGTAGAGTAAAGATCAGGTCATGAAGGCGAGAATTAATGGGTACGTCACTCGAGTGCGCCTAGCCCTACCGGCTCTAGCTGGTCACGTGCATGTGCGGCGACACGGCAGAGCGTACCAGGCCGGACATTGCGCCATCGCGACAGGTGACTTCGTCTTGCAAAGGAACATGGGACTCGAGCTGACTAGTTGTCGCGTAAATCGTCTTTTGTAGCACTGTCAAGTTCATCGTTGCGAGGGATGCATTCATCCGACACTCGTTCCGCCGTGTCTTGACTACTAGTATGGACACGACGGCCGTGCGCATGGTTCGAGCTCTCTAAAGCAACGCGCAGGCAACGACGACAGCCCATTCACTTCGATAGAAGCTTCTTTTGCTCTGTAGCGGCCAGTGGTGCCTTCACCACCTGACAATTCCACCACCAACCCCCCCAGCTCCTCGCTCTCAATTTCTTTCCCTCCTTCTTGTTCTCCTTCTGTCTGCCCGCGTCAGCTTATACTAACCCCAACCCCAACCCCACTATAGCTGCCCCGCCTGCCAGTGACAACAGTAGACCTCACAACACCACACACCATGGCGCCCTCGTCGGTCCCGCCCAACCCGACTGCACACAATGTCGCCCAATTGTTGCCGCGATTTGTCGACGATGACCCCGACTTCCGCTTCATGGCCCTGAGTGACCTGCACGACATTCTTGTTGTTGCCCACCCTGGCCTCCTCCTCCACGATGACGTTGTTGCGGCAAAGACTGTCGAAGGCTTGCTCACAACGCTTGTTGATACCAATGGCGAGGTTCAGAACCAGGCTGTCAAGTGCCTTGGCCCGTTTGTCAACAAGATCAGTGACAAGACGTTGCCAGTTATGATTGACAAGCTCTCGACGCTACCCACAGGCAATACAGTCGACCAGTCAATACCCGCTCTTGCTCTTCGCGAAGTCGTCGTCTCCCTTCCACGCCCCGTCCACGGTGCTGCACGCAGCAAAGCCGTCGTGAACGCATACAGTGCCATCAGCAGGGTACTCATTCCCCGTCTGATTGGATACAATGTTATACCCCCAGCACAACAGGGCCTCACGCAACCACCCAAGGGTATGTTGCAAGAGGATTTGGACAAGGGAACAGATAGCAATGCCATCGATGTGCTGACCGAGGTCGCCCGGTGCTTTGGCTCCATGTTGCAGGATGTTGAGATCCAGGCGCTGCAGCAGATCACATTCGCTATTCTTGAGAATGACAGGGCGAGCTCCATGATGAAGAAGAAGTCAGTTACTGCCATCTCCACACTGGCTGGCTACTTTTCCGACTCATTGCTGAGTGGTTTCCTATCCAAGATGATTGAGCTTCTACGTGACCCGCATCTTACTCGCAGCAAACGAAAGCTGTACATTACTATACTAGGATCTATGGCGCGTTCTATTCCACGGAAATTTGGTCCGTATCTCAAGACTCTGGCGCCTTTCGTCCTAAGCGCGTTGAGCACCGAGGAACAAGCCGAAGAGATGGACGTATCCGATGATGAGGAAGAGCGTGACCCGGAGATCGACGAAGTTCTTGAGGCTGCCCTCATTGCGTTGGACAGCTTCCTTGCCTCCTGCTCGAACGACATGCGTGCATACACGGAAGAGACGATTGAAGCCGCGACACGGTACCTAAAGTACGACCCGAATCTGGCGCAAGATGACGAAGATGACGATGATATGCCAAGTGACGAAGAAGACGCATTGGAAGGAGAGGACTTTGAAGAAGAGATTGGCTACGACGACGACGATGATGCCAGTTGGAAGGTCCGTAGGTGTGCAGCCAAGGTTCTGTACACACTTATTTCGACACGGAGCAACGGTGATCTTCTTGAGGATGGAACTCTCTACAGTCGAGTCGCACCAGCACTCATCGCACGGTTTAAGGAACGTGAAGAAAACGTCCGCTTGGAGGTTCTGGCGACACTGTCCAACTTGGTGAGGAAGTCGGGCGACGGTCCCTCGCCAGTCAAGTTTGCTGATGAGCCAACTCATGGCGGTATGATGTTGCCACCAAGCAAGAAGCGCCGTCGTGGTGGTAGTGATGCAAGCATGTTCGATCTTCAGGAGAGCTCTTCCTTATCCATGGGTTATTCTTCACCTGCACCAGCTGGAACTCCTCCGGCGGGTCCTCGGGCTAGCTTAGCAAAACTCAGCCCAGACATCGTCAAGGGTGTTGCGCAACTACTCAAGCAGACATCGTGTCCACCGACTACCAAGCAAGCATCCATTTCACTGATCAAAGACATTGTCATCACTCAGCGTGGTGGTCTTGACGGCTATCTTAGTCAACTCATCAGTCCTGTTGTAGAAGCTGCAAAGACTACTGGAGGATCATCAAGCAGTGCTTCGGCAACAGCCAACAGTTTACGAACTCAAGCTTTGCAGCTGATAGGAGCCATAGCAGATACCCACCCGTCCAAGTCTATCCAACCATATCTGGAACCCATTGTTGATGCACTTCTTCGTGGCGTCAAGGAGAAGTATAGCAAGCTATCTATCGAGGCTCTTGCAGCAACCGAACAAGTCATCAAGGCGCTCACACCACCTCGATCCGCTGCGTCAGGCACGGAAAACCGGCAATATCTGGAATCTCTGTATGAAGCACTGGTCAGTAGGATATCAGCAAACGATGCAGATGTTGAAGTGCGCCGGAGTGCCATCCATGTCCTTGGACTACTTCTAGGTCGAAGCTCAGGAACCGAAGGTTTGCTTGCCTCGGATAAGCGAACAGCTGGACTTGAGCTTTTGGCCGAGCGTCTGAAGAATGAGCTTACTCGTCTTGCTTCAGTTCGCGCAATTGACTCAATCGCTGCCCATACCAAGGCGAAAGATGAGCTGTCGGCTAAGTGGGTACAGGGCGTCGCAATGGAACTTGGTGCACAATTGCGAAAAGCTAGCCGTGCTTTACGTGGTGCAAGCTTGAGCGCACTTCGCACCCTCGCGCTGAACCCACAATCGCGGAGTCAACTCGATAATCAGACCAGGATACAGGTAGTCGATATGCTGTTGCCATTGCTCAACGCAAACGACCTTCATCTACTGGGTCCTGCTCTTGTCATTCTCGCTACCTTCGTCAAGGACGATGCACAAGCCATCATGACACCAAGTCTTACTGCCGCGCTATGCCAGGTTGCTCAAGGTTCCATTAGCGGAATGCCACTCGATGCGTTACTCAAGCTCGTCCGTGCCATTGGCGAGCAGCGCGTAGGAAAAGAGTTGATGCAAGCTTTGTTGCAACAAGTTGGTGTGTCTGGACATGCAGAGGTCGTCGGCAAAGTTATTGGCAATCTACTTGTTTATGGCGGCGACAGTGTCGGTGTGAAGCTCGAGCAGTTTGTCACTGAGCTTGAGACTGCGCAGGATGATAAGCGTCAGTGTCTTGCCCTTGTTGTGCTTGGAGAATCTGCGCTTCGACTGGGATCGCAGTCCACTATTGACCCCAAACTGTTCATCAAATACTTCTCTGCGAAGTCTGAGAATGTACCGCTTGCAGCTGCCGTTGCGCTTGGAAGAGCAGGTGCTGGAAGCGTCAGCAAGTACCTCCCTGTCATACTGTCAAACATGGGTCAGCCCTCAGCTCCCCAGTACTTGTTTTTGCACGCTATCAAGGAGATTCTTCAGCACGATGACACAGAGTCGGAGATCATCCCGTATACTTCCACATTGTGGCAAAACCTCGTTGCCGCTTCTCAGCTTGAAGACAACAAGGCGATTGGTGCAGAGTGTATCGGCAGACTAACCATCATTGATCCGAAGACGTACCTCCCTCAGCTCCAGGTAAGACAAGTCTGTATCCTAACATGTTCTAGAACTTACCAATTTCTAGGCATTCTTGAACGACCGCAAGGAAAGCTTGCGTGCCATGGTCATCTCTGCATTGCGCTACACTTTCACCGATACCGACGAAGCGTATGACGAGTACCTCAAGCCAATTGTCGTACCTATGCTTGTTCAAATGCTTAATGAGCCGGATCTGGAAAACCGCCGCTTAGCCCTTATGACTTTCAACTCTGCTATGCACAACAAGCCGGACATTATCTTGCCAGCCCTCGACCAGCTGTTGCCTCTAGCCATGAAGGAGACGGTTGTCAAGCCTGAGCTCATCCGCGAGGTCCAAATGGGTCCATTCAAGCACAAGGTTGACGACGGTCTCGAAATTCGCAAGAGTGCATATGAGACATTATACGCTCTTCTCGAGAAGGCTTTTGCACGACTGTCGCCTATTGAGATTTCCGACTTCTTTGATCGTATAGTCGCCGGTGTCACAGATGAACATGACATCCGTATCCTCTGCAATCTCATGCTTACAAAGCTTATGGTGATTGCTCCTGACCAAGTGCACTCGCGCCTTGAATCGCTTGCCGAAAACTTCCGGACTGTGCTTGCCGTCAAGCCAAAGGAAAACGCTGTCAAGCAAGAGATTGAAAAGATCAACGAAGGTGCCAAGGGCGTGCTCAAGATTTCACTTCAAATCAACAAGCGAATGGGCACCGAAGCTGGCACAACACAGGACGACCCACAATCACGTGTCTGGGCACAATACTGGGAACATGTCTCAAAGGAACATCAGAACGGACTCAAAGCTGTAGCGGAGGAGCTTAAGGAGCGCGACCGCTGATCAAGCTACCGTTTTGTTACATGCAGCCTAGGCTTGAATCGATGGACTGTTACGTACTCACCAACGTACATGATATATCCTTGGGCCCGGACATGGTCAGACCCCTATTGGAGTTGGAAGTTATCGAGACCATATACATATCAAAACCGATTCTACCAAAGGAAACAGTTTTTGGGACAGATGGTGTGCATTGCGTTGCTGTGATTGACCTCGGGATGTGTTTTTTTCATCACCAATTGACATAGTATCAAACAATAATAAAACAGTACAAAGACGCAAAATGACGGAGCTATATCGTTGTGATGATGTAGGTAGTGACACTTGCAGTCTTTGTGGAATATAGAGTTTCTGGTGAAAAACGCATTTTGCTATTCAGACTATCGGCGCAGAAATGGATCACCCCAAGTACCTGTAATATGACACACTGGGAAATCTCGTCAATTCGCACCTTTTATTCTCTCATCTTTGGTTCTGAACCCACCAAACATAAAATCCATCTCATTAAACAATCTAACATAGGAAACATGGATACAGGGCCCACAAAGGCCACTATGGCAGCTCAACCCACCAACAGCCGACCCATGCTCATCTACCCTTTACCAACACCTCATCACATGACAAGCTCTTGTCCCTCCTTCTCAAACACCCCCCACCACGACCTACCAGTTCTTCTCCCACTTCTGCTTATCAACCTCAGGATCCCATTCTTCCTGCATCAACTCAGGGTCAGCACTCAGATCCTGTGGAAGAACCAAATACCAGCAAACGGAGCCACCAGGCCAGCATATCCTGCCTGACTTGCCTTTGGTCAGAGGCTCCAAGGCGCCGCGGTATTCTAGCACAGGCTTGGTTGGGGAGGCAGCGGCATTGAGAAGTGAAGGAGAAGAAGCAGAGAAAAAGGGAGACGGACTAACTGGAGTAGCGTAGATGATGCCGTCGGAGGTTGGGACGGCAGATCGGGCGGCGAAGTGCGCGGAGATGGTGGAGGAGAGGGCGCTGGTAGAGTCTGTGAGGGGGCTACGGCGTGGCTCGATCGGGGGGAGTGAGGTTGGCATGACAAAGAGGGCGCTCGAGGGGGCGAGGGGTGAGGTGAGTGGAGTTGGGATTGGGGAGGGAGTGAGGGAAGCTGAGGGGGCGGCGGAGGGTGTGGCTGAGAGCACCGAGGGAATGCTCTGGGCTACGGAGGGAGTAGCTGGAAGCTTTGAAGGAGTGATTAAAGCTGTGGAGGAGGTATTCAGCGGGGATGAGGGCGTAGCTGGGACTACTGAAGGTGCTGCCGAAGAGATAGCTGGGGCCGCTGCAGGAGTGCTCAAAGCACTGGTGGGAGTAGCTGGGAGCACTGGAGCAGTACCCGGGGTCACTGAAGGTATAGCTGGAAGCTGTGAAGAAGCGTTCAAGGCTGCGGAGGTGTCTGAGACTACGGGAGAACTTGGGGCCACTGATGGGGCAGCGGGCAGGACTGAGGCGGTGGCTGGCAGGATTGAAGGGGTGGCCGGGACGGATGAAGGGGCTGCCGAAGGAGTACTCAAAGCTGATGAGTAAATAGCTGAGACTACTGGAGGGCTAACTGGAAGCGTTGAAGAGGTACTTAGGGGCGTGGAGGGGGTAGCCAGCGCTGCTGAAGAGGTAGCTAGGGCTACTGAAGGAGCACTTGGAACTACTGATGCGGTAGCTGACCCTACAGAGGCAGTACCTGGGACTAGTGGAGAAGTAGCTGGGAGTACGGAAGAAGTACCCAAGGCTGTAGAGGGAGTTCCCGAGACCCTAGGAAGGGCGGCTGAGGTCCCTGAAGAGGTGGCTTGAGCATCCCCGAGCATCGAGCTGATGACAGCCCGATCTGTAGCCGTAGGGGCTGAAGCCTGTGCCTTAGGTTGGATGAAAGATGAGCTAACGATAGTAGAAATGGCAGGCTTTAAGGAGGAAGCGCCGACAGGAGGAGCAGAAGACTTTGAGGGAGAAGGGCCAGCGGAGATGGGAGAAGGGGTGGATACGGTTGGTATAGCAGGGATAACGCCGGGCCGTAGAGGGGCTGGAACTAAGAGATCCTGGGGTTTGTAGCAAGCAGTACCCTTAACCTCGACTCGGCGAAGACTTGTTCATAGAGTTAGTGCCTACCCTCAACTATAGAGAATACGGGATATCAGTGATTAGACATACCCATAAGAATCCGTCTCAGAGATCTCAACGTCACCACGTAGTTGACCCAGGTTTGTAGCGAAGCTGCAAAAGTGTCAGATCTTTGACTTCAATGGATGTTCAAAGAGTCTTTCGGTAACTACTTACGGAGCGGGCCAATACTCGGAGAACATGGCGCAATGCTGAGCAACTTGGACTCCATTCCGGCGCTGTACGTAGGTGTTGACGAAGCGACACTTGCGGCTTTGGATATCTGTATCGCCAGCAACCTTGCAAGCGTCAAGGCACCTCTGGGCATCAAATTTACCATCGCGCCAGGCCGCCACGCCCATGTAGGTATCTACGCCGTTGCAGTCCAGAGGTACCTGAATCGCAGCGCCATTTTTGTACTTTTCCACAATCCAGTTCTTGAGGATGTTTGAAGAACCATCTTTCCGATTGCTGAAGGTAATGTCTTTGACATATGCGTTAGAACCAGCCATGACGATACGGAACTGCTCCCGGATTTGTCCCTTGTTGATGTTGGCATTGGGCGATATGGTGCCGGACCACAGGGTGCACTTGATCATAGTGCTGGAAGAGGGGTTGGGGCATTTTGGGCCAGGCTTGTACATGGGCGTACGCTCGAAGAAAATGCCGAATATGTTGCATTTGTCATCTTTGCCACATTCTGCAGCACCTAAAGAAGTTCAGTGTGGTGAAAGTGATTTTTGTTTGCAAGTTGGACTAAAGAGATATTGAGGCCTATACTGGGCATAAAGTGTTGCGTTACAGGGGCCGTGAGTATAGAAAGAATGATATGCCCACTTACATTTGCTGACATCATACGAATCCAAGTCAGTGTAGCGAATGAACTGAGAGGGTTCGTTGAAGGTGGTGACCAGGTTGGAGTACGCTTGGATATAGCCAACAGGTGTAGTTGCGGAAGTGGCTGCCAACGAGAAGGCGGGAAAGGATTGGAACGCCTCTGCAGTATCAGGTCGGGGGATGAGACCGCGGCCATGGGGTAGGGGCTCGCATGCACGCTCAGCGTTGGGAACGGCGGGTGCTGCGAGGACAGTCGAGACTGCAGCACCAACGACGAGGAGCTGTTGGAGGGTTGACATGTTGCTCAGTTAGTACAGAACCTAGGTTGTTGTATGACTGAGGTGGGTGTCGAAGTTTCTCTACTCGGGAAAGAGGAATGAACATTATATATAAAATGGATCTATGTGTAAATAGGATTCCGAGGGATGGTGAAAAGGTATGCACTGCGTCGACTATCCACAATAACCACAAACCTTCCATGATGCGCAGCCAGTAACAAGATTGTGGTGGGTTTTAAGGGACCTGTATGTATGCAATCAAACTCAACATTACAGCCACAAAACATTGACATATGTGTTGACCACTCACAGTTTGGCCGACCGACTTCCAGACAGGATGCTACAACCCTCAACAAGTCCAAGTACAAAACTTCATTGAAAGATGTCGATTGCATCAGAAATCCCACAGCACCTCAGACCTACCATAAAATTGGTCGTCTGTGCACACGCAAGGACTCATGTCACACAGCCTGAGTTATTTCGAGCCAAGCCAAAAGTGACTACTGGAGACAGGAGAAGCGGCATTCAGAAAGACATTATTTAGAAATATTCATCTAGAACGAGCAAGTAAACTATTTTCTTGCGGATTGGCGGTTGAGGTCAGGGCGGTCTGGCCTAGACCCGACTATCGCCCAATGGATTCCCTAATAGGCAATTTCAACTCAGCGTTGAATGTAGAGGGAAGTTGACATAGACCAAAAACCTAGTGATCAAAATGAAACAGTGTCAATAGAACGATGGCTAAGGGTGTAATAGCTGTTGATGCAAGCGAGCCACTAGCTATGAAAAGAGGTACCCGTTAAACCTTCTAACCTAGACCAAGCGCCCACCAAGCTATTTCCTACTTTGGGCATTTTTCATCAGGTGTCGAAGACAGATGCAACGTCACCAGTTACAAGACCACAATGGCTGTTACACAACATTGACACACCGTTGGCAAAAAAGCAAAGACGGTTCACTCAGTGAGGTTCGAGTAAGCTCCACCCTACCTACTGTAAACGTCATAGCCGCATTTCCGCACCCAACCAACATAGTACTCTCCAAATAGCACCTGCCACAATCCTAATCATCACCTCACAACCACTTTCCCTCCGTTTTCCGGACCATTCCATCAACAAGCCCTGATCCGAATTCCCAGAAATTAGGTGGGTAAATAAAAGCACAAACAGTGTGTCAGAATGGGCCGCACGGAGAAATCCCAGGGTCTAGCGCCACCCGCAATTCGCAAAGATATCCGAGCCAAACAGGCGCGCCACATCATCAATAAAGTGGTGCCTGCGCTTCTCGCATCGAATGCAAGAGCAAGACGGGGTGTAGATAGCAGCGAGTTGATCGCTGATCCGGACCCCAATGGAGCATCAGGACGACAAGGCCCAAGCAGCGCACGTACAGAAAGCGATGAGAATGCCATATATGTAAAGCGAAAAGGCCAAGGGCGACGAAAAGCCAAAGGCAATGAGATTCCTGACGAAGACATTGTCACAACCGCAGGCGAAGGAGGAAAAAGAGACGGAAGCAAACCCTCATCAAAAGGCAAAAACCGTAAACGCAATGATTCTCTCGACGAAGGCCTCTCGAGCCTCACCTTTCACCCATCCACTCTCACATCTTCCCCCCCAAAATCCCGCACCATCCGCATAATAGCCACCGACACCCTAACAGCCGCGCACCTTCTTTCCCACCCTGTCTCCAAACCCTCCACCAAGAAACCCCCAAACACATGCATCTTAAACATGGCATCCCCCCTCCGTCCCGGCGGCGGCGTCTACCTCGGTGCAACCTCGCAAGAAGAATTCCTCTGCGCCCGCACCACGCTGCTCCCCTCGCTCAAAGAGCAATACTACCGCCTCCCCGAATACGGTGGCATCTACACCCCCGACGTCCTCGTCTTCCGGAGCCCCGGCCCGCTGGGCGATGGCCACGGCGAGCTGCCGCCCACGGAGCGCTGGTACGTCGATGTTGTTTCAGCGGGTATGCTGCGGTTTCCGGAGCTGGAGGGCGAGGAAGATGAGGAGAAGAGGTTGGGGAGGATGGATCGAGAGGTTGTGGAGAGGAAGATTAGAGGCGTGTTGAGGATTGCGGAGCAAAAGGGGGTGAGCAGGTTGGTGCTTGGGGCGTGGGGGTGTGGCGCGTATGGGAATCCGGTGAGGGATGTTGCGGAGGCGTTTCGGAAGGTGTTGGATGGGGGTGTGGCGGGGAGTAAGAAGAAGAGTAGAGATGGGGCAGGCGGTATAGAGAATTGGTCTGGGATTGAAGAAGTGGTTTTTGCGATTGCGAATCGCAAGATGGCGGTGGATTTCGCGGGTGCATTTGGCGGAGGGATTGAAGTGGAGGATGGGCCTGGGGCTGCGGACGAGGATGATGAGGATGAAGAGGAAGACGCGGTGGCGGAAGAGCTGAGGAAGAAGATTCAAGAGATGGAGGGGCAGATAAGTCAGGTTTGGAATGCCGATCTCAAGGCGAGGATGACGGTTATTCTTGACGGATTGAAAGCACAGCTGAGGGAAAGAGAAGGCACCCCTGAGACGAGTATGGCTGATGAAGAAGATGGCGAGGGGGAACAAGATGAAGATGAAAGCGAGGAGACTGATGAAGAATAGGCATCAAATAAGAATGCATTGCGGGGTATCTTAATCTAGTAATTTTCCTATCAAGGCTCAACTTTTTCTTTAGGTTCCTCATCCTCGAGCCCCAGCTTCTTCAAATCAACGGCTAATGGATCGCTCTCTTCAGTACCCTCAGTAGGGCCTTCATAGCCAGGTGGCGGGAGTGCCCAATCAGGGAGCCCAGTCTGGTAGTCCCACTTTCCTTCCTCGCATCGATATCTCCGGGCGTGGAGATAGATGCCGAGTTCATGGACGCCTGGGTCGCTATACAGATCGGTATCACAGACTTTGCACTTTTCGCCCGTCATGCGTTCAGCCTTGCGCTTGTTGTATGCATCGACCATTTCGTCGTGATAGGCGACTGCATCGGCAACTTCTTCCTTGCCCATGCGTGAGAGACGTGACATGATGTCTTCGTCGTCTTCGTCTTCAGATTGTCCACGTCCTAGAGAAGGTCCAAACACGCGCTGGTTGGCGTAGATGGGATCATTGGAGATGGGATGACCGAGAAATTGAAGGTGGACGCGCAGCTGGTGGGTCCTTCCCGTCACAGGGAAGCAGCGTACGATAGAGTAGCCCCGGAGTTTCTTCCATGGCTGGCCGTCAGGATCTTTCTCGCTTTCCTGCTCTTGACTGCTATTTCCATCGTCTTTCGGTGGGTAATATGCAAGTCGCTTGAAGACTGTTTTTGCCTCCTTGCCATTGGCGCGAACACGATTGAGACCCAGCTTGGGGCTGATCTGAAGTATGGGCTTTTCACACAGAATCTCGCCCTCTGGAAATTCGCCAACGACCCGTGTGATGTACTCCTTTTTGACAGTCCTTCCTCGTATCTGCGCACTCATGTCCTCTGCAGCCTGCTTGTGTTTTCCGATGAACATGATACCACTGGTGAGGCGGTCGAGTCTGTTGCAAGGTAGGGGATTCCAACCGTATCCACGATCGGCGCGCATTATCTCAATGATGGAATTGAAGTTGTAGCGACCAGCGGGGTGGACTGGCATACCCGCAGGCTTGTTGATGACAATCATGTCATTGTCCTCGTGAACGATGCCGATGGGCTGGGCAGTACAGGGCGGCTCATGGCGGTGCAGTGTGTGAGAGATAACATCGCCGTTGTTGATAATAGTCTTGGTGCTGGGGACGGGCTTGCCGTTGACTACGACCCGGCCGTCGATGATGGCCTGTTCATAGTACTCGGCAGGACGGTCGCGAAACTCGCTCGCGAAGATGTCAAGAATTTCGCGGCCCCGCCATCGCTGTTTGCAGTAGGTGTTGTATGTGTAGTGGTAGGGCGTCACCTTGCGCAGGCCATCCTCGAGGTAGTATGGCGGCGGCCAGGGATCGCAAGGTGTAATGGCGACGGGCGGCGGCTCTTTCCACGGAAACTTGTCGTCGGGTAGAGGCGGATATTTGTCGCGGGGAGGGGAAGGCACGAGTGCCATGGAGGGTGAGCCTGGGCGAGTGTGGGCGACGGGCAGGCGGCCCTTGGAGGCGAGGAATGCGAGGATGCGTGGAGACGGCGCCAGAATCGCGGGGCTTGGAGGGGTTGAAGGTCTGTACCGAAAAAAACGACTTGGGACAACGTGGGGGTTGCCGCGATGTGGCTGGTGAGCATCGTGTTTGGCCAATCACACACCACTTCCGACCGCGTCGGGTGGCGCAGCAACGGACACTGTTCAATGCTATCAGCCACTTCCGATGCAACCGGATGGGAGTGATGGCTGGCGCCAATCGGGTTGGTGTCGGATGCATCCGACACCAGCTGGGACCCGTTTCAACGAGCCGAGGCTCAGTCGCAGCCACGGCCGAGTCTTGACCACAGGACACAACCGCGAATTGCGCCACCTCAACACCACACCACTGATATTCTTCATGGCTCTCGAGGTACTCAAGTCGCGTCGTCGCGGCGACTACAACTTCACCCTTGAGTACAGGACGCGATGGTCCGTTGTTTTGCTGTGCCCCTGTCCAATGCAACGCTGACCGCACCAAGGAGCGACAATGACATGTACCACCATATGAACAACAGCGTCTACTACTACCTGCATGTCTTCCCACAGTCGCATGTGCTTATATAGTCCTCTTTAACTGACATGATACAAGTTTTGATTCTGTTGTCAACACATATCTGATTAAGCACTGCGCACTGCACCCACCAACGTCTCTCGACATCGGCCTGGTTGTTCATTCTCATTGCAACTACCTTGCTCCAATCGAGTTCCCTGCAGTCGTTGACTTGGCCCTCAGGGTAAACAAACTGGGAAAGAGCTCTGTCACGTATGAGATTGGCGTCTTTGAACAGGGTCAAGAAGAAGTCAAGGCAGTTGGAGAGTTTATCCATGTCTTCGTCGACCGCGAGAGCAGACGGCCGAGAAAAGATGGTATGACTGAGGCACTCAAGGCGGGTCTCGAGAAGTTGCTCGTGGAAAAGTCGAAGCTCTGAGTTTTGTCTATGCGTCAGACAAAGCTATGTCAACCAGCTAGGGCTACGGCCATCATTCTCCTGCTCGATTAATTCGGCATACAAGTTGCTTAATACTCCCATCATGCCCGTTGAAGGAGGTTGGTAATTGAACGCTTGAGATATTGGATACACCCCATATAACGATAGTCAGAAGATGGATCTGGATAATTTAGTGATCACAAGAACAGACTTTAATTAAGAAGGTTTCACCCACGATGAAGATGTTCTTATGTCTCCTCTCCTCCAGGGTCTCTTTACATCCTCAATCGTTTTACCGAAAGCCCTAATGTCAGAATCTATCTCAGGTAGCACCAGAAGCGGGGGATTATATTTCCGTGTACCGGTAATACATATCCGAACATCATCTACCATCATAGTCTCTGGTTTCTAGCGTTCGTAACAATTCATATAATACCCCTAGTATCTCTTCTACTTACAATCGACCCTTTCTTCGCCAGCTCGGCTACCCCCCAACCATTCCCATCACCGCTCCAAAAATGCGCAACCTCATCTCCGGCCCCGGCGTCCTCTTCGTTCGCTCCCGTATCTCACCCAAATCCCACCCCACCCTCTCCGAATCCACCTTCCTCACCTGGTACGACACCGAGCATATCCCCGAAGTTCTCTCCACCCACAATGTCAGCAGCGCCTTCCGCTACGTCGACGTCTCCAAAACATCTCCCATCGGCGACTCGCAAAACCGAACCCCGTTTTTGACATGCTACCCCATGTCTGATATAGCTTTCACGCAAAGCGAAGCGTTTAGAGCGATTAGCGTGAAGAGTGAGAAGTTACCAGGGACTGGGGTGATATACGATCTTGCGGATTTCGAGATTAGTTATTTGGGGTTTTTGGGAGCGACGCCGAGAAAGGGAGATGGTGAGTGCGTTTTTGAGAAGTGATGGAAGTGTGTGCTGAGGGTGGTATAGGGCGAGCGAAGTTTATGATTACGTATGGGGTTAGACCGGAGGAGGAGCCTGGACAGGATAAGGTTGTGGCGTTTTTGGAGAAGGTATGAATTCATGTTCTTTCTTGGGGAATATTGAGAGATGGCTAATGTTGAGTTTTGGGGGGGAAGCAAACGGCTGTGATATCGGAAGCACAGCATTATATTCGTACGCTGCATTTCAAGTTGTTGTATGCGAGGACGAATGCGCAGTCTCGCGCTCTGAAGGGTTTACCTACTACCGATGAGCCGCATTTTGAGCCGCCGACTTGGTTGGCTATACATGAGTTTTCCGAGTTTCCCGAGGAGTCGTTGCTAGAGAATGTCAAGAGTGATTCAAAGACGATCTTGAATGAGCCAGGAAATGCTGAAGGATGGGGGAAGACGGAGAGTGAAATGCATGTTTGGAAAGTAGAAACCGTTCATGGGGAAGGCAAGTTATTTGATTGAAGACAATTGTCATATGCGTTTGAAACCTGAAGGTATGCATAGTTTCCAATGTTTCACGCTTTCAAATCCGTAGCCATGAGAGCGTAGCAAATTATAAGATAATTTATTCATAACTAGAGAAGTTGAAAGACACTGAATTAACTATAGTAATAGATGTATCCAAGGGACTGTGGGTAGAAGGTCTACCTTGCAATCAGATTGCTAGGGCAAAGAGCCTGCTATAGCAAATAGCAAAAAAAAAGTCAAGGAACCAGGCAAAGAAGAGCAAACGAGTGAACTGAGGGTCGAGGTGATCGGCCTATGGGCTTGGATTGAGGCAAATTGGGTATCTGGCCCACGTTACATGATATACTATGCCTGGTTCATTTCGAGTCGTCAACGTCGTTACCTGGTGGGTTCACAAGACAGCGATTGCATGTCCGATACATCCAAGCCTTATTAGCGATTGTCTCAGCTATGGTTTTGTGGACATCATGGTCAGGCGGCAGGATTTTTCTGGCTATCCGCTGAGCTTTCTCAAGCAATGGTTCCGCGAACTGTGGCAAGCTTCGATCGAGATAAGACCTGGCATGCATCATGAGGTTGGATAGTGCCTTCAAAGAATAGTATCCGTCCGAACTGGCATTCTCGATCTGTTGTTGACGCCACTGCAACCACCAGTCGGCTTTCTCGTACTCGCAAAGCCACGACAACGAAGATATGACTCCCACCGTCAGTTCGTCGTGAACTTTTGCGCAGTCATCTTCCGTCGATCGGATCGTGCTGAGAATGGGTTCGATTTTCTCCCTGACCAGGGTGCTTAGCTTGTGTAACTCACCCGTGGTCTCATAGTACCTTCGCAACTGTTCTAATGTGCACAGATGAAAAGGACCTTCGTTAAAAGTGAGAGCGTAGTCATGAACAGCCTCCAGAAGAAGTTTCTCTACTCGATGTCTTGGAGGATCTGCACTACCTAACGGATGTCTCCCTGCTTGCCATTTTTTGTCGGTGTAGAGATGAGCGAGTTGGTGCTTGAAGTAGGCGATCTGATCTCGATAAGTGCCACCTAGCCCTTCAGATTGGCGGATCAGATCACACAGCTCCTCTTCAGCAGACTCAAAGTCGCCTAATTCGCGACATGCGTCGACAATTTGACATTTCAACCCCAGGGTAAGATTGAACATGTCTTCGGAACTGGTCTCTGATGCTGCGTGTAAACCATCTCTTGCAGCAGTGAACGTCTTTAGCGCTTGGCCATGCTTTTTCTCTGCGGCGTATACCAAGCCAAGTCGACTAAAGCTCAGCCAAGTCTTCTTGTGATTGTCACCGAGCAGCTCTTGATGATGGGTGTAGGACTTGCGAAGTTGCTCCATAGCTCCATCGAGGTCCTTGTTCTCGATGGCGACGTCAACAAAACGGAGTAGAACGTCGATGACGATCTTGTTTGTAGAGCCTAGGAGGGCTTCCAGTCCTTCCAAAGCCTCTATGAAGGCAAGCTTCGCTCCGGGATAGTCATCGTGCTCGATGAGGGTCTGAGCATTTCGAGAAACTGTGAGGAAGCCATCGACATCCTGGCCATTGTAGAATTCTGCCCTTACTGACATATCGTTGCGATTGGAATAGTTATCCGGAATTGAATGTTTCATATGCGGCGACTTCAAAGTATTGTAAGTCAGATTGGAAGGCGACGCTGTGATCAAAGGTTAACAAAGAAATCACCATCGCCTGATGTTGCATACAGCGGATGCACGTACATGCGATTGGAGACAAGGCGCCATCAGCATACTCCTGCGTGTATCTTTTGATCTTGTCATTTGGTACCGGTTGTCTACGGTATCTGAAAGATGTCTTTTTCCCCTCTTCGATCTGGCGGAGCTGTGCCTTCTTCACCATGAATTTCGCGACAGGCTTCGGGATTGACTTGGAAAGGTTCCATCTAGAAAAGGTGTTTTTCCATTACTGTTCGCTAATATATTTGTTAATAAAACCTGGTAGTTTATGGCATGCCAAAAGACTTCTCACCTCGCGACAAAGCCGTGCTCCTTGAGTATGAGTTTGCGCAATTCCTTGAGCTCCATGCGGTGGTAATTGAATCTAATAAATGGTTCATGCTGAGCCCATTCTGATCGACTAATACGTTTCGGGATCGAGGGATTAATGCTCAGTTCAGGTCCAACCGCTGAAGCCTGTGCTGGTACGAACGGAGTCAACCGTGGCGCAGCTATGTCCATCGCGTAAGTATCAGAATCAGCATGCGAATCGTTGATGGATGCCATGAATAGAGGTAGACGGGCATAAATAGGGTTATTGATAGCAAAGTAGCAACACAAGTGAAAAGTTAAATGGTGTACAGGATCGTGTGCAATCTGGAGGTGAATGGAATGGTGAGCTGTCAGAAGTTGAAAAGATCAAGGGCGAGTAATATACACCATGAGGCTCTGCTGCGTCAAGGCACTGTTACACAGGAACTTTTTCGAACCTTTGCGTTTATGGGGCACCTGAAACAGGAAGGCTATGCATCCCATGATTTCTTTAATTGCAGGTGGCGCCCCCCTAGTATTGACCCTTTGAGTTGGCGCTTCCCTTTTATCTGCCTCGGTTGATTACCCGGACTAGCTGATAGCATCTCGTTGCGACAGCAGAAGGCGTGCGCGACAGCAGAAGGCGTGCGCGACACCAGAAGGCGTGTGCGACAGTAGAATGCATGCGCAGTCAGCTCTTCTTGCTACATACGTACATGCCGAGAGCCATCGGGGCGCACGCTAGCGGCGATACCCAGCACGCGTCCTATGCAGACCTTTTGCCGGGTAGTATACTATGTTCTTTACCTTTTGATGGGCACCTCCTCCTGAGGCTTGCAGCGACACACAAGACTGCGATCCGCCAGCGCGTAGGTAGTAGACGCAGCGAGTGGAAGATAGAAGAGACAATAGTTAGAGGCACGTGCTGATTCACAAGACCCTCCTAAAATGGAATATTTGTGCCTTTATCAGCGGCCGCCTCGAAGCTTACTTTTGGCTGCCGTCATGCATACTCCAACGGCTGCAGCCCCCCGGCCGGGCCACCTCGACATGCAATGGTACAGGTAAATCACGACGCAGTGGCGGCGGAGAGTATTTGGAGAAGGAGGAAAGGTGCACAGTGCGCATCAGCTATGTTAGTGGCATCCAAGGAGTGCAGGGACATGGGTATCTGCCCCTGACCGATATCGCCTACGTAGGCGTGTGTTACTAGTGGCTGGCGAGCGCGATCTTCATCGCAAATTCCCTGGTAGTAATGAAGCTTGTCTGGTTGAACATAGAAAACAGGCAGAGCCTCATTGTCTCAAAAGTTCCCAAAAGGCTCCAAAACTGAGCCGCAACAAGAGAGTCAGTGCCCGCAAAGAACTAACATAAATAGCCCGCAATGCACTCTCCAGACTTGAAGTTACTGGGCTTCAAGAACTTTTCAAATCATCACTCATTCTACTAGTATTCAAATGATAACTAGGCTATCAGAAAATGATGGTAAATCTCGCCAAACATCCTCCATTTTGAACACCTACCTTCAAACTACGCAACCAACCTATCAAGACTGTACTGGACTACAAAATTACGAAGAGGGCCACTCTATTGATAGTGAGCTTTACTGGGCTGCAACCAGTATTGCCCATGATGATACCGGATACATTCAAAGCTTCAGTCACAACAATGAACCTCAGTGTGCGAACGAAGCCACCGCGAACAATCCCTGGCTTACTCAACCTGTCGTCTCAGGCTTTCCTTTAGACGACTCTCATAATTCGACGTCTCCTTTCAACGTTCAGACAATTCCGGCAGCCATTCTCGGCGCCTCAACATCTTCGTTCATTGCTGGAGTAGATCACTGTACTTACGCCCACATGTGCAACTACGAAGATGCCCACACTGTTGCCTCGTCATTCGGAGGGAACAGGACTCAAAGTAACCCGTCACACCTCTTGAGCCGAGACACTTCCGCTTCCGCCAGTCGTGGGCACGCCGTGCAGCGCGACAGAGTCCATTGCACTTGGCCCAATTGCACCAAGACCTTTGGAAGGCTGCAGGAACTGGTGCGTCACCACAACTCAATCCACAAACTTAGGACGCCTTTCTGGTGCCCCGTACCGAGCTGCAACCGTAGCAGCAGCTTTCCTCGCCGCAAACGTCCGTTTTCGAGAAAAGACAAGCTCGACTCGCATATGAGGAACATGCATCACATTACCTTTGGTGATTCTATGATGGCAGTTGTGCAGGCTGGCCTAGATGCCAGAGGTGGCGGGAATGCTGGTGCAGAGTCGGGATCTGGCAGAAGTGGCTTCAACACTGCCAACAGACTTCACGGCGTTGGAGCGCCTTCGATCCTAGATGATCAGACTCTAAGCAACGGTGTAGCCGACTTTGTCCATCCTATTGCCGGCCATGAATCTTTGGATCCTGATAGTGTGAGTACTGCTGACTGGTTCAGCGGCATGGATGGAGTTGGCGGCTTCAATGCGTTTCCCAGTCCTGACCAAATGGATGCAGCGGGCTTGGATGATTTGACTGCAGCTGATGGAATTTCCGACGAACAAACCATCTCTGGCGAGGATATGCTCTCTTCTGGTAATCGTTATGTAGGCTTATCTTAACTCTCATTTCATTTGTTGGTATTGTGGCACGATACGTGATCGAGCTTAAANGATCAGAGGGGCGACCCGCAATCGAGTAGATAGAATCAAGCTGAAAAGTAATCGCTGTGAAGGAATTGATTGAAGAAGGTNNCTATCTACGTACGAAAGATTATCGCAATATATACTACGAACTAGTCACGTGATACTACACCACAGTATATCGATTAGCGGGTTTTGATAGCGACTTCCATTTCATATATAAATATACACCGATCATCGAATTCTGAGATTGGGAGGCGGAAACACATGATGAAACTGAGATGTATGCATAACTAATCGAAGCAGGTGATGTTGGACGAGCAGTCACCTGCTGGGTGCTGGAACCTAAACACGAGCTAACCTTGGGTAACCGGTCATTCCTCCTCATCACTATCCTCCTCCTCCTCTTGCAGACCTTTCCAAGTCCTCCACGTCTTGTGGCCCTTGACGTCTTTCTCCATATCGCCACACCGCCTCTGCTCCCAACTCTCCTTGCCTGCCACAATGGCCCAGTGCTTCTGTGCCCTCCCTGCCCAGTACTTTGCTTTTTCTTCTTCACCAAACATGCTCCACGTATATGCTAGGGTTTCTTCATATGCAGGCAGCTCTGCTATCAGGTCTTCTTTCTCCAACTGTTCGACTAAGCTAGGTAATAGTTCGAGGGTCCTGTCTGCTTCTTCTGGGTCTGAGGGTAACACTGATTTGAGCGCTTTGATTTCGCTGAGACGGTCATTTGAAGCCATGATTTCTTCGTCTGAGGCGGTGCAGAGAGGGCAGGCGCAATTGAATCCGAAGTTGGCCTCGAGAGAGCGGACACGACGCCCATGGGATCGCCTTTCAAACCCATCTGGAGCATGTTAGTGTGTTTCCAAATTGTCGAATAAGAAAGGCTTAGACTCACAGCTTCGTGTGATTTCCTCGCCTGGCTTGATTTCCTTGAGCGCAAACACCTCGACTGTGAGTGTATGGTCGTTGAAGCGCCAAAGCGTGTTGGGACGGCATGCATGATTAATGCGCTATATCTAACATTAGTGGTGTTCATTTTGGAAAGCCTCATACAAACTCACAGCAATCTCTGGGGTCACGCTCAGCAGCTTGGGCATCTCGTCGACCCAAGGCCACGTGAACCCAATCCCATTCGTCTTGACGATGTCCTCAAAAGACCCGTCTTCATTTCCACTGAGCCCTGCAACCATTTCTCTTGATTTCGGAGGCATCTGCGCTGCCGCCGTCCGCAGCACACGCTCCACCTCCTCCTTGCTCTCGGTCTCCAGCGCGCTCTTATCAACAATCAAAACCGGCGTCTGAATAACGAGACTCTCGCCAGGGAAAATGGCGCCAATATCCTTTTTCGCAAATAATCCTTTTCCTTTGCTTCCCGCGTCTTTGACTTCCCACACACCCATCTCTTCCCCGATTTGCCCCTCCATGCCACCAATCGCCATGCCAAATGTCTCCATGGACACGCTAGCTGCGACCTCAGGGCTGGTGACGAAAGTGATACCGCGGCCATTGTTGTAGTTGGCATTCGTGTATGCGCAAAATGTTTTTGGGGCTCCCTCCGGTTGCAGGATATTCACACATGAGGGCGTGCGAGTCCAGGGAAATGTGTATGACATCTGCACGCCACCGGGCTTGACGGGACATGTAGAAAGCGGTTTATTGACAAATCCATCGTGAATTGCGGCGCTTCGCGGCAGGTAGTATATTTCTGCTTCGCTCTGGCCTTCATGTACGTCGAGTGATGCCGCTACCGACGTTAGGAGCAGAGTGGATAGAGCTAGGCGCATACTCCTTCGGTGGTTCCGCGGCGATGACATTGCTGCCGTTAGATACATGGTTTCCCGTGACTAGCTCTTTCTATCTTGTTGCATTCGGGGTTCGCCACAACGAAGTTTCAATGGGGGTGAAGAAAGTGAACAAGAGGCAAAAATCTTCGACTCTGCACTTTGTTTGAGGAAAAGTCGGGTTCATGTATAAGTAGGTGGGAAGCCACGTTTCACGATGCTTAAATGATGTCGTTGCACCCCTCCATCAATTTACCCGATCTGTCTGGACTTGCTTGGCAGGCCCTGTGCGTTTTCGAATGCAATTTAGTTTTGGTTCCTGGTGATGCAGTTGCCCATTTGTCCAGGGAGGTTTGGCGTCGTCGGCGCAATTGGGTACTACCGGAAGAAATGGGGGTGATGTGGGGAATGCCAAGGAAAGACCGGTTGAACGGCTGACCGGGGATTTAAGTAGTGGCCATCTTTACTTTCGCGAGTGCCTTTGGCGAAGGACGTAGTTAGACGAGAGCGATGTCTGGTTTGGTATTAGTGATTCGATGTGGGTAAGAGTCGGTTTGGGTGATGGATCCTCGCACGGTTGCGTTGTGCAAGGAGTGCGCCAGAGCGAGCACCTACAAAAGCTATCATAACAAAAAGAAATTAAGAATAGCCAAAGCTGCTTCAAAAGGGTATTGTATATCGGCGCGTCTCTAAGGCGAGGTTGAATACACATACTCATATCGATAGAGCAAACCCGCGGCATCCTTCACCTGCAGATGGCGGATTTTACGGATCACCTTTGTCAGTAGAGATTACGTATAGGCAAAGGAATGGTCTTTAAAAAGCAACAAAGGATCATTTGATTTGACAAAGATCTGGAAACGTGAGAAGGCGTGCAACTAGACATCTTGCCAATGTATACATGTTCTTATGACGGGCGGACTAGATCATATCATTAGTATGTAGTAATTCAGCGCAAATTCAATATTTACATGTAGCGATAGAAACTGGAGGAAAGCAGATGAATTTTACATTCCATTGACAACTGGAAAGGCATGAGATGGAAAAATATGAGACACGTAGTAACATAACTTATGGAGCGCTGTGCGAGTACTGCTCATGGTATTGAGATGGAGTATGTCCAGAAATTGGAGTCTTTTCCAGATACTACATACATACAAGAAGATAGAAGCATAACGCAAAACGACGTTCAAGGTTAAAAGATGCTAGGTCTTGGAAGCAAGTAGACGGCACTACATCAACCACCTGATCTACCCTCCATCTACTCGGCTTAGGATCATCCTCTCAGCTCCCATACCTACTCGCATCAGTACCAAACTCTCCATCTCTGCATACAAAATCACTCACTTTCCTCCAAAATCCACTTATGGTACACAGCACTTGTAGTTGTCCCCACCGGGGCACAGTCCCGTCTGCCATGTCCCACTGCAGCCCGAAGAAGTGTACTTGCACGTTCCCCTGCCCTTTGTACCACACTGCCCTGCAGGATAGGTGCAGCATCTGTTGTCATCGCCACCCGGGCAGAGATCGAGAGAGACGGAGCCACCGAGGGTTTTGGTGCAGTAGGTTGGGCTGTCGCACCACCCGGCCTTGCCGCAGGTTTGGGCGAGGGCTGCTGTAGTGAAGAGGAGGGTGGTGAGAAGAGGGTTGAAGTACATGATTTTTTTCAAGAAGATGTTGAGGATGGTGAAGAGATGGTTGTGTTAATGGCTCTTGTTGGTGAGTTTGGATGTTCCGGACAGTAGTCGCTTTATATACGCATGGTTTTCCGTATCGTGGATGCTCTTCGCATTGAATGCGAGTTTATATTGCGGCTTCCATAAAATTGGAATTTGTAAAACAAGATTAGGTATGGGTTGTCAATGCGACGAGAATGCAGGGTAATCTCAAGTCCAGTACCTTGATCACGTTGCTATCGTTGATTGGTCCATTGAAGGCAGGAATAGTCAATAGGATTGGTCTAGCTTCGTTTAGTCGCATCTAGATTTCATTCAAGTTACACAAGTTGGATCTGGTGTCGTTGTGCATGCAGGGTCGTATTCTCGTAGTTACTCTATGCAGCCGAGGAGCGGGGTTAGCTGGCCAGTGTAACAGCAGTCATTCATAGTCTTCAGCTGAGCCAGTATTAGCCAACATATGGACTAGATATATCAAAAGCCACAGCTATGGGTGTTCTTCGACTTCCACGTTAGGATTTGGTAACTCCCCCTTCTACATCCTCTTCTCACCGGGTTCTAGAATCTTAATCCAGCTCGGCTCTTCTTCCGCAAAACTTTTGTCGGCCGGAGCAGGTATGTGCTCAAACAAGCCGCTCTTCAACACTACTATCGGGGAATCGTCGCTGATTAAGGTGGCAATTGGGCTAAATCAGTATCAGCCACTATACTTCAAGATGTTTTGTGCGACTTGCCATCCGCAGTTGCCGCAGAACTGACGCGTGATCGGTTTCCCACTCTTTGTATCGCTGTCTTTGTAACTCTTGAGATTGCCATTAGGGTCTTTTATGTTAACTTCAGATTTATCAAGCAAGTATATGAGTGATCCTATAGTCGAGCCTGCGCGGCGACAATTTGAACTTCTGGTGTCAGTGCGGGGTGGCGTCCAGAGGATCTTGCATACCAGTAGCAAATCATAGTTTTCTCTGGTAGAGCAGGAATGGAAACCTTGATGCCTCCACAATTGCAGCGTCCTTCAGCCATAATAGCGGAATGAGAAAAGACCGTGGCGGGGCTCGAAGAGCGGTAGAACTTTGGGGAGGGGTAATCACAGCGATCAGCAAGAAGAATGGATATTTAAAGATGCAAAGTTAATGAACAAGATTCCAGTTATAATGTGTAAGCTAAAGGATGTGGGCCCGGTCTGGCCCGGATAGGTATGTCGAGTCCAGATGACGTACGCTCCACAGTGCGGGGATTTTACAACAATCTTCAAACTCGGTGACCTCGGCAATTTGAATGTAGGGCGACCCATAGGGCTGACTTGAGGAAGACGGACTATTTTTTAAACCAAAATTGGTGGCGAATCATGCAATAGCACTGTAGGCAAGAGATGATTTCTCAGTAAAGAGAACTTCATTGACAAGTGCAGTTATCCAGTTGCAGAGCGTTGGACGAATTGTCCAAGATGCGAGAATAACCGAAAACAACTATCACGAGTGGATCGAGTCGCCATCTTGTTACAAGGCTTGCAAATACGCTGGTGGAGACATGCGACGGATGCTAATGCGGAAAGTCTACTGTAAGGTTTCAACCGGATGAATGACGCCTGTCGTATATCGAACACAGTCTGACCAATGGTGACACAAAAAGCCGAGTCAGGACAAAATCAAAAATGCAAAATGAGAAAACTAGAAAGATGAAGAAGAAGTACTACAAAGCAATGATGTGATGTCGATATAAAGGGCTGAACCACACGGCAGATACCCGCATCCGGCTAGCGTGGGCCATTCAGTCCTCCACCAGCGGGTGTAACCCGCGCTTGCAACATATCAAAACTACAAGAACAACAGCCCAAACAGCCTTTGCACCACCCAAACGAACTCTCAGTCAAAGAAAAAAACACACCTCTGCCAAAATGGTATTTCCTCACCGCCCCTCTGATCCCCACCACACCTTCTAACTCTCGAGCAGACACGCGACTCAACAGCCACATACCTGCACATGCACGCGTCGCACCACGCCGACCTCCTCGAACAATTCACAAACCTAACCTCCTCCCAGCTCTCCCCAGAAGACATATACATCCCCCCACACCTACAGCCTGTCAATCCAGAAGACGAAGACGACGTTGTGCCAGACCAGCACGCTGCATTCGGGATCCAGCGCGCGACGCAGGCCAAGAAGGAGCCGACGTGGCGGGATCTGGGGCTGGACGATTTGCTGAGGAGGGGACCTGCGGGAGAGGCGAGGAGCGGTGGTGCGGCGGGGGTTGCGAGCGGTGGTGCAAGTGAGGAGCCCGTGAGATTGGCGTTGGCGAGACAGCCGGGGCCGAGGTCCGGGGTGAGGATGGCGCAGAGCGGTGCTGGGGTGAGTAGTGCGGGTGGCAGTGCTGGGAATGGGCTACCGCGCTGAGAGGAAGGGGTATTGGTAAGATTTGCTGTTTGGTTACACAAAGAATGCCGTGGTGTTCAGGGAAGTACGGAGGCGCTGGCAAGAGCATGTAAGAGTGTTGTGTACGCTCTTCTAAGCCTGCTTAGCCCAGCCAGCATGTCTTGCAGACACTACCAATTGGGAAGTCTGATAGAGCTGCTATTGTGCAGACCAGACACTCAAAGTGCAGCACGAGCTCTGCGAACTCGCCTGGAGGTGGGTGTGTATTCGCGCAATCACAAACGATCGGCACGGTACGATCAAGAATGGGTATAGCTGCTGAACCACGAGATAAGCTGAGGATATCACTTGAAGAGTGATATAGATCGTGCATGCAGAGAACAATTGCAGCAAGACGGGAGCGATCATAATTTCATGACTTTTGTATTCGTATCAGACGAACTCCTAGAACTCCAAACTGCAGACGGCTGCTCCGAGACTATGATGGCATTCACCATTGGAACACGCGCTATCCATCCAAACAATACATTCATCAACTGCGCCAATCGTATTCACCCTGCTCGTGGCGCAAGCGCCACACAACACGCAAACGCGCAGCATACGCCTGCCACACCATCAAAGCCTTGATAACGCACCAAACATACATCCACCATTTTCTCTGTGACACGCCTCCGCTTGTGCTGACAAGCGTCTTCTCTTCCATAAGTGTAGATATGACTGCCAGCACAGCCTCCCCCCAGCTCTGACACGTTCCGTCATTGTCAAAAGCAATACCCCGCGGATTGTTAATGATGTCGCGCAAACCCTCGTACAGCCGAAAAGCGTCTTCGTGGTAAGCAATCGGGGCGTCGTTGCGAGCCAGTGCTTCTAGAGTGCGGATAACGGGTAATCTTTTGGCGAGATCTTTGGGGTTGTGTCGTGCTAGAGACGAAAGATCGGACGGCACAGTCTCCGTTGGCCTCAAATCGTGATAATAGAAGCGACGCGCGATGCTGACCATGATCACGGGCAAGTCATGCAGCATGACCTCTTTGATCCACAGAAAGGGCATGGGTTTCATTGTTGTGACTAGGTGTCGGGTCTGCAGCTTGAAAATATTGCGGTTTTCCCAACCCAAGGCGGTCATACACCTCGGTGGCAAGCACAACGCATCATTCTCATCCCAAAATAGGTCCTGATCTGGACGTACGAGATCGGCAGGGTCCCTTCGAAGAACAATTGGATGACGGCACATGGGACATGTGCAAATTGCTTTGTCCTGGCACCAGAAGCTTATGCACCGGAGACAGAAAGTGTGGTTGCATGGTGTCTGTATGGCTTCAACGGTATCTTCGATGTATCTTCGTCTGATAGGGCCGGGCAGTTGGCCTAAGAAGTCGATGTTATCATGTTCGAAACTTTGCCCAGCACTTCCATACTCTCGTCTGCAAACAACACAAGTTGGGCCGTAGCTTGAGTCATTCGCGGGTTTAAAAGCTGCGATAACGTTGTCGACCGCGTCTTGATAAGTATATGCGGAGTCCATTTTGGTTGAAGTTTTGTGGTTGAACGTGGCGATTGTTGAGGACCCTGTTTTAGTCCTCTAAAAAAGTTCTTTGTTCCTCATTAATGAGCTATCCGCGTTTTGAGCTGTCTCTACAGTGAATCAGCGCCGATTGTATTGGATACGTAATACAACATAACTACGTCAATATCTCTTTTGAAAGAATGTGAATGACACTGATTGAAGGGAACGTTCGCTTCAAGGTGAATTTTCCACTCATTGCAGAGACATTCTTAATCTTCAGTCAGATCAATGTACTCGATATCTGTTGGTGCAGCCCTAGAGGATACGCCACTATCAACTAGGGTAGCCCTAGGTGGCGATGAAGCGATATTACCCTCATCACTGATCTTGGTTACAAAAGGCGCACAAAAATGTCGAAGTCGAGCAGCTCGAATTTCATCAAGAGAATGCCTAGTAGGGGTGGTGGAGCTCGCTTCGGGGCGAGCCATGATACGTTCTTCTTTTGTGGGTGATGGAACCAAACTTCTTGCTAAATCGGAGGGTCCAGAAGATTGGGTATGCATCTCAGCTAAGTCCATTCTAGCAAAATTTGCATGAGTGGCACTGCGAGGAGGATTGTTTCGCGTAGATGCAATGCTTCTAGCTTGTCGGTTTGGCGTTGGAATATCCGGTGGAAGCAAATCGGAGATCAGTGCCTTGTCAAGCGACCAAGCAGGCACAGCCAACCCCTCCACACTCCGACCTTCTTCTCTCATTGCGAAGATATCGTAAAACTTACCCTTGTTCAATGAATGCTTTGTGGAGCTGGAGGCTTCTTGCATGCTGAGACGTAAAGCGAGCAGAAGATCTTCATCATCCACGTCATCTTCGTCCAAGTCGAATGGAGTGCGATTTTCCGAATCATTTTGCGATTTGCTAGGGACCACTAAACTTGATGACGCAGATGCAACAAGGCTAGGAGGAGACTTCGCAGCCTCTATAAAAGATAATTGTCTTGACGAAGGAATCGGAGGAACTTGAAGAGTTTTGTCGTCTTCCGAGTCAGAAAGCTCAATCAATTCGATCGGTTTTCGTATACTTGTCGAACTGATAGGTTCATATATAGACACCTTGAACGGAGTTTTCGACTCTGACACAGACAAATTTGGCCTTGTCGATTGAGACATGTGAGACTCACTCGTATCTGAGTTAAGAGCCCTGCAGGATTTGGATTTTCGCTTGTTGCAAGGTGACTCCGTCGGTTCCTCGACATCCTCTGATGCCCGCTTCCTTTTGGAAGATGACTTAGGTGTTGGAAGATAGGAGTTGAAAACCTCTGTCGGAAGGGCTTTACGGAGCCAATACTCAGACATCTCGCACTCTACACGATATTCAGGGTCGAACAGCATTTTGTCGTCACCATTCCAGTGTCCAAACTGTGAGCCTTCAAAGTCATCCTTGCATAGACTTGTGACACCAAAAGGAGGAAACGTTATCTTCCTCTCAAAGGTTCGCATTGGTGGGTGATCTTCGGTCTTCTTGGCTCGCTGCTTAGGTATTCTAATTTCGTGTACCATTTCCTTCGGCTTAGACGAGTCCCTCGATACGAGGTCTCGAATAAGGAGGATTGGTCCGATCCAATTCATATAAAGCCGTCCCCAAATATTGAATCGTTCACTTGCCAGCTTGAGGAGTTCGTGTTCTTGGATTGGGCGGATGTAGTCCAAGTTTAGCCTTGATGCCAAGAGCAGTTCCTGGTCACTGGTGACTTTCGGACGGTAGTACTTTTTCAGAATTTCATAGTCTGGAAACATCGAGGGTATAGGTATACTTCTTCCTCGAGGGGAGGTGTTCAGGAATTGTGCTAATTCTTGACTCCAGAGTTGACAATCAAATTGGTTTCGACACTCACAAAGACTTCTTCCAAGCCCTTCCTTCACAGCCTGCAGAGCTATACCAGGTCCACACTGGGGTAGACCTTGTTGATCGTAGTCGCCACCAACGAGCATGGCGAAAAGTACCAGACCCTCCTGGTCCAGGTTGTATCTTTCTTTCATGTCAACGGCCCGTATCACACTGGCATACTTGCCGTTTTTCTTCGTGTTCTCTTTGGAGCGATCTGTTACACCTTCATTCTTCGCAACACGATGATCGTGGAACCAAAGGGTGCAACCAAACATCAAGCAGTCAGAGTCTTGTGACCAAACAGCATCAACTATACCAAGAATCTGCATACGAGCGCATTCCGCTTCTGCCTCCCCAGGGGCTTCATGATATAGAACTCCGAGATATTTGAGCAGCTCTTGAAAAAGCCGCCTCTCTTCGTAATTGATACGCCCCTGTCCTCTCTTGCCTCGCTTCCAAGGGCGGCCAGGGCCGTCGAAGACGAAAATCAGTTGGATGTTTAGCGTTAGGAGGCGACAGAGGCGGTAGAACATGGCTTTTTCAATGCCTTGAAACGCATGTTGATTGGTCGCTATTATTGTAAGTACGATACAGGATCAACTAGGAAATTACTGACCATCGCGGATTGCATAGACTTGTTGGGGCGTGAGATTGTTGAAGCGCCAATCGGCCTCGTCGACAGCGATTCTGAGAGGCTTGCCATGACGCCTGTGGTGATCTTCAGCGAGCTGTGCAATTGGAATGACTTCTTCGTGCCGCCTGATAGTATCCCAGAGGCTGTCCTTTCATCAGCAAGGTGCCTCACAGATGCTCAATCTTAAGTAGAATGCATACGCTGGGATGCCCATAATGTGTATATTGTAAAGCGTGAGGCTCTAGACAAATGGCCCGTTTACGTGTCTTGCTAACGTGATAGTAGTAAACGACACTCAGGCATCTGTCGAATAGGCAATATCAGCATGTTAATAAAATCTCGAGCAAAGCAGAGCAAAAACACTGATGACCATCAACGGGCACAATGTGTGGGGTGATTCGGGGACGTAAGGGGCAGCAGCGAGTTCCAAGCGGTGCCGCGACACTCCGGCCCGTTGACGCGGTCGAACGCGAAGTCACGTGGGCATGAACCGTGCATCATTGCAAGTAAATGGCTTTATGATTATGGATACGTCTCATAGGACGCACACTAACAAAGAAAGCTAGCCAGCAATACTAATACACTTTGACAAGCTATGGGTCACATTCTACATCGAAAGCCTCATTCAAGCCGTCAAGGTCGTGCCATAGCTGGCTTTCAAGAAAGGTACTCATGTCACTGATCCGGTCTTGCGCACTTTTGCGCCGCTGCTTCAACGCATCTCCAAGTATCCTCGCAGCCGCAAGAGCCATGTCGGATTTTCTTCCCAAGAACCACAAAGCTTTGATACAATCATCCGCTCGTCTAAAAGCGTCTTCTTGGTCCATGTCAGATGGTAAGAGTGTTTCGGACTCCAGTAGTAGAACGCCTGCTTTTGCAAAGGCGCGAATCAATACTGCAGTCCATGGATCTGTCAGCAATGCGCCCTCGTTAATGGTAAAATGGAATTCGCGAGAGGATGGGAATGGCATGTCACTACTTGGGCACGCGCAGCTCGCAAGGTCTGACAGGATCCGGCAATTGTTCTCCCGGAACCTGGCAATAAAACCAGTCAAGTCACGGTGTTCTGTTGTCTCCTTGAGGCCTAGTTCGGATTCGTCCACAACCTCCATCAGGTCTGCTAGGAGAAGCGTTGCTAGGAGCCAATGGCCGGCGACGCAGACATACCACGACTGCACGCGCGGTGGAAGACTATCATGGTGTTGAATGCAGTCTCTGATGAAGGGTGCATAGAGCGCGTTCCAATGGTTGCATACATCTAATGCTGCATGGACGGCTTCTTCAACTGCTACACCTCGAGCATTCCTAGTCAAAAGTGTTTGGATACGGCACACTCTCCGGAAAAGCAATACTTTGACTGGAGCGGCGTCACAGAGTGCAGTTGCCGCTTGATCGAAAGAACAGGGCCATCTGGTCGGTGTATGTTCTGGATGTTGCTGACGAGCGAACAAGTATCCGTCCCACAGACCATCACCTACAGCCTTGGTGCTCGGTTTTGTTTCTGGGTAAGCCGAGTCATTCGATTGCATACTCTCGTTTAGCACAACGTCACTATCTTCATCGGATACTACCAGTGGCCGCTTGTGCATTGCTGCTGACAAGGTATCAAACGTGACACCAAGCCAGAAAAGTAAGTCGACTGTTGCGCGATCTGCTTCCTCAAGAAGCATGGCTGGTGAACGTCGTTGTTCCCCAAATTGCTTTGACCCAGGCTTAGTGCGCCGTTGTTGCCTTGATACGGCCATGCGTGATCTTAATGAATGTATGAGCCGGAGGCCTGATTCGAGATGCACAGGGGGGCCGTCAGCGTCAATTGCGAGATCTAACTTCGACATCAAATCTGAGCACTCGTCCATATCTGGGTCTACTGCAGTAGTCGAAGCGCCCTGGATATGCTCGGTGCTATTCTGCGAGTTCAGCACTTCATGCGTCATGGCAGTGTCCAGGCCTTTGGTAGACACGTCGTTTGTCTCACTAGGCCTTTGTGTCAATGCGAATATGATCTGCGCAAGCACCACTCGGAACGACTCTATCTCGCCAGCCTTCTGCAATGCGTTGCGGGCATCTTGCCATGCGGTCATTTGAAGGGTACGATCGAAGCCTACTATCTCATGGTCTTCCCCTTGGCTGTCGAATACACCACAGTTGCCGTTGACTGCGGTGCTATGGAATGGGTATCTTATCCGACTTTTTTGCCCAGATTGAGCCCACTGTGATGCAAAAGAGAGAACGGCAAGGTCCAAGGCTCTCGATGCTGCCTGGTCTTCGCCTTGTGTGAGTTTTCGCCCTCTGATTGTTGACGCCAGTCTATCAAGGCGGATCACTCGATGGTAGATGCTTGTCCAATCGGGTCTAGCATTCGTGGCGAGAAGACTGTTGGTCCTCGCGCTGTATGGACACGTTCTTTCTGTGACCCAACAGGCGAGCGCATTTTCGAAGCTATTGTGGTATATCTTCAGCAGCTTTTCGGACAGGTGCATGTTGTTACCAGACAAAAGAATCTTGTCGGCATATGATATGACTGGGTAGGGAGGCGCACTGTATGAGACAGACGCTGAAGAGCTGCGTCGGCGTCTTTTCCTATCGACACGCACAAGTGATTCATTTGTGCTGGCTGACTTGACATCAGTCGTGCTGTTGGCTTCATAGTCTGTTCTCGGGCTGTCATCAGGCTTGTCGCTGACGTCTGATAACGTTCTTAGTGAAGAACCTTTGCCCGAGTCGCAATCAAGTAGGTTACAATGCTCCTCGGAGAGCGCGCCTACGTAATCGATGAGAGGTTCCGCGTCGTCCATCTCTCCTTTTAGGAATGGCTCCTCCATGAAATTCGGTGTAGGGTCAATTGCAAACGAGGCAGCTCCACAGGGAAAGTCGCCGAAGGTGAATCCTAGTTCGGGCGGTGTGATGTTTAGAAGGGGTTGTTCGTGGGGTTGAATTTGGAGTTCTGTTTGCCTTGTAGTAGTTGTAGATGGATAGGATTCGTTTCCTTTGTGTGATTTACTACCCGAGTCGCTTCTGGTCCGACGTCGTTTTGGTGATGGCGCATTCGTCACCTGTGGTTGCGAAGCTTGTGACACACGCTGAGACCGCAGCCACTCGAATGTGCAGGTCTTTTTTGTCTTCTCACAGTTTCCACACGAAGCTAGTGGCCCATAGACGTCTGAATGGTCAGCTGATGCTACACCTACCCTAAAAAGGGACGTGGCTCACCACTATAGTGAAATACCGTAGGGCTAGCACCAGTGCGGCTGGTCTCCAGTAAGGTGTCTTCTAGAATAGCGGCGTCACAAGCTCGTTTTCCTTTCCGGCATTGGTCACAACACCGGTTCTGCTTCCGGCTTGTCTTGGATGGTTTATTCGTCGCAGTTACGGCTGCCGGAGATGGCGATGTCCACGCGTAGTCGAGAAATGACTTTGGCTGCACGTCGACGAAGTTCATAGCGAGTGCCCGGTTTCTGCGGCAAGAAGAGGGAAAAGTTGGAGAGGTTTGACTGATGCTAGGGGCCAAGTCCGTTGCTGATATGCACACCCCGCGCGGGCGAGGATCCACATCCCAAGAAGGAAATGCGGGGAAGACTAACGCGTGGCAGGGCAGAAGAATGCTCAACACTGCCCCTGTTAGTGCTCATCACAGATCACCAAGACCAATCATCCCTTATCTGGCTTTATTACCTTTGCATGCGTGCGCCATTGCCATGGTCCCCTCCCAAGTGTCGGTACGTCCCGAATCCATCGACTCCAGCGCCCGTTGCCCCCATCCATAACACCGACAAAGACTGGCAACAGTAAATGTTTCTCAGGCTCCTCAAACTGACTCTTCCTGCCACTGCGTAGATGAGAGCGATCTGTGTACCCATTGGTCGGCAGCTTTGCGGTCAAACTATTCCGAAACTTTCCTCGGCATCAACCTGAACCCAACAACCGTTCGATCGGCCCACTGACCCGCCGACCGCATGCTTCTTTCACTGCTAGGGTATAATGCGCATGATTTGATCTCAGGCACATGGCCAGAGTGCCACCTGTACGTCTGTAAGATGTTGCATTTCGTCACAATTGTGTATAATTCTACCATCGACCTCAAAAGCAGAACACCAGACGCTGGCAAATACCAAGGATACTCCATGCACCAAACTCAGAACCTGGCTATTTTTTCTCACCGGATGGTCCGGCAGTCCCTATACCTGATATACTGTGGCCGTGACGATGGCCTTGTCCACGGCCACATGGATATACCTCCAAGAAACGAGAGGGGCCCGATTCACATTACCAAGCAGTGCACTATGTAACAACGGCGTGAAAGTCTTGTATAGTGCCTCATGCACACTGGAACAATTTTAGAATCAAATGGAGCAAATCACCACGATTGAGGCCAGCAGCACTGCAGTGTTGTACTTGAGAAATGAGCTTTGCGCAAACTGTTTTTGTTGTGACACTCCAGACACGGTTCTACACGCGGCTGCTCCAGCGATCTACTCCAAAGACCAGGTGCAGAAGCCAAGAAGATATCTTCAAGGATCCAAACATTAGCGCATGCAATCGTATGACGTAAGTATTCACTTATATCGAGGAACAGCATCCACAGACCAGACATGAGTGACTTGCCAACAACATTGAAAGCCGCCAAAAAAACGCATAAAGATAGAGTGTCTAACAATGTGGTTTCTACTATGCAGCATAATTAATTCAAGAGCCGCTCACATGCAAAGCGAAAATGCGTTCCAGAACTTCAGGATCATACGATCCTCTCCATCCGACGCCGATCACTTACAAGCCTGGTACTCCGAACTTCAAACTCCAACTCCAAGCCCACAAGCCTCAACATAAGTAAGCACGACTCCCCTTCCTTTCATGGAAAAATCAGTTGCCCATTTCGGACCTACGCCCTGATCGATCAGTCGACATGAATCGCCTCCGCATACATAACCAGGAATGTGCCCGAACAGCCGTACATACCCGATTGGCCAGGACCCTATACTCAACCAATAGTATCCGCCTTTTCTGTCACCTACAAACTAGGTAATATTCGGCTAAATTGCTGGGCGTCCTTGCGGCTTTCCCTTCTTTCGGTGTGTCTGTATGATACACTCTGTAGGTGTACTGTAGACATGGGAAGCGCGAGAGCACGTGAAGTGCACGTGTCAATGAATCCGATGACAAACGATTTGCATGGAGCAGCGCCTCAACATCTCACTGATCATAAGGATTGAAATGAGATTATTGTTGGGTCGTAGTCAAGATGAGTATGTGAATGTTCCATGTCTTATCTTAAAGCCTCCCACGGGGTGAGCAACGTAGGTAGAGAAGGATCTGCAGCTTTTCTAGGGTTCGAGAAAACAAAATATGATCTTCACTTTGGCAGTTTTAAGTTCACCTAGTCTATACACAAGTTACCTAGTTACATAAAGGTACATCCACTATCTAGTAGCAATGCTAAGATAGCTGATACAGTTTACTAGTATAGTAGATGAGGATCGAGCGTGCTGAAATGGCTATATCGTGCGGGAGCATAGTTCTGTTCATGCCCAATCACGGAGTTGGGACAACAGGGAATTCTCAGGCTCTTGTTTAGTCACTCTACAAGTTATGTACAAAGATGCAAAAGATACCAACAATTTGATCGACTTGATGAAAGCATATCTCATGTCGCCGTGGCGAATGCAATCTTCTTCACATGACCAAATTCTGATTTTTGGTATGGGCACTAGGAGCGGCATCAATACCGTGGAATCCAAGGTTGTGTCAGTGAGTCATTGATACTGGACATGAAGTATGTCTTGTTCAGTGCAGCATATTATGGTTCCTACTTGCAAGGATATAGTGCCTTGCCATACGTAAGACATTTGCGACTTCCTCCGCACTTCACAATAGAGTCAACCTTCTGTGACACTATACGCGTGTCCGCTGCACATGACACATTGGTATAGAACAAAAGGTCTGACAAAAGCGCCGAACATTCAGGTCATGGCAGTCGGAAACCCCGGGATGAATAAGGTTTTCTCACCATCTGAAATTGCATGGAAACCCTTGCTACTTGGTTATCTGTATGCTTGGACAACAGGTACAGAAACGATACAGTGAAGCCTTTGCCATACAAGCCATTGCTTTTAAAGAGTATACTTTTCATGCCCCAATTTTTCGTGGCAGATTTCCCGACCCAGCGATACCAGCAAGAAATCCACTAAAACTCAGAGCCTCAATGCCTAGAGCAGTGCCCGCAGTTTGTTTCTGACGAGAATGCATCCAAGAAGCATAGCCGCTCCATGTAGAAGACGCTGTAGACCTTTCCCAGACCCAAATAGACATGATTATACAGTAGCGCCAACCTCGATGCATGTCAGCTTGCTCGCCAGTGGCAGATGACATCGACTTCGATGTCCATGACTTATACTATTGCCCTCAGATCGGCTCCGAAATGAAAATAACATTTGAGACTAAGTAAAAGTGTACATACGAACACCAAGATTTCTGACGATCGTCGCAGTCATTCCAAAAGAACCTTAAAGTCTCACAATCGCCAACGGGTGCTCGAGAGAACCGCCGCATGGTCCAGCCGAAGGAACGGTCGTAGCGCAAAACTCCAGTTGAACAGATTACAGGACCCGGAGCTTGGTCATCAAGTCTGGAAAAGGTAGGTTTTTCGAAATGAATTATAAATCGAAGCTTGATAGAATTTTTAGAGAATCCAGCAGTTTGGAGCGGACGACTGAATTTGCCGGAAGCTGCGTAAGGTGGTCAACTGTAACGGAGACTTTGCAAACTATGTGGGTATTCACAGGACCTAAAATGTATGTCAGCAATCCCAGAAACAACACCTGATTTTAATTCACTGGAAGATTGAAGGGGAGGTCGCTCAAGGTCTGGCGGTTGGGCGTTCTTTCTCAAGCCCTGGCTTCGTATGGGCGAGACCTCAGGCCCGCCTTGTATCTAACTTCACACATCTAAGCCAAGTTTTACTAACCCCCAACTCGCTGCAAGTGCCACACCAATGCTATTTGATTTGCTTTCTTTCTTCTATTCAACAGCCTTGAAAATATTGATTTATAGTAAAACTTAGAGCGACTTCCAAATTGTCAAGATTGCCATTGTTCACACTTTCCAGCGGCGACTAGACTTTATGTCATAGTGAAAAGTCTGCAACCTGTATGTCTCTGAACAATTCAAAGATTCTAGCAAAGTACAAAAAATCAAGTGCAATCACTTCAAGCAGCACAGTCACAATTTTGTGAAAAAGGCACTGGGAAACGAGTTCGAAAAATAAGTTTTAGAGTCCATCATTTCGTTGGAAAGTAAAGAGAAATTATACGTTTTCCCTGGGTAGCTTGATAGATATGTACATTCAGGAATCTTAATCCAAGAAATAGCGTGTCCAAAAGCTCGAAGGGCTGTCGGTGCCTGATTCATCGACGAGAAATGCGATACCACAATCTCAAGCTTTGATGACCAAAAGAATTGTAAATTGATCTTTTTTCCTTGTCACGTTCATGCAGAATGCATGCTTTCATGTTCCACATGATCCTGTATTGAATATTCTCAAGCTCGTGGTGTTATTCTGCCAGTCGAGTGCCACTCCAGCATTTCTCTAAAACTGAGCTCCCTCCCATATCCATTCGTAAAAAGCGCTAGTCTCTTGAACTTATCCTTGTATGGCCACGAATTCTCTCGCACAGTCTTCCCAAATCTGCAAAGAGAACTGGTTTGATTGTCAGTGAATTGTTTTTCTTTTTTTGCAAAAAAAAGCTGCTGCTATGCTTACATATAATTCAAATATATCAGGTATACATATTCGGTAAAAGTGGTCAAAATCCCCCAAACAACGAGGAGGTCATACCATGAGTGCCCTCTTCCTCCAAAGCAATACCATAAGATGGGTCCCCAAAAGACTAAAATGCAGGTATAAAACATTGGATAGACATTTTTGTACTTTACGCTGAGTGCCTGAACGATTTCAGTGTTAGCTGCAAGCTAGACATCCACAACTATCTCACCTTAACATCTTTACCATAATTTTCCGGCAAAAGAAACATCAAATATGTTGCTATAAACGCCCAATCGACCATTTCATGACGCCAGCCTTCGATGGCATGTACAAGCCCTGCTGTCAGCGAATACAATCTACCCAAACGTGGAAAGCTAGATATCGCGACACCATAGACAACATCTCTAACATGACCAAAGCCAACGATGTCTCCACGGAAATGAATGATGGAAATGCCAGTAGTGCCGATGACGTAGATGTGTCTCAAGAGCGAAGAGATCGAGAGCGAAATGCAGAAGCGTGTGTAAATGGGGATGATCAGAAAGAGTGCAAAACGTAGCCCATTGCGGAATGTGAGGCGAGGGTGAAAGGGATGAAGAACTGCTGGCGACGGCAGGCGGTGATTTCGTAGCAGTTGTGGAAGCCATATTCTTTCTGTTCAAAAAGATGAAGCGTTTTTTTAGATACTTGGTGCTGGGATAATAGCAGTGTGATTTTCACAGTCACTGCCTTGAGGGTGGGGTCATCACCGTCACGATGAGGTGCTTGTGTAACGCCTGTGTAATGCCATAAACCAGTTGGGCCAATGAACCACGCGAACATCGGAACATGATAGCGATCCTACAGATAAAACTAAATTCCAAGTCTTCTAGAAGTTTCAAAGCAAGTCATCCATGGTATTGTAATTCTGTGTTCTCTCTGTAAGTAATAGTCATAGGTAGCTGATAAGATTGATTTATCTGTCACTAGTTAAAAGTGCCTACTAGTGATATTCAATTTCCTGTATATTTTCTTTTTTACAGATTCAAAAAGATAGATGCATAGCACAGCTTTACAGAAAGTCATAAGTCGTTATCACGACTTTCTTGGCACTTGGTAGAACAGAAATTAGATTTGACACAAGTAGAGTCTCTTAGACCTAGCTTCACAAATTACTTACGTGGGCAACCAAGCCTCATAGAACTGTTTAATGAAAGTTTCTGAAGTCTCACAGCCCGTGAGATTTTCCTTTAGTGTTGTTTCGTCTTCGAATAGAAAGTCCTTGTATCAATGATATAATTCTCAATGAGTTTGATCTAGCAAAGCACTGGTGGTGATATCTTTAAGATATGGTAGTCTCCCAAAATCTCCGACGACGCGGTATCTCCGATCAAACCAACTTTCCATTCTTCCCATCAGCTATGCCTAAGAGGCACTGAGCGCTCAGCATCGCAACTAGTTCAATCAATGTACAAACACCAACACAACAATAGGTTAGGGTGTTCCAACCCCTATTTCCTCTCTTAATAGTCATATTTGTAGCAGAGATATCCGCCCTGAATGTCCATAACGTCCTTGACAGTAACGTTTGGGCGAATGCCGTAGGTGGTCAATACGTAGTCCAGAGTCGTCTCTTCACAATTTCCTTCGCATGGCCCCTGAGAGGAAGGGCCACCCAGTTGATAAAGACGATTGCCAAGGTCTTCGAACAGCCAGTTCCACCAAAGACGATCGATGAAAGCGTGGTGCAGATAAAAGAGCGGGTCTAAGCTGGTCAGCTCGTGAACGAAGCCGGAGGGCAACTAGAAACCGAAAATGTAAACTTACCCCCTGGGCTTGCATCGATATCCTCCATAACTCCCCCAATCTATAATGCCAATCAGTTAGATGCTTGGCATGTCTCCTCTCACTGCACTCACTCCACTATGACCAGCGCCAAGGGTTGTGAAACCAGTGTCCTTCCAAAAATCGAGGTAGTTGGTCAAATTGTGGCATTTCTAGACATAGGTTTCGTTGGCGAGGGTGCTATTCTGCTCGTTTACTATGCGGGATAAGCAATGAACCTCCTGTTTCTGGCCTGGACCAATATGAAGAGTGGTATTTGCGAAAGGACCATTCATGACACATCCATCTGGATCTGTTCCGTTCCCACCAAATCCTGTGTCGGGATCAAGGGGTGGCGAGCCCATGAAATTGCCTGCGTCGCGGGTTTCATCCCACCAACTATATTGTCAGTGAAGTGAAGAGGAAAATAGTGTTGCAGTGGTAGAACTAACGGTGTAGGCCCTTCATAGCCACACTCCTCTCGCACCAGCTGCTCATACACCTGTACATAGAGGCGGTGAAATGGCAGGAATTGCGCCTGTATTTACGCCGAGTTTAGTTAACAAAACTTGCCCTCTGATCATGGCAATTCAGTTAGGAAATACTGACAACAAGATGAATTTCTTTCGCCTGCACCTGATACATGGCATGCATATCGTCAAACCTTGTGAGTGTACCATTGATACCTGTCTGACCAGGCAGCTCTATAAGACAATTCACTGCCTTCAGGTAGGAGTGCTTGTCAGCTTCTGCCATGTTCGCCCATTCAATTCGTGTCTTCATTGTCTCAGGGGTGCATGTGCAGTTGCTGGATGCCATGACAGGTACTGGTGGTACCAAAGCCAGGATTGCAAATAGCATGGAGAACATGGTTTAAAGAGTGGTAAATCTTGGACAATGAACGAATGAGTGATGAGGACTTCTGGTGGCCTACTTCAGCCTACTTGTTAGCTCATATAAGCATTTTGAAAAGATTCAAGTGAGAACCTATCTATCGCATATTTTCTATAACAATGCACTCCTTGGCGATGAATATGGAAATGATCTGCAAAACACGAAATGTTCCCAGCCCCTAACTTTCGCACTACTGAAAAAGGCCTGAAGCTTCAACGCTTCAACTACCTGTTGCGCGTTGTCCACGCGGCCTTCTCCACTGACTTTGTTTCAGCCATAATCTCCACAGTTATGTTCGGATAACAGACATGACAGACATCCGATGCTATACGGTCATAAGTCTAGAACGTTCCAATTCGCTCTTGGAAGAGCTGTCTGTTTCTAGGGGCCTGATGTTTTCTAGCTTCTATCTATGTACAACTGTGTGTATGTCGTCTCCAGAAGTGACGTCTTTTGCCTACATTTATACTATGTGAACGATGTTTCTATACGTATGCCGTACCGAAAGCCTCGTATGCATAGCGTTGTTGAAGGCTCGTAGAGGCACAGTTGCCCTGAACTTACGTCTCATCAGGCAAAGTAACCAGTAAGAAAACATGATTCAGGTTAACTACAGCTATGACGGCCCGAGCCCTGTCAGACTGCAAACGTAACTACAACGCGCCTACCACACGAAAAAGACCGGCACAAGGATATCAGAATCATTGATGTTCGTGCGTAGTTGATACTTCACAAGACAACCGTTCGTTACCTGTGCTTCACAGACCCAGCGCCGTGACAATAGTGAACGTAACGAACAAACCTTTCTATCATTCTATTTCTTATAACTTTTAGTTCTATTCTCCCTAGCTTCCATCCTACTACAAGAGAACGGTAAAGTAGCCAAGTACGATAGCTCTACACATCATACTTGTGCTTGAGACATATGTTAAAAATATCGAGCTATAAGGATCTCATGGTTCTACCATGTACTAAGGAGATGAAGGAATTGTCGACGATCGCCCCTTGAATAGCTGTAGATAGCTAATCGTGTAACGATTAGTTACGTAAATGCGGCGTGGCTGAAGGAATGCGGCGCAGTGCGCCCCTAAGAATCCCCAAACTGATTGCTTGCAAGCACTTGTCTTCGATTCGCTACAAGATCTTTCTTACTTTTACTTGTAGTAGAAGGTAAGCCAGCTTGCTAATTCTGAAAGTTAAATAGCACACACTGCTTGATTAATATTGTCGCATGTTAACTTGCCCACGGGCCGCGGAGCTCGGGTATCTATATGTTTGTGATGACTAAGTCCGGGGAGTTAAGAGTTTTCCCTCATGCTATCTTGCAACACAGCCCCACTTGACTGAGAGCTGTCGTCATCTGAAACCTTAATTCATAATTACAGACCGAGTCTAAATGTAGTGTTTCAATAAGTAATAAACAATTGAAATGTGTTCGACGATATGTAACTGTTCATTTTGACACACACCTGCTCTACTTGAATATCAAATATCCATCAAGGTTGGTATACTGATATTATGTTAAGGACAACATGAAAAATCGTGTAGAGTTTCAGTTTTCAAACGAATTTGTCCTTGCGAACATAACAGCTGATCACATGACTTTCTTATCGCCTGATGCTGAGCCGCCCTACCTACATCACTCGCCTGCCTTCTTTCTCTTGCTTGGATCTTCACACTAACTCCCCGCTTACCCTGATCTCCTAGAATGCCGAACCCAAGTCAATCTTATATATGGCTTTTGAATAGCTGCTGAACTCTAGTTAGAACCGTATTGTTTCGACTCGGAAAAGTAAAACTTCCAGATACGAAACATTCTTAGACTACCTTGGACGAGCACGACATTTAGTTGTTGATTTTACACAACTTCGTTATCTCAGATGGATCAAGCCACAATCTTCTCAGCCGACGATACGTTCTCCTTACTAAAAAAATCGATCTATTGGACTCCAGTCACGCAGACCCTTGCTCTCATTTCTATTGTCATTGTCAGACCTCAGAATACCCTATCATTTTACTTCATAACTGACCTATTTCTTCTAGGCTATCAAAATACTAGTGAACTCTTTTCTCTTACCGCTCCGTCATATCCCAGGGCCTTTCTGGGCTAGGTATTCTCCAATATGGCTGGTGCTGCAATGCCGGAGGGCACGAAGATCAGTCGCAGTCATGCAACAGCACAAAATCCATGGTGACTTCATCTTGATTGCACCCAACCACGTTTCCATCAATAATCTAGAGGCAGTGAATACCATCTACGGTCACAAGTCTGGTTTCGTCAAGAGTGACTTCTACGATGCATTCCTTCAAGTCGCACCGGTGGTCTTTAATGTCAGAGATCCTGATGCTCACCAGCGGAAGAGAAAGTTTTTGAATCCCGCATTTTCTGCAAAAGCGCTTTCTGATTTTGAACCGCACATGAACACTGAGCTGCTGGCATGGAAAAAGAGGCTTTTAGAAATGGTGAAGGGAGGGAGCGCGTCGGTCGACTTTGTTACGTGGAGTAAGAACGAAAACAGTTTCACCAAATCTGTTTCGCATATGCTGACAAGCTGATAGCAAACTACCTTGCTTTTGATGTCATTGGTCGCTTTGCGTTTGGTTCATCTTTCGGATTTATTGAGAAAGGAATGGATCCATACAACCTCATTGCTACCATTGACACACGAGGGGAAGTTCTCAATGCCTTAGGCTCACTCCCATCTTGGATTCGACCTTGGATGAAGTACAACTATCTCGATCCCTTCTGGAGCGCTGGTCTGCGCGCAAGGGCCAACTTGGAAAGCATTGGCCGGGCAGCGTATCAACGACGCAAGAACCACAACCATCCTGAAAAGGACCTTTTGTCATTTCTGTTCCATGCAAAAGATGACAACGGTTCGATTGCAGAACAAGAAATAATCGCTGAATCGATCAGCTTTATAGTTGGAGGTAGTGATACGACTAGCAGCACGATAACGAATTTCATAGACTTTGTATCGCGGGACCCAGCTCTTCAAAAAGAGCTGCAGGCTGAACTGGACAAGGCTTTTCCCGGAAGGCAAAATGGTGATTGGGTGGCTCCTGACGACGTCGTTCAACATCTACCACTGTTAGTCGCCACACTCCGTGAGGTTTTGCGCATCCGGCCCACGAGCGCAACAGGACTAGAACGCATTGTACCTGAAGGTGGTAGAACTATTGCAGGCGTCTTTTTCCCAGCAGGTGTTCGTATTTACCGTTTGATTTGCCTATGATATGCTGACCTGGAACTACCAGACAATCGTTAGTGTTCCAACTTGTGGTTTGCTGAGCAACGAGAGAGTTTTTGAGGCCCCGGAGATGTTCCGTCCGCAGAGATGGATGACAGACGATGCCAAAGATATGATGGCCTACTTTCTTCCCTTCTCTACCGGACCAAGGGCTTGCATCGGACGAAGGTAAGCCGAAGCTTTGATGAGCAGAAAAATAGCACCTCACACCTCTACAGGTTTGCTTGGATGGAAATACTGAAGGCCGTAGCGGTATTATTCAAGCTATTTGACACGGAAAGAGTTAACAAGAAGCCGACCATCATTCGTGAGGGCTTCTTCAACAAAACCTCGGAGTGTGAATGCGTCATTAGGTTAAGGCATGAAGGCACACTGACAGAAAAAGAACTCGAATAAAAGGGCCTTACTTATCCCGGCTTCAACATACAATGAATTCATCAAAACGGATCCAGCTCAGAAAGCGATTGTACTTGTGGAATTATGTGAAGTCAGTGTTTCTTTTTTTTTTCGCCAAGCTGAGAAAGGATTAGGGTCAATCAACAAGACAAAATTGTGCAACGGGGCAATATGCCCGTATAACCATGCTTCCTGCAGTAGCTGTCGAGCATGTGAGAGCCATGACACTCTAAAATAAACCGCGTTGCTGCAGATCGAGATGAATTCTCTATTGGGGTGTAATGTATGCAGCAGGTATCATGTTTAGCTCGAGGACAGATGCTCGTACGAACATATGGGAGCCAGTTGTTCCGGGGTGAAAGGGTGTATTTGAATTGTAATTTAGACAAACAAAGGGCTCAAATGTTGACTCAAAGCTTCGCCTTCATCCACGTTTCCAAGACTTGCTGACTGCCTGTTCCAGAGTCACCCTTGTATCCCAGCATCCTCTCCACAATCATCTCCTCATGGCACGCTTTTGGCGTAAAGACGGTATTCACAATCCCACCTCTACTACCAAATCCTTTAGTGAATTTTTCCGCAAAAGCCGCGATGCCATCTTTAAGCACCTCATTATCGCCTGCCCAGATCAAGACTTCTTCCACAAAATCGGCGACAGGCGCCCACCAATCCGGAGGAGCCAGAACGGGCTCGTTGTACAAGTCGCCGGCAAAAGGAGAGTCTGAGCCAAGAAATGCAACAGCGTATCGTTTGAGGGTGCGAAAATCAACCATGTCACGTTCGGCGTTTATGGTGAATGCAGGGGTATTGGTCTGGGTTAGTGAGCACCATGGTGATATTAGCAAAACACCATGGAGCCTGGCTGGTAGCGAAAGGGGAGTGATATCTGGATGCGGATGTGCAATATGCGAAAGGGTGCCTAGGATAAGATTGCCGCCAGCGGAGTCGCCAGCCAGTATTAGATCAGAGGGACTGCGACCCTGGGTGTATACCAGATGGTCGAGAAGCTCGACTGCTTGCTTGAGCTGAGTAGGGTATTTAGCCTCGGGCGCAACGTCATATGCGAGAAGCAATGCAGACACATCGGGACCAAGAGACTTTTGGAAGTCGTCGAGCCAGAGTATGTGGCCAGGTCCAGCGGGCATGACATAGCCGCCGCCTACAGTTGTCAGCTTTCAGGGTTCAGCTGTGGGTAATATACGGCTACTTTGACCCACCATGGAGGTATACCAAGACCTTGCTTGCATTGCTTTTTCCCAACCAATGCGCCTGTGTGCCACTTGGCAGGGTTATGCTGTCTGGGGCGAACTTATGCTGCTGAGCATACTTGATGTAGTTTGTGGTTGTAGAGCTTCCGTACAAGTAACGGCTATGGACGACATCAAGGCTGGCCAGGTTGGCGCGGAAGGCGGCAAACATGATATCCTTGAAGTACGTGTTGGAGCCATTGTCGCCTTTGAAGGGCGAGGTTAGGGAGCGTTGCAGAGCGGCGCCGACTGTGGCTATGTCAGGGTGTGACGTGTGGTAGAGGCAGGACGGGATTGCGTACTAGCTTTTAGCGTGGCCGACGCGATGCGTAGTCTGCTCACGTGATGGTCGGCCATGGTGTTGAGGGTCGATGATGTCGTGGTGAGTGTGCCCGACGCAGTGCTGAAGACGGTGCTGAAGACGGTGCTGAAGACGGTGCTGAAGCTGGGGCCATGGCGGATATGTGCGGTGGAGAGGAAGGGAGGGATATCCGGAGGAGCCGTGAGCTTGACCCTCGGCAGCGGTGCATGGCGGGAAGGATGGAGGTGAATCGGGGTGGATGGCATGCATTCCCCGCATTGCTAGAGGCCCCACTGCGTGCTAGCGCCAGCGCTCATGACTCGAGACAGGATTTGTCCAAATCGATCCTGAATCGCATCCCACACAGCTTCCATGATCAGCATGGCGTCTGCGGGCGAGGCAGATACACCCGAGCCTACGCCTAGAGACGAGGGCTCGGGCGATGGTGGCCAGCCCAGTAAAAAGCGCAGGACCGGCCCAAACTCGCGCGGCGTTGCCAACCTCACCCCCGAACAGCTTGCCCGCAAGCGCGCAAACGACCGCGAGGCCCAGCGCGCCATTCGCGAGCGCACAAAGAACCAGATCGATGCCCTCAACCAGCGCATCCGCGATCTCGAGAGCCAGCAGCCCTACAGCGACCTGCAGGTGGTCCTGCGCGAGAAGGAGGCCATCCAGGCGGAGAATGCCGACATCAAGAAGCGCCTCGAGAGCGTGCTCAGCATCATCCAGCCCATTGTGCGCGCCACCGGCGGCTTGAACGGTACGACTCCACGACGAGCAAGAAGAGGACAGAGACAAACAAGGACAGAAAGACTACCAACCAGAGACGGAGCCTGCAAGACTGACTGCTGACAACTTGTAGAACTCGCAGCCGCCGCTGAACGCTCGCCCCTTTCTCCTATCCAGCCTCCACAGCAGCAGCAACATCAACAACAACAACAACAACAACAACAACAACAAAACCAAAGTCACCACCTCCCACAACGCGATGCGCGCCAGCTCCATGCACCCGTCGCTTCGGCCTCACCGCACAATGGTGTGGCCTCGCCCGGCGTGCACGATGCAACCGCAGCCATAGGCACAGGGGCGTGGCTCTATCCCAACGATGCGCCCACGAGCCATCTACGCCGCTACTCGAGCGACAGTCCAGGCCCTCAATTTCATCAGGCGCGCATCAACACCGATATGCCCTTTGACGAGCGTCTGGGCGTCGATTTTCTGCTCGACAATGGCCAACGCAGGGCCGTCGACCCCAACCTGCCACTTCCACATCAGATGCGCCCCAGCAACGTCAGCACCAGCCAGCACGCACAGTATGCCCCCGACATGATCGCCCACTTGACACTGCCGCGCAACCTGCCTGCCACCTGTCCGCTCGATGTGATTCTGCTTGACTTCCTCCAGGATCGCCAGAATCGCGCGGCCGAGGGGGTGCCGGTCAAGACGCTGGTCGGCCCTCACTATCCAAACTTCACCTCACTAGCCTACCCCGACCGCGCTGTTGAGTCGCATCCGCTGTCCAAGCTCTTCACGGACATCCTGCGCACATTTCCAGACATTTGCGGGCGCCCGGAGCAGGTGGCTATCGTGTTCATCATGTTCCTGATCATGCGCTGGCAAATTGAGCCAACACAGGAAAACTACGACCGACTGCCGCATTGGGTAACCCCACGCCCGTCGCAGCTGTTTACCGCGCATGCGTTGTGGATCGATCATCTCCCTTGGTATGTCGTGCCCTGCCTTGCCCTGCCTTGCCCTGCAACTTCCCCACATGCCCCCTTGCCCCCTGCCAAACCCACCCACACTCCCACACATTCACATGACTAATCCAGTCCAGGCCCCGTCTTCGCGACAAGCTCATTGCCGCACAACCCCAGGTCTCGTTTGAGAACTTCTTCATTCCCTACACCACCACAGTCTCCCTCAACTGGCCCTATGAGCATCGCGATTGCCTGCTTCCTGCCTCAATAGTCCGGTCCTCGACTCTCTCCACTACGTCATCCATCTCAGCATCTTCGCCCTTTTCAACACACGTGAACGCAGGCTCGCCACAGGGACCAGCAACACCACAGCCGCTCACTGGCAATGTAGCTGCCTGCATACCGAGCATGGAGCAGTTGCCCAAGGAAGACGACCAATGGCTGATCAACCCAGCCTTTGAGACGCACTTGCGCGACCTCAATAACTGGACTCTGGGTCCCAGTTTTAGAAGCGCCTTTCCCATGCTTGGCGATGCCGTCAAGATCAAGGAAGGGAGATGATGCGACTCGTACATGTAGCATGCCTTCTGCATGCCAGTTGGATGGCGTTATGTTTGGTATGGTCTGTATGCCCATGCATGACTTGGTAACCTTTTTTCTTTAGTTGATTGTATTAACACAAAATATCGGGGAGGGAGGCATCTAAGTATCCATTTATTCAGGCAACAATATAAGTTTTCCGGTAAAAGGCCTTTTTGTACACGGTGTCGTTGGCAACCGGTGTTGTCGGCTACCGGATCAAGCCACCAAAAAACAACGCCGCGCCACACGCTGTCTTACGTAGACAGGATCCCTCAAAGCCTATGCACGCGAACAGCTCACTCATCCAAATGTCGGTGGGTTTCACGACACGGCCCCCTTCGTGGTGGACCCTCTCTCGTTGCTGTCGTGGGAAAAGTGGTCAAAGCACCACGGACGTGGTCGGCTGTAACTGGCGGTCAACCTCTTGTTCCAAACGCACGCCCCCACTTTTAAACCACCTACCATCACGTATACCCTTTTCGGGACGGGGCGGACTCGACTCACTTTCGCGTTTGCATAACTACATACTACCCTTTGCCCTCTTTCTCTTTTTCCTCTTTCATTTCCATACATAATCCATACACTTCTTCGCGCACAAAGTAATGTCATCTTTGACCCTGTCATCTAACCTCAACATGGAAAACGTCTTTCCCGACCCCGTTCACCAACAAATCTTCTCGCATCTGAGTCCCCGCCGCGGCGAGCTGCCGATTCATGTGGTGGAGACGATTGCTGGTGCGTTTCCTCCTTTCTGTCTGCCCTTTTTCCTATCTCAACTTCTCTCCCCCTGCCTCATCTGGATCTTGCCCAAATGGGAGGGGGGGGGTTCAAGGTGTGGGACGGGAAAACAAGCAAATGAACAAACAAAAACAAGGGGAAATAAAGAAGCAACCAAGCTAATCGAATGCGGTCAATAGGCAACATCTCTTTCCTGGTCAAATACACGGCTGGCTACAAAGTTCTCCCCTCCCAAGTCTCTGTCAGCGTCGTTGACGTGCGCGGGCCTGATAATGGTCTGCTCGGCCACAAGGCCATGGTGTGCATACATGGCGCCCCGGGCCGCTTCAAGGTCGTCGTTACCAAGGAAGTCGCATACGGCCGCAACGTCGTCATCGGGCTGAGTGAAAAGGTGGATCGCGTTGTGCGCGAGATTGTGAGTAAGGAGGGCAACGACGGGTTTGGTGATTTTTGAAGAAACCAGTCGAGTTTGGGATGAAGTAACGATCTCTTTTTACAACCTCGAGGCATAAGAGCAAGGAGCGAGGCACTCATTTCTATTTCCTTAGACGAGGGTTTTTTTTAACATCAGGCACCGGCTGCCTAGCATGGCTCTGGAACCCACCCTATCTCCGGGGTACTGCGGCGTTTTTTTTTTCCATTAGGCGTTCGGGTCTATTTCCTTTCTCCTGTCTATTTTTTTTCTCCGGAGACAATTTTCTATATACTATACTTGTCACGAGGAAGCATTACTACCCTCAGTGCGTACGCGCCCATTCGCGATACCAATCTAAACATTCAGCATTAGCAACGCTGGCACTTGTCTTTACGTTCATTCCGCACAGAATTTGCTTGACCGCTCCTTCAATCCTATTGGCACGTTAGTACGTTGACATATACTCTAGTTAATATGGGAACCTCACTTTTTGCCATTAGTCGTCACTGGGATTTCTGGGCACTCATCTACGATAGCAGGAACATGGCGTGCGCTGAGCGACTTCTTGATCGTCAACTTGATCCTATCGACCAGATCGGGTGATATTTGGCGTCCATCTGCCATTTTGAGGAACAGCACCACAGTTTCATCCGTGTCTGTTTCTCTTCTGCGGCCAATACATAGTGCGTCGGCCACGTCTTCTGGGAAATGCTGGAGCACCACATTGTAAATCTCGGCGGATCCGAATCGCACACCAGCAGGCTTGAGGATACCATCGCTGCGGCCAAGCATCCAGAGTCCACCAGTCTCTGGGTTGAAGCGCACGAAATCGCCGTGATGCCACACAGGTTGCTTCTTTTCATTGGTAAACATTCCAAAGTACGACTTGCGGTACTTTGCCTCGCCGTCAGTGCCCCAGAATGCTACTGGCTGACATACGAATGGCTTGATGCAGACCAAATCGCCTGGCTCACCGGACGACGAAATGTCGGCGCCTGTGAAATCGTATGCAGCAATAGCCATGCCCAGACCAGGGCCCTGGATTTCGCCCTCGTAAACTGGAAGCAGCGGGTTAGGCGCGCCAAAGAGCGAGATAATGTCCGTGCCTCCAGTTATGCTACCGAGATTGATAGACGACGGGAATGCCGAGTACACATAGGAAAACGTCGAGGGCGCCAGTGGAGAGCCAGTCGAGTAGATTGCCTCGAGCGTGCCAAGACCAAGGCCAGCCGCGGCTGGATCGACCGATTTTTGTTCTAGAATGGATAGGTACTTGGCAGAGGTACCAAAGTGCGTAATGCCGAACTCATCAATGAGGCGGGGCATTGCGAGATCATCCGCCACGGACGTCGACGGATCGGAGCGGTCCACGTAGCGAAACGGCGACCCATCATACAGGACCAACGTGGCCCCTGACGCTAGTCCGCTGACGAGCCAGTGCCACATCATCCAGGTACAGGTGGTGAAGTAGAAAAGCCGTGATTGGGGAGTAATCGAGCAGTGGAGAATGTGTTCCTTTTTGTGTTGGAGCAACGTACCAATGGCTCCGTGCACAATGCACTTTGGTGCTCCAGTTGTGCCGCTCGAGTACAGTATGTAGACTGGGTGGTCTGGCGGCAGTTGCCTGAACTCGAGCTCTGCTGTTGACTTGAGCGAAGTAAAGGTAACGTAGTCGTATGCCTTTCCTGATGCAACGGGTATTGAACTGGCGTCAACTGCAACGGATGCAACTGTTGGGAAAACAACGACAGCCTGGAGAGTTGGAAGTTCCCTGGTAATCTCAATGACCTTGGGCAAGACTGGATGGCTTCGGCCGTTGTAGAAGGAAGCGTTATCGACAAAAAGGAGTGCTGGCTCTATTTGGCGCAGTCTGTCTAGAACAGCATGCACGCCCGTATCTGGACTGACGGCTGTCCAAACTGCTCCCAACGACGTCGCTGCGAGCATAGCAACCAATGCATTCGTGTGATTGGCGACATAACCCGCAACTCGGTCGCCCTCTTTGAGACCTAGAGATATCATGCCCGCCTGGCATTGCTTCACCCTATCTCTTAATTCCTTCCAAGTCACTGTCTCCCGTGTGGTCTCGGTCGCAGCAATGACAGCGGGCGATTCTGGGTCGACTTCTTGGCTGGGGAACAGCAGGTTCTCGGCAAAATTCAACGTCGCCCCTGAGAAGAAAGGCGGTCGTGGGAACATGGAGGCATCTACATCCACCGCCTGGCCATTGGTGAGCTGACAGATATGCGCATGGGGCTACAACGACTGACCGATGACGGCGTTCCGTTGTGTCTGATGCCAACGAAATCCCATGTGCTCTTCCAAAAAGCGTCGACATGATCGATGCTCCATTGATGCAGCTGTGAATAGTCTGACAGATGGAGATTGTGTCTCTTATTCACTGACTCGAGGAACCGGTACATGGGGGTAGACTGCGGAGAAGGGTGCCTCCACAAAAGTTTGGAGGACGATGAGGTGCCACTGGCGTCATTGACGCCGTTGGTGCTGCTCATCGTGTTGGTGCTTCGAACGAGGTGATTTGCGTTCACTCACAGGATGTTTCTCTGCTATTACACGCGTGGTTCGGTGACTTTTGTGTCTAGACATCGCAGTGTCGGATGTTTTTTTTTGGTACCTGGCGGCGCTCACCTCAGCCGCGCTTTCCCCCACCATTTCCCCCGAAGTTGGTGACCGGCAACTTCCGGCAACGAATTCGCGTCGGGTCCCCCACATGGAGCCTACCACCCGCTGGCTCGCCAGTTTCACTCAACTTCATCTCCATCTCATTGCCAGTCTTCAATGTTTTACTCCCCTTCCACTATGCTCCAACCCTGGGAATCACTGTCACACGGTGCGATGCATGATTAAGGGGATGCCAGCTGTCTTTTAGCCCCCACTCCACCAACTACACCCTGCAAGTAAAGGCAAAGGCCAACGGCTGTCACGAGACCATGCGCCACACCAAAATATCGACCTTCTGCGTGCCGCCCCGCCCGTTCCTAGACTTGGGTTGAGCCCTAGACCAGTAATTCAGACATCCGTGCGACGCTTGAGCGGTACGAAACGATCTATCACGCCCATGTCCAAACTATTCTTGAGCCGAAGCGGACGTTATCACTAGGACATGTAGCAACTACATGCATACCCACGAAAGACGCTTATGCCAGACACACTGTCAGCAACGTTTCACCTCGTCAGCCATGACTAGTGTGAACAAGGCCGGGCCATGGCTGGTCCCTCCTCCATCCAAGTAACTCCCAGAACCCGGTCGAAATCATGTCACGCAGCCGGTCCTAGGGGCCACCCAGGACCATCTGTGTAGCCGTCATGAGTCAGTGGAAAAAAACGGAGCACGAAATGCGCGAGCTATGGTTGAACCACTTTGTGGCTTGTCAAGCGCCGCAAATATGCAGACGTTTGCCTTGTTGCCTTCTTTCAAGACGCTATGCCAATCATGGAGTTCTCTTACATCGGAAGCCTGCTCTTCTTACCCCTGCATCTACTCGACAGCCTGTCTCATATATCCCTCTGTATGAAAGCGTCAGTACGAGGGTATTCAGGTAGTGTTGAGCCACTGTCTTCCCTATGGGCTTCTTCACTGGTTGGATCGCCTCTTCGTCCTCCACAACACTGTCTTTGAAGTAATTTCAGGCTTGCTAGAAAAGAGCCCAAGCTTAATATTTGTTGCAGATCTTACCTATCAGGACTTTAGCGAACTCTTGCTAGTCTGTCAACTAGTCCCTCGCCTGTCCGTACGTATGGCGTATACATCTCCATTCCTTGGCAGTCCAGCGGAGAGCACAGGTATGCCCCCTGGCTCGATCCTAGCGCGCTTAATTCTCTGATTGAACGGTCCGCATACTGAGTAGCATGCGGATGTCGATCGGGACCTGTCCGTACCGGACCAAGCTCAGACCAAGATCTCGACAGCTTGTCAGATGCAACTACTGAGACATTTTCTTGCGCTGTAAAAACTTAATTCGCCACTGTTGTTGACAAAGTAGATTTCGAGAAATTCAGCGAGAAATTCAGCAAGAAATCACCAATTCTTGGGGGTTGACTGGCAACAAGGGCTATGGAGCAATGGTCCCTGGCCCTGAAAATCATCTGAGTGCCCAGTGTGGTCTACCCGATTCCGAGCTGACCACAGGCCGTACAGGGCGCACTGAGCTTTGATAGAGTTTACGAAGAGAGCCGCTCTGCCCCATACCCTTGCAAATAGGTAAGGATGTTGCCTGCTCAAACTCGCTCCTTCCAAGCAATTGTATATCCACTTTGTTGCCAACCGTGAGGGTGTGGGCGGAAACACTAAGGTAGATCTTATATGCATCACCCTTTCTTGCAGCATTCTTCTGGAGACTCAAATATCTATAAAGCGCAATCATGTTGTGTTCATGAGAGCAACAACCTCAACATCAGCGGCCTTATTTACTTCGAAGTGTAAATTCCTTTATAAACTTGAATTGAAGGATTTTTTGTTGCCTAAAAGCAAAGGTATATATACCAAATTCTTGTCCCAATCTTGACCCAGCCATGGCTCACTCAGATGCTGAAAAGACTCAGACATTCGAGAGAAGATATGGAAAGAGAGGTTGGCAACACCGAGGGACAGGCAGTTCACGATGATGTCTCTCTCAATTTTTTTCATCATGAAATTGATTTGCCTGCAACGACCTCAGACTCCAGACAATACACGCAAACCGATTGTCCTGCTCACGACCTATCATCTTCTGAACCTCCCCGCCCAAAAATTCCTCCTGGCATACACCCCTCTCAACGGCTCGAATACACTCCATGCTCCGATCTCCCATTGGGACTGTCAGGAGGCTGCCGAGTTGGGACCTCTGCCTCCGCCGGGTGCATCTGTAAATACAATCCAGATATATTGAAAGACAAGGTGATCAGCGAGATGGAAATCCTCATCAAGGAAGCAAAACAGGATGGAGAAAAGCAGCAAGAGGAAAGGTCCACCTAGTGTCGATGTCTGATGGCGGACATCAACTGCGATCAGACCATTGTTCCTTCATTTCCTTCAACACATCTCTCCACTATTGTGGCTTCCAGTCACTTAGTTACTTGTTAGTCGCGCCTTTCTCACCCAGTTTGAATTTACAAATTTCCGGTAAAGCGGTTCAGCCGTGACAAATATGAATTACTCTGATTGTAAGAAGCTTATACTTATTTTGAAGCTCGTACCACAGACCTGGGACTATCCGTTTTCCGAGACATGCTGATATGGTTGGGAGATGTAGGGATGCTGCTTTGCGGAATGAGCATCCTTGGCAACCAAGCCTGATCGCCGCCCTGCCTCTCCCTTTCCCAAACGAAAAGAGACTCGAGCATGGTTGTTAGGACAGCGGCCTTATTTTCGGTGAAATGACGCTTTGATAATTGCAATCCTAGACGATGGCGAGCCGAGACGAATGACGCGATCTGGCTGACTCGACAGGTACTACATACACACCAGTAAAGGGCTGAAGCGCAACGGGGGGAGGCTGACCTGGTGCTCGGCAAGCATCAACCCCATGACCCTGGATATCCAACCTTTTGCGCAAATATCAATTTCAGTTGTTTTGTATGTGTGGCAACCGAGACATGTTTGACGTCTACCATTTCGAGGATGATATGGTTCTAGTTCACTTCTGGGACGACATGGAAAGCCTAATTAATTTCAAGAATCCAAATTCGCTGTGGAGACCAAATCTACTCAATTGAGCTTTCATCTGGTACTGACCAGTCCGCCACCATCATCAGTGTCCTGCATATCGGCCATCCAAATGGATCTATTTGACAGTAGAGGAGTTACAGCGAGGTCTGTCCCTTATCCTCGCCCATAACGTAGTCCTTGAGACTGATGTGTGGCTTTTCCTCACCGCTACGATACTCTCATTTCCGAACAAGGCTCTAAGCAATAACCGATATCGATTTTACAGACCCCCTTTCCTTCAAATCATGCAGATATAAAGCACAGACTCAATGGAATCAAACAAGGATGAGAAGCAAGTTGGGCCGAGCCAGCGACTAGAAAGGAAGTAATGAACAGCTCCACAGTCTGCCAACGCACATCGTTGCGCAGCTGAAAGTCTGAGGATGAAACAGAAATGTATTGATTGCCATGCCGAAGGGGTGACTATCACCATGTCAAACGGCAGGCTTATCTGCGTCTTTGGCCCGGGTGATCGGTCTGCTGTTCGTATTTACGCGCCGACCAGACAGCACTTCTGCAGGAAAAGTGGATCTGACTAGCACTGGTTCTGCAAAGGCTGCAAAGGCTGTAAAGGCTGCTGTGTATGTCTAGGGCGCCTCCGTAACTCTGTCAGCACTTGAAGATAATCCTGCAATTTGCAGTCGCAGATCTCTGCTCACCGACTGCAGATGGAATGAAAGGCATTGTTCAAAGATTGTTTACTAGCGCGTAGACCGGCTATCAACACCCTTGTCATAGCTGCATGGCGCTTCACTGGTGGCCAATGATTACGCATGCCATGGAAGACTGAGGCCTTCCATGGCTTCTTCGACAAAGATTCCAAGCACAGATCAAATTCTGGCACGCTGCGCGTCAAAACGTTTCGCTTCAGTGCTTTTATCTTGCAAGGTTTCGAAGGCTGACCTCGAAAGACAGCTCTAATGATTCATGTAACCACGTGGCAGCCGGCCGGGTTCGAGACTAGCAGCTGTAGCCATTCTCACTTTGTCTACTTCATTCCATGCAACCGTTGTACCGTGTGCACTTTGGTCCACAGCCCCTCACTGCGGAAAGGTAATCAAGAATCACCCACAAGCGGACTGCATCACTGCTTCATGCACACGTGTCGCGGAACCGGGTGCAGTTCCCAACCTACCTTATCTGGACTTGGCGGGCTTTTGTATCTGGCTGTATCACCGTATGGCGGCCAATACGTTCTCAGGGCGCAACGTTACTGCAGTGATAGGGTCACTGGGATCTTGAACCCCCACCCACAATATCGCACCGCGCTCGAGGCGGCTTTGGTACCCTCCATCTGCCCTACTGTTGGCTAGAGTATTCCGCACATTGATTGTCAATGCCAACCCAGCCTTCCCAAGGCTGGCGCCTGACTACCCATGCAGCTTTTCCAACAGACCCTGCTCCATTTCACCACAACACACGGCACAGCCCCCAAACTCCCCTCATGATACTGCCAGACTGACGATCATCTCAGAGAAAGTCGGTGTATTCAGCCCATGCTCCGTCTTCGTGGCAAAATCGATCAGATGGCAGGCGATCCTAAGCGCCTCCTCACAGCGACGTCATCCCTTCGAACAACAACGATGACAAGAAACGCTCATCACACCGCCCAAATCTTCCACCCAAATGGCCCGACTCGCGCTTCCGAGACCGCATAAGCGCTGCCGGGCGCAAAGGCAATGCCGAGTGGAAAAGCGTTACCAGGCCTCCGCTTCCGTTCACGCTCCCCGGATCCAAACCAGAGAGAACCCGCTTCCCCCCGGACCACTACTCGGCAAACCGGAGTCTTTAGCATTGCTCCACGCGGAACACCCTTTTTTTCTTGCGCACCGCGTGCAAAGTCATACGGCGGCAGCGGTCCCGGAAGCTAGATCCGCTGTGTCTCTGGTTGGCCCCAGTAACAAGACCTTTTGCACCACCAGCCGTTGTTGATCTTGTGTGGCTTGCGAGGTTGTCACGCGGCAGGCATGCACTCTCTCATTCCTTTTGCGCTTCTTTCCGGGGGGAATTTTGATTGCAGTGGTGTGCTACTCGCTTGCGGCTTGGAAGGGGGGGGCTTCTGCCCGGCTAGTGTACCCCATGACCATGCACAGCAACATATTGTTCAGCCTTGTCCGCCGGCGGCGGCGGCGCGGATGCGGGAGAGCTTACTTAGAGTTGCTGCATATGCAGTAATACCTGCTACATTGGGCTTGTACGACGTAGCAGAGCCAGTCGCGAGTGTGAGCAGCGGGCAGTGGGCAGTGGGCAGTGAGAGTTGTATGGGCCGTGCCTTTTTTTCTTACCCCCCAGCGACAGCAAGAGACTTGGTTGGAAGTGAGGCTCTTTAGAGCGGTGAAAAGAAGCACGCTGTGTGATTGGGTTCACTCCTTTTCTCCTTCACAATGGTAAAATCATACATAAGGAGCTGAGATTCCGCATGTTGGCGTAGCCGTTTTTGTTCGTCAGACTAAAACTTCGGCCATGGTGGCTCCAGATCAGTCCAACTCCATTGTACATGCTGCCACTCATGGCACTCCCCAACGCGACAATTATGATGCTACATCCCCACGTCCCAATGGCCTAAGCGGCCCCGCTATCAACGGCGCACCTCCCCCCTTTTCTCGTCAGTGTGACATGGACGTCGTGTGTGTGGGAACGTGGATCAGTAATACAGGATCCCAACACACTGACTCCTTCTCGGGCAATGGTACTTCAACATTTCCATATTCTGTACGAGATCAAGAAAAGAAAAGGTGCTGATGCCCTTTTAGTACGCGCCGATGCAACGCGGGCTGCTTGCGTATGCCATCACAGCTTGCATCAAGCATGTCTCGAGTCAACGACATATACGCGAGTGGTTGAATGTGTGGCAGAGCTCAAAATAGATGGTCTAGCCAAGGTTCTTGTGGGTGTCGATGAAGGTAAATCTGCAGTGTTGGTTTGTACGTGCGAGGGGTTTATTGAGGCCTTTGATCATGAAGACAGTCAGAGTGTGAATGTGGAGGAGGGCGCTAAGACGTTGCGTAAGTCGGGAGGAAGGAAGGAGTAACGATGATTGCTTGGCGAGGTTTTCGTAGGTTTGGCGAATGGCGATTTTGGTGTTGGGGGTTTAGAGGAATTCCAGGTAGAGTGTAGATTTGAAGATAGTGAACTTAGGAAATTATACCTCTGTTTTCTTGGAGAACATAGTATCGAATGTACAGTGTTGTAACCTGCTCTGCACATAGTTGTTTGGCCCTGTCTTTTCTATGCTGCTGATGTTCTAATCTCCATAGGATGTACCTAGCTGATCTTGTTTCAACATTAACCAACTTGCTAGTGGTGCGGTTGATGATGCCAAGACCCTATCCTCTAGTGTATCCCAACTGTAGGAAACTCGGTAGTTGGGGGTTCGAGGTCGAGGCTAGAAGCCAGGCGTGCTGCTCAAGGTCGAACTCTTGGCGTATTGCGTTAGCTAGTGCAGGGTCGCTGATTGGCTGAGACTCATGTGAAGGAGCGTGACTGTTTTACGGTACCCATCTGACGCATGGCGCATAGATAGGTTGTCTGCAACGGCGAAAGGCGGTGACGGCGGTAGATCGACAAGACGATCGACACTCGCACAGCCATAAGGGAGGTTGGTTGACTATAAGACTGCAAGTGTGTGCACCGTTTTTTGGAAAGGGTTTCAGCAGCTGCTCCAAGATGGTTTACCCGAGGCTGCCTGCGAGGCCGAATACTATGACCTCAGAGACAGAGCCTAGGCTTAACCGTGAGGGTCTATCCCATTGGCTGTTGTTGCGATAGTCATGGACGAGAGACGATAAACGCCGGCTTGTGGGTACTGTTCGCCGGCGGTTTTCTGGGCTGACAGACCGGTTGACGTGCCTTAAGGCTAGAATCGTGGCTGTGCATGCACGAACCGCAACACGGCATTACCAGTACCGTGATACCTGAAGGTGAGAGCGATTTAACGATAATCCCGCAGTATTTCCAGGGATTTTTATGTAGCTGACCAGGTCTCATGAATAGAGTTCGCCAACCGGCCAATGTAATCCACAGTGTTGTGTCTGAAGTATAGGAGGCAGGGCTCGCACCTGACATGATGCAGGTTAGCTTAGTCCAAGCACTAAGCAGCGCATGCTCTAGCGCGACGTCTCGAGTGGCTGGCGCGTTTGACCAAGACTTGAGACGAAAGCTGGAAACCATGATTTGAACCTGACTGCTTGCACCGTTCCCGCGCAGGATTCCTGGTGTCGGCATTTGCTCGTGGACGTGAGACTGTTGTGAGTATACGCTTTCCGTGCGAACCGGCCAAGCCTGTACTTATACCCCGCCGGCTCAACCAGCCACACTTCTCATCCATCCCCTCATCGTCCCTGTGGCTGAACACTCACCCGACCCATACCTATCGCCACAGTACAGTACGTAGCACACCATGGCGGAACTAGTCTCCGGCATCGCAAAGCTCAATCCTTTTTCCAAGAAAAGCGTCGATGATGAAGACAAGGGCGAGGCCATTGATGCGCGGACTGTGGCTGGCGGGGGCCATGCCTCACGAGAATCGCACATCACCAAAGACCAACTCCGCGTGAGCAAAGGACTACAGCACCATATTATCGAGAATAACATCTTGCACAAGCCAGAGTCCGGCTCAGAAGCAGAATGGGTTTCAGCGTTACGGGAGATGCTTAGCAGGAACCACGTCCAAATCCCCCGCGAACTCCTTGACAGAAACCATCCACTTCCCGAGTACTTTATCAGTTCATCGCACAACACGTACCTAATGGCTCACCAACTCTATGGCGAGTCACGTGCCCAGGCATACGAGATCGCCCTTCACACTGGATCGCGTTGCGTTGAGATTGATGCTTGGGACAACGATGAAAATGCCGATGAGCCCAAAGTCACTCATGGCTACACACTCGTCTCTCACATACCCTTCCGTGAGGTGTGTGAAACAATCCGGGATGTTGTTGACAGAGAGGCTGCAAATGAGGTCGATGCTGCACCCATCCTCATCTCCTTGGAGAACCATTGTGGCCCGCACGGTCAGCTTCGCCTGGTACAAATCTTCCAAGAGGTTCTTGGCCACCGGCTCCTTAGTCAAGAGGTGCGTGACAAAGGCACACGCGAACAAAACGACCCGGAAAAGCATGAGCATGTCACCCTTGCCGAGTTGGGGAACAAGGTGGCAGTCATTGTTGAGTATCACTTACCCAATGAACCGGAGACCAGCAGCAGCAGCTCGTCCAGTTCCGACGATGAAGAGCAAAAGCAAGCACACCAGGCATATGTGGAACAAAAGAAGACCGCCCAGACTGGCACTGTCATTCCTGAGCTTGCAAACCTGGGGGTGTACGCGCAGTCTGTCAAGCCTGTTAACAACTCGTGGTTCGAAAGCCATCTTGAAAATGCACCACACCACCAGCTCATCAACGTCTCTGAATCTGGTCTCAAGAGTCATCTCCCAGCCAACAGCGCAAAGATTGCTCACCATAACGCCCACCATTTGATGCGTGTCTACCCCAAGGGCACCAGAATTTCCTCCAAGAACCTAGCGCCTGTCCCTTTTTGGAGCATCGGCGCACAGATATGCGCGCTCAACTGGCAAACCTTTGGCGCGGGCTCGCAGATCAACGAAGCGCTCTTCACTGGCTCCAGCGGATACGTCCTTAAGCCTGCTGCCCTGCGTGCGGGTGGCTCTGGAAACCTTGGCACTGGAAGGCGGAAGCAGCTCCGACTGCACGTTGCGGGTGCAACGGACATTCCTCTGCCCAAAACACGCGACCCCAACGAAATCAAGCCTTACCTAACATGCACGCTTGTACACCCCAATGACCTGAACAACATGCCTCCAAAGCGCAAAACCGCCGTCTACAAACCTCATAAGCTTACTGGGTTTATGCACAAAGATAACCCGCCTGCCACTGACCCCCTGTGGAAAGAAGTACTTGAGTGGGAGTACGAGGATAATGAGTTGATTTTCTTGCGCATGTTGATCAAGAGCGATGATAGTTTCTCCAAGAACCCGCTTTTTGCTGTTGCGGCTGTGAGACTAATGTACGTTGTGCCGGGGTGGGTTTTTGTGCGCATGTTTGATCTGGCTGGACACGAAACAGCGTGTACGATACTCGTCAAGTTTGAATTTCTAGACATTTAGAAAGATCGAACTTGGGGTATTGGAGTAGGAGTGGTCCGGGCGGCTACTTTAGAGGCTTGTTATGTGGGTTTGTCTGAGGGGGGTTGGGTGAGTGTAGTCTCTGAAGGGGCTGCAGACTCTAGTACCTCCACCAACCTATTTCTTAAATGCTATATAGGTTGGCCTACTACCTATGCAGCGTTTCACAGTATCACTTGTCGAGGGCGACTATTGGGGACGTTACTCACCTCTTGATAATGCGCAAATCAAAGTCCTATATCCTTGATCACCATCGCCTCCAAAAAGCTGTGAACCGCCATGGATTTGCGCATCCTGCTCTCTAACCTCCCATGCTCTTCTCCAAAATAAAATACCACCCCCATATAATCCTACTCCAAAACGCACACTCCACCGCTTTCAGCCTGACGAGCGGAGCACATCTCCCTCCCTCCCCACTTATCCACATTATCCACAGCGCGCCTCCAAACCGTTGATCTCCACCGCATTCGCCCCCTTCGCANCCCCAGCTGCAAACGTCAATACTTCCGATGCAACAACTTCCCACCCATACACTGCGCATTTGCATCCTTTGATATGCCGGCAGTCTTGCAGCCGTACCGCATCCCTACGTCATATATGCATCATTCTCGCACAGCACACCCGCGTGTCCGCACTCCTTCTCGCACCACGCAACCCTTTTCTGTCGCGATCGCCCGCCAACCCCCGTACTCGCCTGCGATACGCAAGGCGCGCACAGCGCGTTTGATATGTAGCGCGATTGAAGCGGGGGACGGGCCGTGGGGTGTAGGCGAGGCGCGGTGAGTGGGGCGAACTAGTAAGTAGGGAGAAGGGGGGGCGGGCAAAGGCACATCGCCCGTGTGGCTTGGAGATGTGGATGCCCAGTTTGCCTTGCCAGCCCCGGAGTCTGTTGCGAGATACTGGGTGCTCCCTTGTTTGGAGGGAAGGGAAAAAGAAACGAAAAGGGAGAAAGCATGGATGCTGGGTTCTTTGCCCTTTTTTTGTTTTTTGTTCGGGGGATTGATAGGGCGAGGACGGGTGGGCTGCGGGTGCTAAAGGCTATGCGTTGAGTAGGTGCATGTGTATACGGACGGGGATTAGGCCTGCATTGATATGCGAGTTCAGATGCGCGACGATTCATGAGTGCTGCAGGTTGTGGTAATGGGGGGAACGGCGTCCTGGTCCCCTGGTTATCTACGCGGAGGCAAATAGTAGCGTGCGGAGGATCGGATGTGGATTTGACTGGGTCGAAGGAACGCGTAGCATTGGCGTGGTGCTATATTGTTTGTGCAGAGGCGTCAATTTGGTGCGTCAAGGTTGATTGGTTGGGTTAAGAGTGGAAACGTAGACTTGCGAAGGAGGCTGTGTAGAGTAGGATACAGCTGTGTGGCAAAACTATTTCGCCTATCATGTTGGCACGAGAGGTGTGGGAAAGGATCTTTGAGTAATCATAAAATGCAATCTCTGATGGTAGTGTATTATGAGAGGAGGAAATACCGCGTCATCATAGTAGCTCAATGTGCAGAGCTGTTAAACTTTGTCACCACTGCGCAGTGGGTCCTTTGTCCGCTCGCGTATCACCTGCGCAGGCGCAAGCCCGTCTCTTTCCAGAATGTGATTGGGAATCACAGCCCCCTCCTCAGTCTTGTCGTAATTTGTATCCGTCATGTGGTATATGCCTAGATAATAGAAGCTCGCAATGCCCATGACGTAGAACAGCAATATGCCTCCTGCCTCAGCAATGAAAGGGATCTTGATACTGTCCAGGCCAAAGCAGATTGCTTCACCAGCACCGAGTACTCCACGGAAGATGCCCACGTAATATGTAAGCTTCTGAGGTGAGTTGGTCAAAGCGCCGATCCAGTAGTATACTATGTTGTGCCAGAGCTGGGAAAAGACCCAGTTGAGCATGAAGAGAACAAAGACCCAACCAAAACTAGAGTCTTCCCAATCCGTGGCGTGGCTTGGAGGATGGTTGCGGTCGTAATTGCGAGTGCGGATCTGGCTGGTGTTAATAGGTTGTATTCAAATGTAGAGTAGATGATGTACCATTTCCCATACCCACGCAATGACAAGAGGTACACAAACACCAGTCAGCCCAACCAGTCCTCGTTTGCGTCGGCCCCAGCCTGGGTAGTCCAGAACCCATTGTAGGGCCCATCCTGCGGGGATTTGCAGGACGACAGCAATAAACGACAGCAGGGATCGAGTGCGAAGGTTATTATTGAACGCTTGGAGTATGTGAGCAGTATGCCAAATGGCCGTGTAGCGAATACTTACCATTCACTGACCCGCTGTAAACGAGAAAACCCTCTGACGGGAGAAAGGCGGGGATCATCAAAACCAAGATTGGATCCGTGAATGCGAGCAGGTTTGCCTTCAGCTCATTCCAAGCCCCTCTAGGGCGATCAACTGCGACAACTGACCCGTCGTCTCTTGTGAGCCTGTGCGGTCGTAGCAAGAACAAGCAAAGCAAACCTCCAATGACCATGATAGTTATGAAAGAAATGTATACCGACCGAGGCACGCCCGCGACAGTCTCAGAGTTTCGGTTGATGATCACGGGAATGATACCGCTGATGACAGAGCCCAGAGCCTGCATGTTCATCAAAATGGTTGCATAGGATCCTTTCTCGCACTCTTCTGGATACCCAGTTGCAACATATCCAGCAGTGATGAAGACCATTCCCGCGCCAATTCCAATAATTGGGCCAGCAGCATAAGGATAGCCAGTCTTGCCAGTCTCATCGTAGTACCACAGCGATCCGACATAGACAGCGTAAGTTTGAACACCGATGCACATGGTAAGACCAGGCCCGAGTTTATTCAAGATGGAGCCGCCGAAGGAAGAGGAGAGGAACCATACTATCTCTGTTATCAATGGCCTGAGACACAAAGCTCCAGCCCTGTTTTACCTGCACAGAGTGTAGCGTTGACAACCTGAACAACTTGAGCCGAGTCGGGCCTTCCACCCCCAGCACCCAGTAGATTCAGAGCAACGTAAATGCCTGCGGAAGAGCCAACTCCCAGGCCAGCAATCAACATTTGAACCCATGGTCCATGGTAGCGGAATTGAGGCAGGTTCATTAACCCCATAACGCTTGACGCTTTTGAAATACAAAAAGATTAGAACAAACACTGCAACGCACAAGTAAACCAGAAGTAGACTGAACAATTTCAGTCCAAGGAAAATCGTCGCAGTGGCAAGCGGAACAAAAAGGACATTTCAGTGTGGGAAACATTCGCTTTAAACCAGCAATCTTCATGGATTCGCACACCCATCCATAATTGCAAAAGTCCAGGGTGCCCTGATATAGCGCCATGCAAGGCGACAGGAACCCACACATTTCAACACGGGAGCAGAAACAAGGGTTCACAGCGGGTCGAGGCGTTGACCGATAAACAAGAGTCAAGAAAATAAGTGACTAGGATTGCATTGTGTGGCTGTTAGGGTGGTCGCTGATCCACCCGTTGCCATTCGGTGGGGAAAAACGTCACTAGGGTCTAGATGGGGGTAGTCGCTAGCGCAAATGCAAAAACCGGTCCGGCACCGAACCACGCATTAAGGTGATAACGGCGCGTGTAAAGTTCAAAAGACAGGTCCCTGTGTCGAACCTTCTGACTCGCCAGGTGCATGTCAAGCCTGTCTACCAGCGATGGATGGCAAGATCCGACAAAATGGACATTGGCAGTTAGAGGCCATTAGAGACGTCTAGACCGGCACTGGCTGCGCACATTGTGCTGAAACACAGTTTAGTGAGTTTCGGAGACAACCGTGGCGGGCTGGATCTATACACCAACGGCACTTTTAAAACAGCAGGTTTGCTGCGAAGATTGCTCTGCCTTTCGTTCCTCTAATCCCACACCTGGCGACAACTGACATTGATGCGCTTGGTGCTCATATAGCCCTTCCATTTTTTGTAGGCTTTCTCTTCCGCCGGCGTAGCTCCAGGAGTGCCGACCGGCCAACTGGCAAGATGAGGCGGACATGTGCTTGGTATACAGCGAGCCATTGCATGCCAAGCCCATCGTGCATCCCCTGTTAGATGCACGACGTCGCCGCTATGGACACGGATAGCGACGCTCCTCGGAGCATTTTCTCCTTGTCCATCGTCCTCGCCCTTGGCCATGATAAATATGCCGTCGCAACCCACACTGAAACTCGCGAGTGCACGCTGGCATTGCTCGCTTACATCGCGATGTACAGGCATGAAATCTTTGGCCGAGTACATTAACACGACGCCAGACTCTGGTCGGATATGAGGGAAAAGACCAGTAACTAGCCTTGACAAATCGTCAGGAAATGGAGTAGCATGTTTTGCGTAGCTGCGAGTCGGCCAGTCGTACTGCTCACCGAGCGTGAGCCATCGAAGTTTCGAGTAGAGAAACTGCTCGTTGTTTAATGGCTTTTGCTTGTCAGGTGACTTCGGTATAAGACAGTCAGTCTCAGCTGCCCGGTCGCGAAGAAAAAAGTTGCTGTCAAATCGCGAGGGCTCAGACGTGGGCTTGGGTGGATAAGGAATATCGAAATCGGCTTGGAGGTTGATTTTGTGTCCAGGGTCCGCCAGATCCCTGTGCATCAAGCATGATGTGAACAAAACCTGAGTCTCGGGAGGAAGTAATCGAGATATGACTTGGAGACCGGGGAAATCACGATGTTCAAAGATTTGCGCGTCTTGTACTGGTGCTGATAGTGGTTTACCGCCAGCGTAGGCCATGCAAGCAGCTTCAATCTGAGTCGCTGGAATGACACCGGCAGGACGCCAGATGTCTTTCCAATCTTGGCTGAATTCATTACGTTTGCTTAGGTCAAAGATGTCTGGATCGTTCTCCAAGTCGGCTTTGCGCATGCTCTGGTAGCGCCAGTGCTCCTTTTGGATGAACTGTGGTGGGGTAGCGTGTGTGTCATGATGCACAGAACCCTTCTACGTTCCCTGTCAGCCAGACCCGTCCAAACTCATCTAAGAGACATACGAACGCGTTCAGTTGCATCCGTTGACAGTTCCATGATGGGAGCGAAGCGACAAATGCGTTGCGGGGCAAGACGTGTTGGCGCACGGAATGGAAGCTGCCTAGGAAGCGAGACAGCTAGTCCCCCCAGGCTTTGCATCAACCAAAGACTGGGTATCAGATACAGGATAATAGTTCAATGTGACAAGTTATTTCTTCGCTGCCATGCAAGGAAGAAAAGGAAAAGGCTTGATGGAAAGCCACCTCGTGCGTGCGCTTATCGATAAGCGCCACATTTTGCATTCTGCACTAAGTAGTAATACACGTGCAACTACTCACTTCTAATTCTATACCAGTGCCAGCTCCTGGTAGCGTTTCTCGAAAAATGCATTATACAATTGCCATGTAGGTCAACTTAGGCATATCTATTGAATTACTCGTACCTCACTATATACATATCCCAGAAATACCTATTGCGACAACTCAACCCTCACAGAACTGCAAGCGAAAGCAAACTTCTTCGCGAAATTTGCTAGTGCTCTTGTACTCTTTACTACTTTAATACAACGCTCCAGTAATTTTCATTGTACCCTAACCCTAACCTAGCTCTATTTCAGGCACCTTTGAAGATCAGTCTTCTTCTCAATAACATGTCTTTCTATTTGAATCATGTCTTCCTATTTCAATCACTTACAAGACCAGGTCCAAAAATACCATTTATATTCATACAACTTCCTTGACAGCACCGATTAGTCGGATTGCTTATCCGACCAGGCTATTTCAATTCTCAATCAGAAACTTTCCGTTTGAATAAACACGTATTTCTGTTATTCTTCAATACACGCTGCTCGAGACGCAAGTTTAACACCATGTTCAGTGCTTTGACGCTGAATAGTTGGCTTGGCGTATACCATGGAGAGCATAGCATCTATATTAAACATGTGAACTTTTATGTTTGACTAGTATGGTATGATTGTAAATAGTTCGAGATTGTTTTAGTGTTGGTAAAACATCTATCTCCAAAATGCCGCAGGTACATTTATATATCAGATTCCTATTAATTCAGATTCATTTTTCCAAACGGGTTTCTTTTCAACATAATTTGTTTTATGCAGGAACCGCGTGCCTATTCCCTCACCGGAAATAAACGTGCAGGATCTGCGTTATTTGCTTTCTACAGAAGCAATGTGGCATTTCTTTTTATTCAGTGGAAAACTCGGTGAAGGTAATAAATACTTGGCTTGCCTGAAGCTCAGCTAAAATGTGGCCAAAAAGATACAGCATACTGCATGGCAGTATCTGGAGCTTAATAGCTATATGCGTGTAATAGTTAGTGTCACATAGTCGAGATTCAAGGCTACTACCACCCAAAAGGTACAAGTAATTAGCGTTCTGTTCATGGCCATACATAAGATTGTATGTAAAGTTCGCTCTTCTTGACACTTAGTAGCCCGAGGAGTACCTAGTAGGAGCCTAAGAGCCATTACTTGTATCTCATACCAAGGTCACGGGATGATAAGTTACTTATCTGTACCAGCTCATAAAAAGTGTTGAGTGTTGAGTGTTGAATGCTAATTGTTGAGCGCTAAGTGTGAGCATCAAGAGAGTAGAATTATTCTCTATGACGCGCTTTGTAATTACTAAAAAGAAATATATAAACATCTACTTCCTCAACCGAATTTCTTACCTAATATCATAAGCACAAAAAAACGATAACTATCACCGCTATCCCTAATACAAAAACAACAAGAACGATGCGCTTCACTCCCATTACCATTGCTGCCCTTCTAAGCCTGACCATCACAGCCACTATCGTACCCAAACGCGGCGCAACTGCTAAACGCAACTCTAATGTCTGTCCTGGCATTGAGTATCCGCGCTGCTGCGAAGCCAACGATGATGGTGTCATTGTATCCTGCACATACCGTACGTGATTTCGCTTGTTATGGATGGCTTTATTTGTACTTTCGCTGAATTCCTTCCTTTATGATTTCATAAACCAATGCTTACCAATATTATTCTAGCTGGGAGCGTTGACTCGATGGAGGATTTCAGGAACGCGTGTGAATACATGAACAAAAAGGATCGCGAAAAACATGAAGAAGGCCACAAACACGAACATGGCAAAGAACATCACAAACACGGAGAGGACAAAGAACACCAAGAAGGCCACGAACACGAAGAAAAAAGACACGGCAAAAAATACCGCGATGGGAAACAGCCTATGTGCTGTCGTTTGAAACAAACAAAGATGTTACCAGATGTTGGGCAACTCTTTGATCGTAAGGTGGCTTATAATGATTGCACCGATTTAAAGGATTAGTCGGATTTTAAGCTAAAGAAGGACAAAACGGAAGTATATACAATCGGGTCATAGACGGAATCTCGTACACTGTCTTTCGTTTTGTAAATATTTTTTGTGTCAATAGTATAAAAGGCTACGTATCCATCTCTAACTATACAATCATTTGGTGAGTGTTGTTACATTATAGACTCGCTGCATTTTCTGAAATAGGCCTACATATGACCAAGCTCTAACAGTGTTGAACCCTAGACTAGTATAAAGCTTAAACGCAGACGGTTTTTGCTTGTATAAATCCAGAATTTCCACATATGGTCATACGTTTGCACACTAACTGATAACGCAGTATTAAAACATGTTACTTGCAATATGTAGAGGAGAATAAACAATGCTGATTACATACTAAAGTTAGGAAAAAGTTCTAATACGCATCCACTGGCTTGCGCTATTTGTTAGTGTGAGTCATTTGAGACTTACGGATAATGCTAGGGGCTCGAGCCTAGTCTGCTTTGTTTGGGGTGTTGATGTAGCAGCTGTAGCGCCTTTGTACCACCACTCACGTTCACTATCACGTGGCATATCTTTGGAACGAAAAGCCTATTTCCTTCAATATTTCTGCACAAATCATTTATTACGCAAAAAGAGAGAATTATAATCCAACCTCCAGTTTGCAAGATTTATACAGTTGATAAATAGCAAACAAAGATCAAGACTGTACACTAGCGCTATTAACGTAATTGTCATTTTGTATGCAGTGCTAGGTCCATAAAAGGTGTGAGTTTAGGCTCGGTATATCGCAATTATATATCAGTACATGATAGAAACATTTATTATGACAGTTCAAACCCCAATAAGCCTATACATCTACTGCAAGTTCCTACACGACCTGTCTAGCTTGATGTACTCGTACTGGCTTTGCCCCAGTGGTGCCGAAAACACCGTCCACCACTTCAGTGACCACCAGTAACCATACAACCCCCCAATCTGTTTCCTCCTATTGTACAAACTCATCGCTTGATACCGACCATTCTGCGCGATGATTCTCAAATTGTTCCGGTTCCAGGATTCCCATTGACCCGCCAGATCACTTGGATCGGTGGCATGTGCAGAGTTCCAGCTCCTATCGAAATCACTGAGGACATCCCTCATACCGTTGTAGCTGTCGCAGAAGGAGTTCCAAATATCGGGTATGTTCCAGTATGCGAAGATCATGCCGAACTCTTTGACGTACATGAGTTGCTCGTCACCAGCTTGTAGAGCATCAAATGTATTAAGGTTTGCGGCTGAGTTATGGCTGGACAAGGTGCCCTTCATTCGGTTTGATCGAGCCAAGAAAACAGCGAGACGGTTGGGTCTGTTCTTGTTACCCAACTCCCGCATCATCAGCTGTAGGACACTTCCACCTGCGCCGTTGAATGGGGTTTTGTTGTCGACAATGTTTCTCCTCACCCACGCACAATCGCGTCGCTCGGGATTCTGATAGTCTCCGACATGTTCTTCAAAGAATTTCGAAATTGACTGGGCTTCGTATGGGTGCTCAGCTGAAGTCATTGTTAGCACCTCCTTCCCGTTTTCATGTAGTTCTCGATAGCTTACTTTGATAGAATCCTTTACGCATGCCTACAACTTGACCGTTCCTCATCGTAGAATCATATACCATATCTATTGATGCGTGTTGCCGAACTGCCCAGCTCGTGCATGATGCACTTGAGTTATGGAAGTACTTCATAACCTGCGGTTCATAAAGGTCGAAGTCGACTACTGACTGCGGATTTTTTTGGAAGTTTGGAAATGCAGGATATGGGATCGTTTCCGTTCGACCGCACATATTGCATGGCTTATTAGACGTATTAGGTACTGGGCCGACGCGTTTTTCGAGTTGCTGTAGGCCTCCTTCCGTGGCGTTGAGCATACCCTCTTCAGTTAGATCGCGCTTCGAGAGAGGTATTCCGAAGATTGATTCAATGTCTGAGTTATCGCCGTACGGACCAAGCGGTCCCTCGTCTCTCCCTCTCGGTCCCAATCCGTACTTGCAGCCTAAACAAACGCAACCGCAGCATGGTTCCCTAAATGGATTCCGGAGTGTGCAGCTTGCACAATTGTCACAACCTAATGCAGGGAGCATTTGATTGAACAAATTGTCGCCGAGATTGTAGCCTGGCATGGGAATTTCACCCCAGTCAATTCTTCCGTCCTCGAACCCATCCCGCTTGGTCAGATTCTGAGCAATTTCCAGGTCTCGCTTCTTGATTGGTTGACCATTGTCCTTAAAACATTGCTTTGTACCGGCTGCGGCCAGTTCGTCTACGTATAACTTGTCGGACGTGGAAGTACTCCAAGCGGTGGAGCCTTTCTTCAAGTGGCTTCTCATCTTGGTGCCAAGACTTGTAGAAACGCAACTTTGTGTACCGGTGTGCTCAAGGTTCCATCTTGAGAAGACTCGCTGAGAAACAGACATGTCTGGTAAATCGCCGACAACTTTATCGTAAGGCTTTGAGAACGACATACCCACCATAAGTCCTACTCTTACTGTCGTGCCAACCTCAATCCACCCTTTGGATTTCGAGAGTGCGTTGAGCTTGTTGTTGGTGCTCTTGCTGACTTCATCTTCGACTCTGCTGCCTTCTCCAGTGCCGGTAGATGGAGTGATGGTGGCTCCCGCAGGAAAATGAACGTTGTAAAGTCCCCAATTGCTCTGGATGCGTGATTCAGCGTAGCCACTGAAAGGTACAGCGCCAACGACATTATCTCCGCTTGCTAGATCAACGCTGGCCTCCTTGTATGCTGTAAAGAAGGCCCAACCTTTATAAAGCGAGTGGCCAGCTACTCCTGTTTCGCCAAACTTCTTCGTGATCGTCGAGCCCATAAGAGATTTGGAGGTATCGAGAATGCCTTCTCCACCAAGCCTGAACGAAACGTCTGTTTTTCCCTGAGGGCGAACAAAGCCTGCCGCTTGATGCACATTGAAACTGGCACCGGGCGTCCAGGTAGCGATCATTGAGAACCCGTAGTGAAGCTCAATGCTGGAAGACCCTTGCATGGCGACGCTCAGAGATTCTCCGAGTTTTCCTTCTTCATCCACGGGCTTGTCAATGTAGTTGCATGTCTGCCCATTGTGGTAGACAAGCCGATCTAGCTTTTCCGTAATCTTGATAGAGTTTCCTGTTAAGAAACCCAACTTATTAAACCGGTTGTACCAAGCTTCTGTGTTACCGTAATCAAAAAATCTATCGACAAGGGTTTTCAGGTCTCGCTTCTGGCTGCCTCCGGGAGTGTCCACCACGGCATACCAGTACCCTGGCACATTGGAGTAGTCAAGGCGTATGCTGAGCCTTCCAGCGTCTCGCCGAACTAGTCCGATGTTGTAATCGAATTTGAAATCGTAAACGATGGAAGTTGGACTGCGCCGGGCAACCTTTTCTGGAAGAGACTGGTCAAGAGATGGGGTGAGAGAGACTGCTCGGGACCAAGAAGGTCCTCCACATTCATCGGGCCTAAGAAAGGGGGCAAAATCTCAGCTTGATTCAGGGCACAGTGTTTTGAAGGAGCACTTACATATGAACAATGGTTCCTTCAACGCCGTTTTCTTCAACTCGGAAGCAGTCAGTTACGTTTTGGTGCATACATACGATACGTGCCGTTTGTATCTCATGGTTCGGTCTCTTCAGTATGTCATGCGGGCAATCAATGAATTCCAGTCCTGGATTGTCGCGTTTCCGCATGGACGACACAGCGCTGCTATGACCAGCAATGAGGAAGAAGGCTATGCCAGTTTTGTTTGGGTCCTCCTCTTGAGTCAATCCTTGGAACCCGCCAAAACTTACGAGATCGTAGTTCGGGATCGCATCTGCCGGAGGAAGGTACGCCTCTGGGAAAAGATTTTCGAGATTGAAGGGCGCAAAAGGCCTATCAAAGCCACCGATCGGCTCACAGCAGAATGCCTATCACAATAAAGCATCAATGTCAGTTTTATATTCATTGCAAATCCGCATAAATGGTTACTTACCTGTTCACGTCCGTTGTGGCATGAGCTACTTCGAGGATCCGGTCCACGCGGGTCGAGATCCAGAGTTATCTTCCCAAGGGCGCAAGTGCTAGAGCAGACTTTAGACGATTCCCAGTTACAATTGCCGAAAGAGTTTGCGCGGGGACAACAAAGCCTCCGAATTCCGGAACCTTCGCCACTGAAAGGATCTCCTGAACCTTCCCATCCACATCGCTTGTTTGCCTTGGGACCACCAGTGTCGGTAGTTAACTGGAAAGGCTTGTCTGACGGGCACTTTTTGTCGCATTCAGTCCAGGTACAGATCTTGAGATAGCGCTCCATGTTACCCGCTTTGCAGCAGAAGCTCTTCCAGCCTCGACTGCACTGCCAGTCATATGTTCCATTTACAAGATCTCCTTTCCAACCGAAGCTGTCATTGATGACATTGATTTCTCCAACGTTGCACTTTGCGGAACAATCCGTCTTAGCCGCTGTAGAGTGGCTGTCATCCCACCGACAATCGTTTTCTTGCGGTCCAGCGAATGAGGGACAGCATATCTTACGAGCCTCTTTAGATTTCTTGGTGTTGCATCTGTTCTTCCCATTGATGTCTGTGCTGACACGACCCACCATTGTATAGCCAGCCTCACATTTTGGTTCCACATCCTCTGAACCACATTCTGTAATTTTACACTTCGTGCCGTCAGCCGTGCCGTGTGCAATAGATGGTCCGTTGTCGGTCATGAACTCGAGGAGATCTTCTCCTTCTTTGAGTTCACCCCCTGTCAACGCTCGGATGAGGTCACCCTTCTCGTCGTCGATATCGATTGCCCAAGTCATAAGTCCCTTTAGGCCGCGTTTGTTTGCGAAGTCGACCTTCATTTGTATCGTGGCAGGGTCGTCATATGATATCCAGCTATTTTGTCCATACGTGAGGTACTGCACGGCTGCATCCTTATCCAACTTGGGCTTCGCTTTGGTTTTAGCTAGAATGTCTTTTACCTCTTTATAAGAAAGGAAGCCTTCTGTAGCAGTGCATTCGCCTTTTTCTCCAGGCCCACTGAACTTGCATCCTGGGGTCCAGCACTTTGGATCCTCGAGACGGAAGCTTCTACCATAGAAACCCGTGCCGAGAACAATCTTGGAAGGTGAAACATCATTCCTCCAGAGCAAGTCAAGTGCAAGGTCAATCTCAGTCAAGTTGGTATGGCCGAGGATCTGATTGCCGATCGGGTTATCGCTATCCCATACTCTACGTTCCATTAGCTTTGGAGATATTGATAGAATGCCATAATTGTACGTACCCATGGAGATCGTACGACATGAGGTTAATCCAGTCGGCAATTTCTGCACTTTTCTTGATATCGAAATGACGCAAATACCAGTATGAGGTTGGCGCGGTGAATGTAAGGATGTATCGGGACCCCATGGCATCCTTCATTTCTTTCATCAGCTTGTTCAGATTTTCGCCATCCTCAGGAATTCCACCTCGATCCGGTGCACCGGGGCTATTTTAGGGGTTGTATGGTCAGCATATACTTCTTCTTTGGAAAAGTTGGCACGTACTACTCCCAGTCCAAATCGACACCGTCAAAGCCATACTCAGCCATGAATCCGATGAGATTCGAGATGAAAGTTTTGCGATTTGCTGCGCTAGCAGCCATGTCCGAGAAAACCTTTTGGTATTTGCCTGTTTGCTGGTTAGCGATGGATGAAGTTATACTGACTTCATTGAAAGATGAACATACCAGGATCATTGTGAGTCCAACCCTACTTTTCGTTAGTTAAGAGAACAGGTTCCGGATTGCAGATGCTTACACCAAGAGCAATGAGGACCTTGAGTGATGGCTTCTTCATCTTGAGGTCTGTCACTCTACCGAATAAAGAGGGCTGAAAATCCGACATTGGCTCAATCTTGAATGTTCCAGGCGCTATGAAGCCAAAAGAGAAGATCAAGTGAGTAAGGCTGTGTACCGGTATCTCTTCTGGTGTCATAGTACCACACTTCTTGTTCATGTTCCATCCTTCGTAGTATCCAATAACGACCTGCCTAGAGTTGCTGCTTCCAACGTTGGGTTTAGGTTGCTTGCACATGCTCTGACAACCATTGCCGCAGAAATCCGATGTAGTCCCGCAAAAACCGTGTTCACTGGCAAAGGATTAGCCATATTAGTTAGAGGCCAAGAGCGACTTACGAGCAGCAAACGTTCAATGGACATGTTTGGCCTGGCTTCTTGGCGTACTGGCCGCATTCTGCTTTTGCATCGCAGTTCGACTGGCAGCCCTATTCCATTTTGTTAACTATTGTAACAGAGTCGAAGCATTGCTGACTCACAGTTCCACAAAATTTGGGTGCATACCCACACCAACCTGAAGCGCCGCTATTATTGTTAGTATGTCTATGGAATCGAAGAATGGTATGAATAATTATGGCCTACCAGCAAGCTCCATTCTTACAAGGCCGCCCAGGACCGCATGTGTAGTCGCCAGATGAGGCCGTGCTACCACTACCGCCAGCTTGACCCCCAGATCCTGCACTTTGGCGTGCAAACAAAGCAACGGGCTCGCGAAATGTAAAGCCTGAAGAATCTACAGCACCGCCGACTCGAGGAACGGTATTAAATGCCAAGGAGTCCTGTAAAAGGTGTCTACGATGGTGACGGTGTTTGATTACCCGATGATCATGAAATGCATCTGCCAATGACAGGTACAAGAGACCAACGAGAAAAGATAAAAAGAAAGAGTTGGCGAGAAGATGCATCTTCATACGTCACTCTGGGAAGTTAGAAAGATGTAACCATATGGTTGTCTCATCCACAGTGGTCAATTTTGCAAAAGATGAGGTCCATTCATGAGCAGAATGAGGGGGACTCAATACATGCTATGTGAAGCATGCCGTGCTCGGCCTTAACGGGGTATGCCCACTTCAACTTCATTAGAAGATTTGACTAGCAATGGCCTAGATTCCTAACCATGCTAGTCGAGGGATGCGGGTAAATTTTGAGAGGATAATTATGGAACGTGCCCGCCGTTGATGAGTGGCTAGGGGGTCAGTTCGTCTGATATCACGTTTGAAAATTGAAAATGAAAGTGGATATGACTGATGGGAATCCTTCAATTTACGCCCTGTATCCCGGAGGTATCATTCTATAGGGTCCGCGGCTGCATGCAGCGGGAGGGATTGAGCCCACCCGAGAGACCCTTTACTATTCTTAGTTTACCTTGCGACTATCCCGTCACAGCACGCAGGTACCCGTGCGACTTGGCAATGATATATTAAGCTACCAAAGCAGTGCTCGAGTGGTGCTATGGTGCTGAAAATATTCGGAGGATACAAATTACGAGTCGATTGCGAGACGGATAAATGCCTAGACCAAGGTCATTTTTGCAGACTTTTCGCAAACCCACATAGCAGCATTCCAGATTAGGATCAAGCACTGAAGATGGTCTGCAACCCATGGTTACTGGCGGAGATAAGTCCCAATCAGTCATACACCTTCCACATATAGCCGACAATAGTGCTCAAGTCACAGGAGTGCAGTACCAAGATGGACTGATCTCGCATGCCAAGGAGCCGTATAGTAGCCCTAAGTATTAACTATCCAGTTAGCGAGATTGCGATCAGTCCATCTTGAGTAGTGTTCGTACTAGGAGGGTTCACGGCTAAAGGAACACAGGAGTTAGATGCAAAAACAACTGCCGCGATATTAAAGGGAAATTTGCTTCCTAACCATATCCACTTAGCATTCTGCGTGGAGAACATAAGGCGTCCCACGAACCATACAACCGGGAGTCAACTGATATTGTGAAACGCCTTGGCCTGGCCGAACTTTTGGTCCCTGCGTACTTTGAAGTTGAGGCCAATCTAGATCGAAAAACCGTTGGCAGTTGTGGGATGTCTGTATTACGGTTGCGAGGCTGTAGTAGTAGAAGGTCAACGCGTTACTCGCGTTGTTGCGTGTGCTCTTTCCCCTCGCCAGCTGTGACAACCCATCTCGCAGACGACAATGTTTCTCTCTATTCTCGCTGTGGTACTTTTGACCGCATGTCGAACATCCGCTCAAACATACCAACTACATCCTGCAATCGGATCTGGCTTAACCAATGCATCTTCTGATTGTACCACCGCTTTCAGCGCAAACGTTACCTGCCACAACCTCATAGGACAGCTCTATGCGGACCCGTTCTTTGCAGCCAGCGACGACACAGCGCTAAATAAGCTCTGCCAGGCGAAATGTCTCACTTCTTTGACCAAGCTTCGCGACGACGTGAAAAGTGCCTGCGTTGGTGCTCAGTACTATGACGAGTACGAGGATACTTATTGGGTGCCAACTTACCCAGATGAGTTCATCTTGTATGCGTACAACATGGCTTGTTTAAAGCGGAGGTAGGTTATTCAAGAGTTAATCTTGGTGGTAATACTTACTAAATCATTAAAAGTACTGGGCAGTTCTGCAACACATACCTCAAAAGCCTTACCGCGGCCGCAGAATGCGATGAATGCATCATCAAATCATTACAGATTCAGGTCAATTCCCCGTTCGCGGTGGATCCAGGAATGCGAGACAACTACGCATCGTTGACCAAATCGTGTCAAGCAACTGGCTATCCTACAAGCATCGCTACGTCCTTGCTGATCAGTTCGTGCGTTTCCATGATCTTCTTCACGGCAGTAATACTGACATAATTAGTTCGCTCCCAACCGCTACATGCAGCGGTACCACATACATCATCCAGCCAACAGATACTTTCAAATCGGTGCCGCTGGCACAATCAGTCTCCACTGAGCAACTGCTCAACTCTAACGGTTTGCCCTACAACACCACTCTTTTCCCGAAGTCGGGCGAGCTATGCATCTCCAACAAGTGCAAGACTCACGTCTTGGCCGAGGGTGATACCTGTGACTCGATAGCGAAGAAGGCTAGTATCTCACCTGTTCAGTTCAAAGCCTGGAATGCAAACGTCAACCAACTCTGCAGGTAAGTATGCTGGGCCAATATCAGAAGCTATGTACTAACTTATTCCTATAGTAACTTGGGACGCTTCATTGGCGATACCTTCTGCATCAGTAACCCCTATGGAGACTTTTCAATTCCTGATCAGCCGATCGTAACAGCCGTTCCAACCCCTGTGTAAGTGGCGACTTGCCTTTGGATAAAACTCAATGTCTTGCTAATTCTGCAATTAGACCTGCGCCATCGGACATTGCGCCGAACGTCACATCGCGATGTGGTCAATTCTACAGAGTCGGCGCCGGTGACGATTGCTCGACGGTGACATTGAAGTTCAACATATTACTCAAAGACTTGTAGGCAGTTCCGGGCCCGCGCGCATATAGCATCGCTGACTCAAGTAGCTACTTTCTCAATCCCTTCATCGATGTCAGTTGTTCCAACCTTTGGCTTAATGCGTCGTACTGCGTACAACCGGTCGGCGATATAACCACGTACCCCGGATATGGCGGCTCGACAACGGTCACGCTGCCGCCCTTCACAGCAGGCCCAAAGACTTCGTTGCCGCCTAACCCGGATCCGGTCGATGCTCCGGAGCAAACAATCATTCCAATGGCGAACGATACTCGCGTAGACTGTTATACGTAAGTGAAGTAATCAAACCATGGATTGATTTTGCAGCTTACGAATGGGTAGCTACATGTGGCTCAACGACACTTCAGCCGATTCTACAGATTGCTGGGGTATTGCAGCCGCTGTTGGAATTGAACGCGAGGAGTTTGCACTCTGGAACCCCTCGCTTGATCAGAACCCGCTCAACGCCGACAATGTGACGTACGACTATCCTTGCTCGGCCCAAGTCAGTGTGTCGTATTGTATCGGAATCGCACGCCCAACTCCTGTTTGGGACGGTCAGTAATCTTCGAACAAAGGCCCAAAAGTGGTGGCAACTTGAGACTAACTTGACTAAGAAAAACCCGCCGTGATCAAGCCACCAACCCCTCGAGCATCCGGAGAGATAGAGGGATGTATATACTGGCAAGAAGTCTTTGAAGGAGATACTTGCGCGGGATACCTACCCGGAGGGCTGAGCGTAGCCGACTTCTTCAAGATGAACCCTACGGTGGGAAAAGACTGTACCGGTCTGAACGTGGGCACCATGTATTGCCTTTCCACGCTGGAGATTGGCATATTCGCTCCATCCGAGAACAACGCTTCGCCAAGTCCGACTTCGACGAAAGCACCTATCGGTAGCGGCACGCCGACACCAATCCAAGTAGGTTAACACATTCGAGGATACATTTCAGTCTCTTTGACTCACAAAATCACAGAACGGCATGACCGCCGGCTGCACCAAGTTTTACAAGGTGATTTCAGGAGACGGCTGCTGGGCCATTGCCAACGCAAACTCGATTGCACTAACAGACTTCTACGCCTGGAATCCCGCCGTGGGATCCGACTGCCAAACGTTGCAGCCGGATTACTACGTGTGTGTAGGACGGGCCCCAGTCACGTCGTCGAGTTCCGTAACCAAGACGTCAACAAGTCTACCGCAGTGCTCGTGGAATGCATCTAAAGGTCAATACGATTGCCCGGTCGCAACATCGGCGCCAGCGACAAAAACATCATCTACGGAATTACCACGGTGCTCGTGGAATGCGTCCAAAGGCCAGTACGATTGCCCGGGCACGCCCACGCCGACTCCCACTAATACACGCCCGCCGCCACCGGGTCCAACTCAGGCGGGTATACCCTCCAACTGTAACAAGTGGGTGTTGCAGAAAACTGGCGTTTATTGTTACGACATGGCGGCTGCGGCAGGCATCTCGTTGGATCGTCTCTACCAATTGAATCCGGCTTTGAACGGCGATTGCAGCGGCCTTTGGCCGAATTACGCGTATTGTATTGGTGTGGCATAGAAGCTGTGGTAACTGCTGTCGAACAAGTAGAAAACTGATGCAGCTTGGTGAAGAGTAAATATATGGAATTTGTCTTTGCACCACGGCATTGTATCGAAACATATATACAGAGATGTAGCTTCGAGTGAAGGTTTATTCCTCCTGGCGGAAACGCAGCTGCCTCTCACAAACCTCGAAGACATCTTCCCACTCACCACCAATATCGACCTCATCATCACCCACAATCTTGATTCTCATGTTCGAAGCCGCAGTTTTGACCTTTTTCATAACCTCAGCGGCATCCTTGTAGCGACCGTTTTCAGCGTTGGCGATAATGGTGCCCAGGCGCGCATCTTCAATTTCGTCAGACATGTCATCTTGCGACGCGGATGCATCTGCGAAGACGTTGTTGACGAGGTATTTGACGAATTTAGCCCAATAGTACCTGCATTTCGTATCTTGTTAGAGTTGGACTTGCCAAACGGGATCAGCGATAACTTACAAGTCTTCCTTGACACTCCCATGTTCCTCATCTCCTTGGTAAGTATCGGTCACGCTTCCATCTATGATCCATTCGCCCTCGCTAAACGGCCACGGCGCATACCCTTCCTCCCTAACTCTACGATCAAACTCTTCTAGCGACATCGGGTTCGGGTGCGCAGGATCCTGTAGGCGTTCCCTCGCGCTAGCAATGCCATCCTGTCTGCTCTCATCCTCAATCTGCGGCGCCGATGCAGCAAGGAAGCCCGTGATTGCGAGCGAGAAATCTGATCGGAGCCACACAAGCTCCGCACAAAAGTTTCGGATGAAAACGGATCGCGAGTGAGCGAATTGCAACGCTGAAAGTACCTGTAATGCCCATCGATAATACAGACTCAGCAGCAAGAGGTCGTTGCGTGACAGATCTTGTGGGAGAGGCACAGTCAGTGCTGGAAGCGAGGTCCACTCAATAGGCCCGGGCTCGAGCCTCTCGACAATGACGCCAATGTCGCTTTCCAGTGGCCCGAGATAGCTGGCGTTTTGGTGAGATGTAAAGCATCAAAGATCTGCTGAGACACAAAAACGTACCGGACGATCCTGGGATGTCCCTCTCCAAGAAGCTCATACGCTCCTCTTAAGCGCTTACGCGCCCAACCCGGTCTTGCTCGGGAGTCGGGCTCAATGTCTTCGGGCGCTTCCAGAATAAGGATGGCCTTGCCATCCTTGTGAGGGAGGCAGAATAAGGTTTCGAAGAAGTGAGAATACCAGTCTTGTACGTCCTCGGGGGCTGTGCTTGCTTCTTCAGGGAAGTCCTCCTCTGGAAAGGAAAGTAGGTATCTTTTGGCTGGACGGGGTGGTGGGACTTCGGATGAGAGGAATGAACCCATGATAGCGATTCCTTGGTATTCAAGTAACACTAGAAATGTATTGTTTTGGTCGTACTGCGCGTAGTTGCTGTTTTCGTTTATCTAGTACGTTGTAATTAAGTCGGACAGGGATCAGTGGGACATGTGTTTGGCTATCGCAGTGTCAAGCGCGGGCATCATGTACGTATATACGTAAAAAAAAGTCCGAATGGAGTGTATATTATGATCTGTAGCATCCTAGCTCATGTTAGATGAAGGTCATCCTGCAGGGTCATTAGTAATAAGGGTTCCCGACAGTGATTGGCTGAGTAGGCTGTGCCTTGCGTAGGGTAGACGCAGCCGGTTATTGGGGACAGAAGGGTAATAGTAGGTGGCTCGTGCATGCCGCCCACTGCGCAACCGAAAGGCCGGCATTCCTGATACTGCGCGAGTAATGTCCCAGTAGCGTGAACGTCTTATTGACGAATTTTGGATCTAAGCGTAGCCGCGGCTAGCCTGATGTGATGGTATAGAGAGGGTGGCTATAGCTGTACAAATAGCTAATATTAGTTACTCCACAAGCCAATGTACATGTTACAGTCCTGACAGTACACAAGGATATTTTGGTACACGAGAATATTTACCAAAACGTGCAAAGTCACTGGATAGCGCGAGCCGAAGTGGTTTTGACATGATTGGGACATTAATGAGCTTACTCTTGCCACAAACCATGACGTGAAAGACGGGGCGACGATAAAGAGAAAGAAAAAAGAGTCTCAAGGAACGTATCGTATCCAGAGTGCTAATTCTTCAGTTTCACATGTTTACATGTCCTACTCTTACCGGGGTTTTTTTTTTCGTTTAACCACATCGAACAACATCGACAACAAACTACCAAGAACATCATCAAGTCTCACATCAGCCCCAGACACCCGAGTTTACGACAGCCTTAATATTCAACTTTTACATGACTTTTTTTTTCGCTCAAGTTCTCAGACCAAATAGAATTGCTTGTTCACGTCCACACATTTTTTCAGGGTTCTTATCATACGAGAATTTAACAACACAAGTCTGGAAAAAAAACATATGATTTCAATGTTTCATGTACCATCACCGCGCAGTTCTCCATACACTGTCTTGCTCACTAACTCCACTCCTTATTTGTCTTGCTCTCTGCGATCCCCTAAAAAATGGCAATAGCCCCCGGCGGACTTCCAATCCCACCCCTAACATGCAACGGCGCGCTGGTCAAGAAAAAGCTATACCTCCCTTCCTGCTTACACTTCTCACTCAACTTCTCCAAATCCCACATTTCGCCAATCGCCGTGCCCCAATGCACAAGCAACCACTCATGCAAACACCAGCCATCGGTATACTTCGGGGGCCAAGCCTCAAAAGCGAGGTTGTCGGCAACAACGGCGGCAAAGTGGCGGTCATAAAACCAGCGGACGGTGCGCTCCGAGGCTTGCAAGCCGATGGCAAGGTTGTTATCTTGGGTGCCAGATTTGCGCTCCGCTTCTGTTGCATTACTGTGTTTTCTTTGTCAGCCACCTCCCAATCATTCGACCATCCATTCATCTCGGCTTTCTTCTCTTTTCAAGACTCAAGGGTGAAAAAAAAATGAGGAAAGGGGGGGAGAGAAATCATACTTATGCCACCTCACATATCCCGTCCTAATAATCAACACATCCGCCTGTCTAACTTCGGTCCCCTGCCACTTCAACACCTCCTCCACCTCCTCCAGCGGAATCTCATGCCTCGACACCGCACTCGGCGCCGCCTTCCCCTTTGTCTCCTCATACCACCTCACCCAATCACACAGCACACCCCTGCCCACAATCCCGCCGCGCTCACACCACTTATGCGTGCCATTCCGATCGCTCTTTGCCGCTTCGGCATGCGTCAGCCCATTGTAGTAGGTACCGGTCGCTTGATGCGCAAAGTGCTTGAGCGAATCCCACTGCGAGCCCGCTTGCGTGTTGATGTGAATTTCGTCGTCGTTTGCGCACAGCGACGAGAAGGTGTTGAAGTCGATGTGTTTTTGCGCAAACGGCTTGCGGTTGAATCCGGGGAATTGCACATTGTGCAGTTCCCAGTCGAGCTGGATTGAGGTGCCGTTGCGGATTTCTTCGCGCGCTGCGCGCGTCACGACAGAGGGAGTGAGGAGATTGATTGCTGTGGGTGGGTGTTAGCTCAGTGTATGTATATAGAGATTGGGAAAGGGGGAGGGCTGGGGACTGCTAACTTCCTACTTCATCCTTCTTTCCATCTTCATCGAAGAATCCCCAGAGATTACCTTGGGGCTAAAACTCATTTCAAAATTCAAAAGTCAGCGACCAATATCTGTTTTATTTTTGCCAGTATTATACATTCCTCAACATAATACTCTATGCAAAAAAAAAACTTACCATGCCCTCGACTTTGGGCGCCTCATCAAAAGCCGGGAACTTGTATTCTTTCGAAGCCATCGTGTGTGTGTAATTCAATTCAATTCAATAACTAAACAATGCCCGTACTCCACTTTCAAATGGGTAAATAAAGGTACTTTTGGACGAAATATTCAAACGACACACTTCTTTTATAACCCCCCCTCCCCCCAAATACCCCACACCCGGTTCCCCCTCGCGACATGTACCCCGCTCCAAAACACTTGTCTGCAAACTCGGCCCTCGTGCCCCTCTTCGCCCCGGTTTTTTGTTGCAATGACGTGTACAGCTCTCACATCATCTTTCTTCCCCGGTGCGGAAGTGGAGCTCGCTAATGACAAGGTGAGGGGAGTGGATTTGTAACAACAGGTCCCCCGGGTACTAGCGGTGTTTTGGTTGCTTCCGAGAGGTGGAGAGAGAGACGACTACTATTTGGGGTTTAGCGCGTGTCTGTCCAGAGCTTGAAGGTAATTCCGTCTGCCCGGCCCGGCGACATGATCCCGTCCTTTTTTTTCATTGAAAACCTTCTTGTCTGTCGTAACCTTTTGTGGTAAATGCAAGAGACTTGTTTTAAGGCAAGTCGTTATACGCCTAAGTATTGGCCGTCCCGCCAGTCTCTCCTCTTTCCGAACACCGTATTTCTTTAGCCAAGATCAATGTGACTGCAGAGAAATCAATACCCTCACATATAAATGAATTTACAACATCTGTACGAAAGACGGAAAAGTCAACATGGACTGGCCATTATAGCAAACTCAAGTAATTTCACCAACCACGTCAAAAGGCAAGCGAATGAAACCATCATTTTATTAGCTATTACTACAGCAAAGACATCGTGAACTATTCATAACTCAGTTTTGAATATACGGGTCCTCCCCCATTCCTCCACATTACAAGCACACTACCACTCCTTCGTGCTTGCCATCAACCGGAAACCGAAGAACATGCCATTTACTATTCATACGCCGTGACGTAATCGTGGTATCATCCATGATCAAAACGCAAAAACAAAACACAATCATCGTTATGGGCGACCCCTAAGCATGCCGGGTATCACTGTTTGAGAAGATGCATCTAAGCGCGGCCCTGGAAGACAGGGTTCTGATCACCAAAGGTGGTGTTGTACTGGCCAGGAGCAGCAGCGTCGGTCTGACCAGTCGTGGGTGGGATGGCAGCGGCATTGTTCAGACCTGCAGAGCCCGTAGTGTTGAAAGCGTCGTCAACCTGGTTACCGAAGCCCGAAGTGGCACTGCTGGGAGCAGGGACACCACCAGTAAGGCCCTGGTTGCCCGTGGTGAGACCTGGCTCAGCACCAAGACCACCATTGTTGGTGTACTGGCTATCGTACTGGTTGGCTGACGGGTTGAGTCCCGACGAAGCACCGAGACCGCGGGAAGCATCACCGGAGGTGCCGTAGCCACCCGCACGACCATGGGGCTTGCGAGTGATCTTTCCAACCTGAGGCAGGCTGGTAGTCTCCTTGGCAGATCCAATAGAGAAGATGGGGCTCTCCCACTTGTCGCCCTTGGCAGCAAGCTCCTTGTACTCGGTAGCCTTGGATGAGATGCCTCCAGGCAGGGAGATGTTCTTGAAGATGGAGTCGTGCTGAGTGACGGCCATGTTGACCTTGGTCTCCTTGGCCTTCTCCTTGAGAGACTCCTGCTTCTGCCTGCCTTGCATGAGGCGACGCTGGGCAGAACTGGCATAGCGCTGGTAGATGTTCTGGATGTTCTGAGGGTCGGGGTTGCTCTTAGCCTCAGCCGCGGCACGGTCAGCCTCAGACTTGATGTCAAAGAGGATGGCATCGAGCTGGTTAGCAGAGTCCTTAATCTGCTTCTCCAAGACCTTTTGAATGACGGGACGCATGACCTTGAGAAGGAGAGGCTTGAACATGTTGAAGAGGAGCTTGTGGTTGCTCTTCTTCATCTTGATCTGCAGGTGCTTAATGTCCGACTCGACCTTGGTGACCTTGAAGAAGTGGGTCTGCGCATGCTCGCGCGCCTTGTCAGCAGTCTCCATCTCGACCTTGAAGCTGAAGCCGGTGCCACCCATAAAGATGTCCATGACACCCTTGTCGGTGATGGATGGGAAGCCCTGCTTGCGCTTGATGTAGTAAGAGACGTCCCTGAGGTCCATCTGGACACCCGAGACGGAGAGCATAACCTTGTTCTTGTTGGTGCTAGTAATGGACTTGCGGCCCCAGCGCCAGTAGTTGTCCGAGCCAAATTCCAGAGAGTTGGGAGCGAGGTTGTCACCCTCAATGACAAGGTTCTCGATAACCGCGTCCACCATGGGATCGCTGTACTCGATGCGGGGAACGGGAATGTAGCGGACATTCTCAAAGATGGCAGGGAGAATGACGTCAGTCATATCCTTGACAAGATGAGGCTTGAAGACAGTCTTGCCATTCTCGTCATGACCAAGGTCACGGAACAGCTTGTTGACAGACTCGGCGAACTGCTTGTTCTGGGGGTCGGCATCAAACTGCTGGCCAATGAACTTGAACTCATCAGCAATGCGGTCAGTGTGGCCTCGGTAACGGTCACGGAAGAAGTGGTGACCATCATCGTAGAGCTGGTTCCACTCAGCGTTAAAGCTGTCCTCGAGGACGAAGCCCTGTTGCTGCAGGGTCTTGCGGACGAAGGCGTTGATACGCTTGAACCAATTCTTGAGTTCGGGGTCACGGTCGGCGTCCTTGTAGATCTGGTTAATAGACTCAATCAGGTCGTCGAACGACGTGTTGTTGGCGAAGCGTTCCAGGAGAGTCTTCATGTTGGTCAGCCATTGGTTCTCTTGAGTAAAGCCTAGATACGCACCCTCAGGTCAGTTTCAGCAGTAGTTAGTGCATCGTCTTGATGCGCACCTTGTACAGAGCCCTTGCCCTGCTGGCTCAAAATCCTTCCGTGGCTGGAGTAGCGCTCGGCGAGATCGAGAAGAGTCTCAATCGCACGCTGGTAGTCCTGGTGACCCTGGATCTCGACAATCATCTTCTTAAGGCGCCACCTAGTCTGCTCGCGACGCTCCTCTGGCATCTTGCCCTTGAGGTAGTTGTTCAGCTGCTCACGGCGGGCGCGAGCCTTTTGCTTGTCCTCGTCAGAGGTGTTTGCGTCAACCTTTTGCTTAGCGGCTTCAACACCAGTGCGAACGTCAAGGCCGGTGGTCTGGCCAGTCTGGCCCTCAGTGGCAGCAAGGTCGGCAGTGTGTGTGGGGTCGCGGACTCCCTCTGGGTTGGCTGCTTGGTTGACATCCTTGGCAGCTTCCTTCAGGTCTCCCTTGTTCTTGTTGCCAAAAGGCAGGCTACTCTTAGCTTGGTTGCGGAGGTTCTCACGGTTCAGGTTGGAGGTGTCGTGCCAGGTGTTGTCCTCGGCGGGCTCATCCAGCCTGTTGAGACGGTCTTCTGAAGGCTTAACCCTATTGGCCGTGTTCATGGCCGCATCGCCAGCCATGTCGCGGAGAAGAACAGTGGCATCGGAGAGAAGCTTCCTGAACTGGCCGTTGGAGATGAGGAGCGTGCCAAGGGTGCGCAGGCCTTGGAGAGCGTTGTTGCCGTCTTGCCTTGCTGTGTCCTTATCAACAGGGGCATTGGGGCGGTTGGCGCCGGCGGTGCTGACGTGCTCGGCCTGCCAGATAAAGTCTTGGAGGAGGTTGCCCTCGTTCTTGGTGAGTAGCAGAATCTTGGCCTGTTCGATGACGTTCTTCAGGTCGGTGACGAGACTCTGGCCCTCGGGCGACAGTTTCTTGGATGGTGAGTTGAGTGCCCGGTGTGCGAGTGCCGAGTTGAGAGCGACATCAATCTGGCTGTTGGATGGCACCTTGCCATTGGAGAAGGCTGTCGTGTTTGGTCAGCATTGCGGCAGCAAGGGCACGTGTCCATGCGACGACATACCTTCGACGATTCCATAGAGCTGCAGCTTGTTGTTGACGTCCCTCTCCTTTTGCTTCAAGTCGACTGGACCTGCATTGTGTTAGTGTACGTGTTTTGGGCGAGTAGTGGGGCGGGGTCATTGGACGTACGATTTACGGCACTCATGGTGAAGGTGGCACTGTGGGTATCAAGGGTATAGGTGGGGTATCAAAATTACAAACGCAGAAGCGGTAAAGAAAACAATGGACAGTTGTGAGGCAGGTAGTTGCTGTCACAGGAGGGGTATCTGGGAGTGTTTGTGTGTGAGGGAAATGAGGGCGGATTGCGGGCACAAAAGCAGCTTTGTATGTGAGTCGGGCTGGGTAACACGGGGGAGTGCAGCGACTACGTCACTCAGTCGTAGCTTCCCGCTCACCTGGGGACGAGGCCTGGGCTTGGAACAGCGGCCGGCTACCTTTTCCTCGCTGGTGAACCTGCTCGACCCCGCGACTGCTGCTTACCGCCCGCCCGCCATGCCGTGCTATCGCTATGTCTTGCCATGTTCAGTCGTCGTCGCCGCCGCCCCGCCCCCCTTGGAGCCATTGCGCGCCGTCTAGAAGCACAATTGAGGGTGCGTTGGCAACAGACAGAAGGCCCGCCATGGCTGGTATGACGAACCTTTTGGTCTTTGTTTGGGGATGGATCGGCGCCAGGTTTCCCAGACGATGCAGTGTGGTGCGTGTAGGTTGCGTCATGGCACAAGAGCCTGTCAGCCACACCCTTCGCATTCGGTGCGATGCGAGTGTGGCGCCACCCCTTGGGCCAGCGCTTGTTACGCGCCCCGCTGCACACGGACGTTGCCCTGCCTTGGCGCTACTACAAAGGACTGGAGGGGTACGTACATGGCATCAGGCAGAGACTGGTGCTTCCCATGCACCTTGGAGCCGACATTGCTATACGCACACGCGCTGCTGCTTGGTCGCAAGCCGTATTGCAATGCGCCACATGTCAAAATACCAAGCTTTGCTTGGCATGCAGCTAGTGCTAGCGTCTGCTGCTAGTGCGCCTTCTCGCCGCCCACACCGCTGAAGACGATGACGACGTCAATCTTTGCACCCCATCCGTCGCGTCCACACCACGCTCATGTCCCAAACCTACATCATCGGCTTCCCCCCCCCCCTTCTAGCCGCGCGCCGCTACACACCTCACCAATAGAGACGCGCACCAACACGTCAAGGGCGGGTCAAAAGCACAAAACCCGGCATTTTGCCTAACCAGCCAAATCCCGACAGTAGCGGCTCATGTGCATGCTTGTAGACAGTAGTGCATCTGTCTGCCCGCTCTGCGCCATCCCACACCCACTCACACTGGCCAAAGACTGATTGATGTGCGTGCATGGATATCCAGGCCGATCAGCCGATGCACTAAGCAGGGCTCCTCTGTCCCTGTCTGTGCCCCTCCAACTCGCTCCCTCTTCAAGTACCATGCGCTACGGCCACTTTGTCGGCACATCCTTTGGAAAACATATATGCACACATGTGCATACATACATGTATACATTTCCTATCCCGTCTTTCTTTTTATGTTTTCTGAACAAGCCCGTCGCTCCATCCCCAACTACTTATGTGCACACACTGCTTCTACCGGTACCAGCTTCTCTCAGCAAGTCTTTCGCTACGTGTGCGCCTGTGGTCACCATGACTTCTATGCGGCCTCTTCTTCTCCCACGTGTATCCACCTGCTTTGTCATCTTTCAACTCGTCAATGTTATATCTCCTGCCTGACGGCTTGCGAATCGGCATTTCAGCTCGGAATGACCCAGGCGACACATATGTTTGGCGCCCCGGTAAGGCATGTCGTGCACCTGGCAGGTAGGTATCCTCTTCATTGTAATCGTAGCGAACACGCCCCATTGCTTCGGTATAGGGATCATAAGTCCTGCCCCGGGGTGTTTTGATATACTCGTGGTGACGGTGTATTCTATACGAAGCCTCTGGGGCCATAGAGATCGGTTCGGCATAAGATTCCATTCGAGCTCCCGAGCGAGAGTCGAATCTTGATTTGGTCACCGGTGGATCATACCGTTCGGTGTACCAGGCTTCGTCTGCATCTACCCAAATCTGATCCGAGTGTGCCACACCGCCCCACTGCAGAGCTGGCCGGGGAATAGCAAATGGGGCCTCGTCGATGACGTTTGAGTACTGAAGTGTACTGCTTGAATCTCCAAGTGGACGGGGTGGACGTTTCCGTCGTGGAACGCTTATGCCTCCGCCTCCAGTACCAGTTTCTTCCTTACCCATTGCCCTGCGATATAGCCATGAAATCATGTCACGAAGCTGATCGCCGTTGTATCCAATGAACAGACAAGCCCCCACCGTCACAATAGTCAGCGGTATGGCCACAATCCAGAAAAGCCCTTGCTTCTGGTTCATGTCACGGATATCCGCAGTGTTCATCCCAAAATAGCTCGTCGCAAACGACAGCGGCAGAAAAATGACAGTCACCACCGTGAAAGCCATGATGGCCTTGCCATGGTCTTCATCATTGATCTCGAGACTTTGCTTTGTACGATTGGCCAGGGGGCTGCAGCGTCGAATCAGGTCCTCATAATCTTCCACGACAAGACTGAGACTGTCGAGGCAACTTTGCAACAGACTCCGCTCGTCCACAAACATGCTTTGTCGGGATGGTGTTGGCTTCTCATACGACGCGTCGTTGAGGACACGGATGTAGTTCTTGATAAGATTTAACTGCTGCATGGTTATCGACGTAAGGATTTGGAGTTCTTCTTGCAGAAGATTGAGGTCTCGAAGGAGTCGTTTACTCGGGTGATGGTTGACTTGGAATTGCTACACAATATCAGCTCGGCATTATTTGCTCATGTCCAGCTGCTCCAAGTGTTGGAGGCGTAGCTGGTCGAGTTACTTACGAGCCTCGATATGTACTCCCGATACAAATCGCCCACAGTTTCATGCTTTTCAAGCGGCTTCAGTAACAATCTCCTCGTTAGCTCGCCACAGATATACTGAGGTCCCCGAGAAAGGTGCTCCATCACACGCCGCGGTTGGGGAGAAGAAGCCATTTCGCACAAATGTGCACGTGCAGCTCTCAGCGACTGCATTGCGCCTGCCTCAAATCTTTCCAAGACATCAAGGCCTCTGTCCGAATATGGGAGGATGCTACGCTCATACGGATCTTTGAATCGAAATTCATGTCCATGAGCCTTGTCAGCATCGTCTAAAGCTCGCTCAGTTGCCATGAAGAGGACAATGATGCGGCGGAATGCTTCAGAGAGCTCCTTGGGCAGAGTGTACAACTCAGACATCTGCCCATCTTCGTTTTGAACTCCGTCCATGAGTTGTTGAGCTTGCTCCATTATGTTCTTTGCCAGAGTGCATGCCTTTGTGAGTATTGCCAGAGTTCCAGCATTTGTCTGCTCATGCCAAAATTCCGCCGACGCCATGATCCAGTCTTTGGCTTGCGGATCCATAGCGATATCCTCGGATGTAGTTGGTTCACCACCCTTATGCCGCTTCCCAGGCTCACTTTCACGGTTTATGTGGCGCTGCAGATGTCTGAACGCATCTTCTTGGCTGCGAAACGAGTGTAACCTTTTACATGTCTTACACGCTGCGATTGACTTGGCCAATTCTGGACGGCTTTCTGGAAAAGACACCAGGCTAGGTTTAGCCATGGGGCGGACCAGCCAAAATTTGCCAGTCGTGTTAACGTCTTCCTCTGGAGGAACTGCACCTTTGCCACTTTCTCCATCCCTAGGTGTGTACTTTTCGAGTTTGGCGACGTGCTGCTGGATTTTGACCATAACACCCCACAACTTACTCATTATGCTGCTATCATCTGTGTCACGGAGAAAAAGCTTGGTAATTATGCAAGAGAGATTAAAAAATTCCGTCGCTCTTTCAACAATGCTAGTGCGCTGCCCATTGATCGTGTCCTGATGGAAGGTAGAATCAGACGTGCCTTTGTCAATTGCTTCGCATCGACGTTTGAGATTGGCAAAGTCAGCACAAGCATCTGCGTAGGTTGCCTTGGGCAGTGATTCGTAGTAATTGGTCGAGGTAAATGTCTCGTCGACAGCGTTCGTAGTGGTTCCTTCCAAGATCGTACTCATTAGAGCTTTCCCAACCTGCTCCAGGCAACGAGAAGGTTGCTGTGCACTAGGATCATCCACTGATGTTGCGTCTTTGTCGTCCTTGATTGCTTTACCAGCACCATGTTGTGGCCAATGAAAAAAGGGGGGTACCGACACGGGTCTGCTTTTGTTATTCTCGCCGGCGCAGTATGCTGCGGTAGTATGCTTGCCAGTTTGACCTGTCTCTTTGTCGCCTGCTACTGCCAAACTGATTGAAAGGAGATCGTTCCGCGCCGTGATATCCCTCCACATATTCGGCGTGAGACTGCAGCTGCTATCTCGGAATTTTTGAAGCAAATGGATCTCCGCATCCAAACTCTTATTGTTAAACATGTATCCTATCATGCGAACCTTTGCCTCCATTTGAAAGTAAGATCTGCAAGTGCTAAGAGGGAACACAAAATCACGTTCTCCCCAGTCCGAAAATTTGATCATTGTCAGATCGTTGTCTGCAACAGGCTGAACGCCGAGCTTTTTGACATTCTCTTGGATGATAGCCATTGAGTTTGTCATCTCCTTGGAGAGTGGCACATGGCCACACGATACGACATGATTGGACCCTATGATCATAAACCAGATATTCGGTACATGGATGATGTTCTCGGAGCGCGCATCGTCAAATCTTCGATAAGACTGTTCCTCATCTCGATCGCGTACTGGCTCGTAGGGGTAGAATGTCTGCATCAGGGTTCGTTGTGGAAATAGGTCATTTTCGGCACGGAGAGGCTTCTTGGCTTGGGTGTCCAGGGCAAAGTATGGGACGCAGGCGAAAATGACAGACTGTGGATCTGACTGGTTTGATTCATCAGCTCGCAAAACCGTCCCGGGTTCGATGAACATGCCACCATCGAAAGGCTTGACTTTTTCCGTATCCACCTTAGTAAGCATCTCCGAAGTGAGTTTGCGTAGCCGGTCACTGGCATGTGGCATGGTCAGGCAGACATCCTTGAAACGAGAAAAATCAAGCTGAGTGGCCGAAATATGACACCACGTAAGTGATACTGCATCTTGCAAGTGAGGGTTTTCCGGCCCGGGTAGAACGTGGACCTGAAGCTGGTTATGTCCTTGAGTCTCTTTGATCATGGCTTTAGTGATTCGAAACGTATCGACGCGATAGTTGTCAACATCTTTTCTTTTTGAGCGAACCTGCGTGTCGTCTTTCTGATCCTGGAGGTCCTGGCTGAATCCAATTAGGTTCTGTACACGCCTTGTGTCGACTTGAAAGGATAGCTGGTTGCCATCGAGATCCATGGGAGCGACCACCTCACGAGGAGGCTCTGGTAGTTCTGCCTGTTCTGTAAGCGACTCTTGGTCGCTCGTTGACGTGACGCTTTCAGAAGAATCCGTGTTGGAGTCAAGGTCGGTTTCCCGACGAGGTAGCGGTGGCACCCATCGTGAGCCGTCCTCGAATGTTACGGTGCGAATGTTATCATTAATGTCATGTACATCGTCTCGCTCATCGTCTCGCTCATCGTCTTGCTCAACGTCGCGCTGGAACCTTGCAGGTGACCATGTGCGAGAACGAGACGATGGACGTTGACGATAATCAACCTCAGAGTAAAATTCTTCCTGCGGAAATTCGATCTGGAGGTTCATGCGAGGCCTCATAATAGCAGCCCAAACACTTGGCAGTATAGTGGCACCCTGTGTTTTTATTACATAGTCGTCCTTTGTGATCCTATCGAGGTAAGATTGGCTGTATTTGGCGTATATTTCTCTCAAAAAAGGCTCTGCGCCCTGCAATGTCACAGGTCAGTAGTTGCACAAGCGCAGAATAAGCATGTGTGCAGAGGGAAAAGATCAAAAGGGGCATGGTAGACGTGCCTTTTTGGAGCGAAATTCCTCAAAGGGAAGGACATAGCGAACACCAAGGTGATCTGTGAGGTAAATGATGTTTCTCTCATCGCGACTGTCATTATTGTGTGAGCTAGCAGTAGAGGTCGATTCATCCGATTGTCGGCTACCGCGTCGCCGTGACTCTGGCTCGGACCCGGGCTCCATGCATCAACAGATCTGGGGGGACAACAGCAAGTTGCCCAAAGAGAGAAGAAGAATGAAGGAGCGAACATGATGAGCCGAGGCGACATAGGGGTCCTAGGCAGATAGCTGCAGGATGGACTGTTAGCGTTGCCGTTCAGCTCTCGTCTCGTTAGCGTGCTGTGGGGTCCGAAATGTCATGGTCATGTTCCCCGCGGGACGGGCCCGATGCAGACGGGAATGCCAAGCCAGGGATCATGTCAAATCAACGACAAGTGAACATGAATTATGAAAGTAATAATATGCAATTCGATACCATCAACTGAATTCACAACAAAGCGACTTATGACCTAACAAAGAAATAAGATTCAAGCCCAGCTCAAGGGCGTGTTGGATATTACAAAAACACTACTAGTGTACAGCGATATTTTTGCACAAGCTTACTACAAGGACAAAAGGAAACAAGAGATATGTGTGTGTGAGAGAGAAAGAGAGACACTGAGGCGTGCTGTGATGTGCAGTATCAAGCAGAGGGGGTTATCCAACTGGTATCGAACGGAGCGCGCCATCTAGGCAGCGGTGCTAACAGTTGCGATCATAAATCATGATGGTATCGTCTTGGTTGTGGAGATGGTGCAGAAGTGCTGTTGCTATTAGCGGTTGTGGACGGTGCCAGCATATGTACATTGTGCCTGCATCTTCAAGGAGGGGTCAGTGGTGATGAAGGGGTGGGGCGGTGGTCACGCGGCAGTGGCAGTGGCAGTGGCAGTGGTGGGTTGTGGTATGGATGCTGGCACAGGTGGCGGTTGTGTATTTGCCGTGTTGGTGGCTGGTGGGGGGATGCGCATCTGCTGTGCGTCCTTTTTGACAAGCAGGCTTTTGAATGCTCCGAGCCATCTTGCTAGCGTATCATCGTCGGATGCACAGAACTTGTAGTTCTTCTCCTCGCATATGACTTGCATGCAGTGTTGCTTGCTGCGCGAGAGGGGGTCAATGTCGACAGCGTCAATGATGCTTGTAAAAGGTATAATGTGCGTGGCCGAGTATTCTCCGTCATTCTTGTAAAAGGCGAGGCACTTTGGACGGAGGACGACCCAGATCTTCTTCCACTGGCGCACGCCGCCCTTTGACTTGAGGATGTACAGCCAGCCGTGGTAGACGACGCGCTCGTCGCCGGGCGTGGCGCCAATATTGCTATGCTGGCTGAGACTGCGCTTATCCTGTGTGATCTGTCGGGGCAGTGGGTTGGGCGAGGCCTGGTTTGTGTCGGAAAAGTCAAAGTCGGAGATGGAGCCGTACTCGCCGCCTGAGTAGTTGAGAGCCTGTGAGGGTCGGCGGGCGCTGTGCATCTGCTCAGGCACCATGGAACTCGAGGGTCGCGGTTCAGCCTCGGAGGAGCTAGAGACGATGTTTTCCCGATTGGCCGAGGCAGAAGCAGCAAAAGTGACCTTGTCAGGAGCTGGGCTCAGGACAGCCATGTCGGCCTCGTCCTCGACGCCAATGCGAGCCTCTGTCCGGATGAGGTGGACCCATTCCTGGGCGGCCTTGTCGGTCGAGGCGCCGAGGTGGTAGTTGCGGGCGGGGGAGAAGATGCCAAAGACGTGGTCCATCTTCTTCTTCGAGTCTCGCTGGCGGGCGACGGCGGTGATCTCGGCGAGGTTGATCTGGTGGCGCAGCTTGGTCTCGTCCTTGTCCTTGTAGATGGAGAGGTAGTTTGGGCGCAGGACAAGGTAGACAGGCTTCCATGACTATAAGGCGAGTTAGCAGACGTCTGGGACACACTGGTGACCATGGGGCGTGCCTTTGTCTTGCGCGTGCGCTTCACCACCGTGCCGGCCTTGATGATGCGGTCAAACTCGAAGCAGCCGTTCTGGTTGACGGGCGACATGAGGTCGATGGTGGTGTTGATTGTCTTGGAGTTGTGCATGGCGGGCGTGTCGAGGGTCATGGCAGCAGGGCGCATTTCTGGCGGGTGTGTGGGCGGGTGGTTGTCCAGTGTAGCTGCCATGTCGGGGGTGTGGGAGTTACATTCACGGGCGGCGGGCTGGATGCAGGCAAGCGCAGGAGCGAGGGTGTGTACGTGTGCGTGCGTGTGCGTGCTTGTATGCGTGTGGACGTGTGTATGTATGTGTATGTTTGTGTGTGTGTGTGTGTGTCTGGGAGAGCGGAGGTCGAGGGGGTCGAGTATATTCCGAGTGTTGTTGGGGGGTGAGAGTGAGAGAGATGGAACACACATAGCACATACGCGAAGGACAGGGACAGGGGCAATGCAGGGCCCGCGCTGCCTACCAAGCCCATCGCTGGCCGCGACCACGACGACTGCCGGCCCAACCAAAGTCACACCCACCAATGTCGACATGTGTATACACGTCTGCTGCGACGGGGCCCCGAGCACGTCGAGCCGCAGTCTGCGTCGACATGTGTGCTTTTTCGGCGCAGGCACATAGATTTTGGACCGGCCGGCTGTCTCTGTCCTGCAAGTAAGTACATCGTATACGACTCAGGCACTGCGACTATAGTGGGCTCGCTGACGTCTTGGTGCATGTCCAGCTGCTTGGCTGCCGCTGCCGCCCCTCCACAAAAAAAGTGAGCCATCCTGACGCGGGATGATGGTGGTGATGGATACGGCCATGTTGTCGAGACCGGATGCACATAGACACCCAGAGACGTGCTGTTACCGCAGCTCCACATCCTGATTGTTTCACTCGCCCCATCCACGCGCCCTCGCACGCCCACATAGCGCCCTCGCAGCCTGACGAGCGCCCGCAGGCTCCCCTCCCCTCCAATTTGACCACTGCACGCCCGCCCTCGCTGCATCCCCACTGAAACACTCGCAACCGCCAGGATGCCTGTCGTTGCCAGTCAAAAGCTCGTCGCCCTGCAGCAGGCTGCTGACGGTATCAGGAACATTTGCATACTGGCCCACGTCGTGCGTCGCCCCTCCCTCAGCCTCACTCACGTCCGCCCACTAACCACGCCCACGTAGGACCATGGCAAGACGTCCCTCACCGACGCCCTCATCGCCACCAATGGCATCATCTCCCCCAAGCTCGCCGGCAAGATCCGCTACCTCGACTCGAGGCCCGATGAGCAGCTGCGCGGCATCACCATGGAGTCGTCGGCCATCTCCCTCTTCTTTTCCTCGCTGCGCCGCTCCGCCCCCGACGCCACCCCCGAGCACAAGGAATTCCTCATCAACCTCATAGACTCGCCCGGCCACATAGACTTCAGCTACGAGGTATCTACAGCATCCCGCCTCTGCGATGGCGCCGTCGTGCTCGTAGATGCCGTCGAGGGCGTCTGCAGCCAGACTGTCACCGTCCTGCGACAGACATGGATAGAGAAGCTCAAGCCCCTGCTCGTCATCAACAAGATGGATAGGCTAATCACTGAACTCAAAATGAGCCCTGCCGAGGCATACACGCACTTGAGTAAACTGCTTGAACAGGTCAATGCCGTAATGGGCAGCTTCTACCAAGGCGAGCGCATGGAGGATGATCTCCGGTGGCGCGAGAAGATGGAAGAGCGCCTTAATGCCGCTGCCGCTGCTGCTGACAAGACTGATACGCGATCCTCATCTGTGTTGGAAAACGGTGACAGCATTGACATGACCAACACCCCCGCCGAGTACGAGGAGAAAGACGATGAAGACATTTACTTTGCCCCAGAAAAGAACAACGTCATCTTTGGCAGTGCCATTGACGGCTGGGCTTTTACCGTGAGACAGTTTGCAGGCCTGTACGAGAAGAAGCTGGGCATCAAGCGCTCCATTCTCGAAAAAGTCCTCTGGGGCGACTTCTACCTCGACCCCAAGACCAAACGTGTCCTTAGTTCGAAACATCTCAAGGGCCGACACCTCAAGCCCATGTTTGTCCAACTCGTCTTGGACAACATCTGGGCCGTATACGAGGCCACTACAGGAGGTAACAATGGGAAGGGGTGCGTGGATTTCCTTTCCTTGTGTGATACTTTCCACATGTATCTTAGCAATATACTTATGCCTATTGTTACAGAGATGCTACCATGGTCGAGAAGATTACCAAATCGCTCAACCTCAACCTCCCTGCACACGTCATGCGCTCCCGCGACCCCAGAACTCTCTTGATGGCGCTTTTCGCAGCCTGGCTTCCGCTCTCGACTGCTCTCTTAGTATCTGTGACAGAATACCTACCTCCCCCATCCAAGGCGCAGTTGGAACGCATGCCTGAAATCATTGACACGTCACCGGGCGCCGATTACGTTGATCCACAAGTACGAGATGCAATGATCAATTTCAAGACATCGGCAGATGCCCCTGTCGTAGCCTACGTTAGTAAAATGATATCGGTACCTTCAAGCGAGCTGCCCCAGAACAAGCGAAGGACCGGTGCCCTGACTGCCGAAGAGGCAAGGGAGCTGGGGAGAAAGAAGAGGGCGGAGATTGCCCGCCAGCAAGCAATCGCCAATGGCCAAGATCCAGAAGTTGGCAGTGTTACCGATGCTTTGGGCTCTTCAACCATTGGAGAAACCGAGACTCCGGTAGAGGAAGCCCCGGCAGCTGAGGAAGAGGCAGAACACCTGATCGGGTTTTCGCGTATCTTTTCGGGAACTCTCAACGTAGGTGATGAAGTGTATGTTCTCGGCCCCAAGTTCACTCCCGCACACCCACACGCTGCGCCAGAACCACAAAAAGTCAAGATCACGGCTTTGTATCTCATGATGGGTCGCGGCTTGGAGCCCTTGACGTCGGTACCCGCAGGCGTC